GCTAAAAAGATGGTGATTGAAGTTCCATGTATTAAATTATGTGATATGTCCAGGGAGGGTTTAAGCTTCTGGTGATCCGTCCATCGTTTATGAAGCCAACTTGAGAATGCCTCACCTAGGAGGCAGGAAGCAGTTGAGTGTAAGAAGAGTACTATACTATGTATGAAATTGGCTGCAAAGTGATGTGTTATTGTGAGTTCAGAGTCTGCAATAGAACATGGTAAGTGGTACTTTCATACAAGTGGAATAACCCAATTAATTATCAAATTCTATCAAGTATATTTTGATCTCTACATATACACATTTCTGTACACATGCCCATGATTACTACAGTTCCCATACTGTATCATATATAGGATGCACTGGCTGAGAATATAACTTCTCAGTTATTCTGCCTTTTGGCTTAGGTGGTTCTTTGTGCATCCTAGGGACTGCTTACAATTTCACTATATTAAGACCAAAAAATATTAAGGTGGGGATGAAAAAACAAGATATCTAGTATCAATGTCCATAAAACTTTCAAATGTACACAAAATTGAGACAAAAGAAGAAAAAGAAAGAAATAGGTACCCCTCAATACATTGCCTGACCAGATAACAGTACACAGGAGGCAGGGAGGGGAATGGTGAAGAAAGGTTGGCAATATGGCAGCATGGCAAGTGACATGCCTGCTACGTAGTTAGCGGGTCTTATCCTACGGGCCAGCAAAGCTCTTGCATGGGTAAGTTTAGCCATGTTTGGCCCCTTCTGAGTGACTTGGTTTGGGTTTGAGCCTTCCTCTTTCTCGTGTTCCTCCACCATGTCCTTTTGTTTCAAGCTCAATGGCTCTCCCGTTTCTGCTGAGCTTTCCTGTGGTCCACAATCCTATGTGTCCGTTGCTTGCTCGAACTGTTTGGGCTTGTCTTTCTCTGGGGAGTGTGCCGATCTTGCAGTCTCCGTGAAGATTGGCAATAGCTGGCCTACATGTGTTATGTCTCTGCTTGTCTCAGGCGAACATCAAGAGTTTGACTTGGTGTTGGGTGGAGACTAGTGTTTAAAGGTTCAGTCCATAGGACCGCAAAAAGCCGGTGGACTGAACTGAACCGGACCATGGTCCGGTCTTTTTTTCGGTTGCAGTTGCCCCAATTTGGGGTTGGTCCAGTTGCCGGTTGCCTCATTTCGAAAATCTTTTAAAACCGTTCAAAGACCGGTTTTAATCGGTTGCAACTGGTTAAACGGTCACGTGCGTTACATAGCCTTGTAACCACATTTATTGCCTTTTATTGGGTTTTTGTTTCATCAAAAACAGTTAAGAATTGAGAAAGATATAACCAAATCCATATTTTACCCAAGTCTCTACGAGATGTAATTCGGTTTCAGTCATAGCTATGTCAAATCTTCATTAAATCTCTTGAAAATTGGTAGAATGATGGGTATTTATATGCTTTACTATTTTATATAATCCGTTTATTTTTCAGAGTAATAATGGTTGAGATACAAATGGTTTATATTGGTATAATAAATTATACGCAAAAAAACCGGTCTGGATCGGTCTGAACCGGTATCATGGACCACAAAAGACCGGTCCTAGGTGGTTCGGTTCGGTTCCTTCAATATCTGGGTTGGTCCTGGACCGGTTGCGGTCCAGGGTTGCGCGTTTTCGGGGCAAAAAACCGGACTGAACTGAACCTTTAAACACTAGTGGAGACTGGAAGGGCCTGATGAAGGAGCTTGGCTCAGCTACGGGTGTTATCTTTCCCATGGCATTGGTACATTTATCTTGGGACTTGAACGGTTGTTGACACATATTTCAGCAATGTTCCATCGTTCATGGTCCTATCCCCGCCTTCAAAGTCAGAGAACAGACATCTCAGAGGTCCGCATCTGTAAGCATTGTCTCATGGTACAATGCCCTTTCTGTTATTGATAAGTGTTTTAGCCTCCAGCTGGGCGCGGGTCCTCTGGTGGCGGCGACGGTGGGGGTCATGAACGTGTGGAGCCAGCTGTAAGTTGACACGCCTTGACTTAAGCATTATAATCACAAGGACATCTAGGGGCCATTGCCAACCATTGATCTACTAAATTGCTCTCTGCACATTGACCATTTAAACACGGAACATGTTCAATTTAAATCTTTAATCTGTGACCTGAGCTCTTCATTTTTCATGTTGGGTGGCAGCAGCTCTGCTGTTGTGGAGGCACTTAGACTTCATGGTGTTTTGTATGAGGGTCTCAGTGGCGATGCCCGTCGAGCTGCTCTTGTTCATCATCTTTTTTATGGTCATTGCCATTGTTGTGCAACGACCGATTGTCGGTCTGTCACACAGATGTCAACAAGTATGGTGTCTCTTGCCACCTCTCTATCTGAAGAAGTGTTAGCATTGTTTCGACGTTCCAAGCTCCCTTCTGGGATATTCCAGGATTTATGTCTGTTGTTGGGCTTTTGAAAGGAACAGGCTCATTCAGAGTCAAACATGCTTGCATTTTATGAACATTGTCTAGATATGTTGCGCGATCCCTGTATGTTTTACCAGCTGTCCAACTTTTTTTCCAATTATGATTGCATGGATCGTCCTACTTTGTTGAGTTTGTGTGGGGTTCATGGGTTACCTTCGGATGGAACGATGACCATTCCAACATGGATGACAACAATCATTGATACACATTCAAGACTCTCAACCACGGCAGCAAACCGACTATGATTTATCAATATTGTACTACTTGTATATCTCCAAATTTGTACACAATAGTATTATTGACATTCGTCTCTACCATTATTGGGATTGGTCGCCACACTTTACATAATTGCCATAGCGGGCTTTGTGCCTGAAGGTGTGCTGCAGTGGTTATATCACATCATTGACACACCATTTGAACTGAAGTTTGATTATGTTTGGATATATTTGAACCACCCCCAGCTAAGTGCCTACAGCATGGTTTGAATTTGTCCAAACCTCACCAGTCATCAGAAATGGCAGAGTTCAAATCATGAACAATCCAAGATACCTTCCCCTTGTTTAATGAATTCCAGATGGGAAATGGTTCTGCTTGGGCTGCAAAGACAATTTTAGGGCACCTGTGGAAGCTTAAAACAGAAAAAGTTGATGGCCTTTACCATCCTTGACTTTGTTTTGTTTAAATGACACAATCTGTTTTTTGAGAATAACAGGCAAAAGTGCATCATAATGGTGGTGGTAAGTAGAGATATGTATTACATTTATGAAATTCTGGAAAGATGCTTTGAAATTGTTATAGAGCTAAATCAAACAAATGAGAAGAGAATGACATTGAAAGACTTGGATGATTGGAAACTCACAAAGACAATTTTCCAGAGCAATCCTTACAAGTGCATGTTTTTGATCCTTGGTTTTAAGATGAGAGGCTTCCTCAATGGCAGTTTTAATTTTTTTCAAGTCAGCAAACAAGTTGAACTTTTGAATGGCTAATTTGAAGGAGGCAGAAGATGCTGAAGGCTTCTCTTTCCACAGAAAATATGAGTGCTCTGTGATGATAACTGTGGCTGAGTAGTAAAATAGTAGTTATGATAGAGTGATCAGAAATGAGAGTACACATACCAATACATATAAAGGCAATGTCCTCAAAGGTTTGAGTATTGCCAATCTAGGTGGAATTATGTTGTGGTCAGAATGCTGAATGGCATTTACATAGTGAAGATTTACAAAAGGCCAGTCTGTATAATTGAGGACATCCTCCAGCTACAAATAGGAATTGGTTCAGTTAATTGCTATCTTTAAAGGGGAAAATTGGAAGAAAAAAATACTTACAGACTATTCAAAGAAGTGGAGTGAAATAAATATTTTGTTAAAAATACTATAACTGAACTTACAATCTCATCATTCTTAGCAAAATGAAAGGTGAAGAAGGCTGAGACTTACACGCTATTTTAAACACAGGCCATGCTCTTGTCAGCAATAAGTAAGAAGGGCCAACCAATGCTGACTTACAGGCTGTTCAAAACCCAAGCATGCTCTTGTCAGCAACAATGAGGAAGGGCCAGCCAGATGCTGACTTACAAACTGTTCAAAACCAAGTGCATGCTCTTGTCAGCAAAAAGCAGGAAAGGCCAGCCAGATCCTGACTTACATACTGTTCAAAACCCAGAGCCTGCTCTTGTCAGCAACAAGCAGGGAGGGCCAGCCAGATCCTGACTTACAGCCTGTTCAAACCCCAGGGCATGCTCTTGTCAGCAACAAGCAGGAAGGGCCAGCCAGATCCTGACTTACAAACTGTTCAAAACCCAGAGCATGTTCTTGTCAGCAACAAGCAGGAAGGGCCAGCCAGAGGCTGACTTACAGCCTGTTCAAAACCCAGAGCATGCTCTTGTCAGCAACAAGCAGGAAGGGCCAGCCAGATGCTGACTTACAAACTGTTCAAAACCCAGAGCATGCCCTTATCATTAACAAGCAGGAAGGGCCAGCCAGACACTGACTTACATCCTGTTCAAAACCCAGAGCATGCTCTTATCAGCAACAAGCAGGAAGGGCCAGACAAATGCTGACTTACATCCTGTTCAAAACCCAGAGCTTTCTTGTCAGCAACAAATAGGAGGGGCCAGACAGATGCTGACTTACATTCTGTTCAACACCCAGAGCTCTCTTGTCAGCAACAAGCAGGAAAGGCCAGCCAGATGCTGACTTACAAACTGTTCAAAACCCAGAGCATGCCCTTGTCAGCAACAAGCAGGAAAGGTCAGCTGGATGCTAACTCACAGGCTGTTCAAAACCCAGAGCAAGCTCTTATCAGCAACAAGCAGGAAGGGCTAGCTAGATGGTGACTTACAGTCTGTTCAAAACCAAGAGTATGCTCTTGTCAGCAAAAAGTAGAGAAAGCCAGCCAAGTGCTGACTTACAGTCTGTTCAAAACCCAGAGCATGCTTTTGTTAGCAACATGCAGGAAGGGCCAGCTGGATACTGACTTACAAACTGTTGACAAACCAGAGCATGCTCTTGTCAGCATCAGAGAATGAGCCCAAGCAAAATATTAACTTACATTCTGTTTATAGCCAAAGCACATTCTTGTTAGCATCTAGTTCAGACCAGCTGGACATTGGCTTACATTCTGTTTAAAATATATCATTTCATTGTACAGCTGGATAGTCAAGTAAGTTTCACATACCATATGTGGAAAATAATACAATATATTCTCAACCATCTCCCTCCACTCTCTCTTTCTTTTGAATAATTTCCAATCTGGAAATATAACTCTATTATTCTGGGTAATCAGCAATTTAGCTTCATATAATTAAACATGGAGCAACTACCTTATAATTGCATATTCAATTGATAGAGACAGATTATTTTTCTGCACTGTAAGAAACAGCTGCAAGATTGTATCATCTGAGAGAGTACCTGCTGTCTTCCTCAGCAGTTCACTGCAGTCACTTGTGGGATTTTGCATGTCTGTAAAATGCAGTTAATTTGTAGACTACAAATAAATCAATTTGTTACACCTCGAAAATACACATGTCCCTTGGGGGGATACTTTTTCTTGTAGAGTTGCTGACCAAACTTCTTTTGAAACCTGGTAACTGATTCCTCTGGGGCTTTCATTGCAGCATCTTCAACATTCATTCCAGCATTAACCAGGTGTTCCATTGTTTGGGCATCAAGCATATCTGCTTTTGTAAACAAGACAATAACAGGAACTGTGCACAAAAAGAAAAGATTACATTCAAGAGATCATCAATAGTTTACACACCTCTACCAGTCCCACACTCAGCAAAGAAATTTAACTCTGCCCTTGTAATTGGTCTGGCTTCATCATTGATTGGGATGCAGTACCTGTACAAGATGTATTCAGACACACTTTAATGTTACCACTCAGTCACTTACCAAATCACATGCAGATGATTCCTGAGGTTTTTGTTGGTTGAACATTTTTGCACAAAGTCCTTGACTTTATCCAGCTCAGATGTTCTGCCTGCTTCAAAGCCACATGAGTCATGAAAGACAAATGCCGTATTACTCTCAAATATCATTTCATTCTCAATGTCATGCTCCCCTCTCTGCCACACCTTCAGTAAAAAGTAACAGGACTGTAGATCCACTTTACTTGTGCAGTTGGATTGAGCTCAGACAAGTCAATCTATCCACATCAATAATGATGGATGATGATGTCTAGAACATGGAATACCTCATGGCCCTCCCGATTGAAAATTTTCGGCTTTTCTGTTGTATTGCAAACACGCTGGAGGATGGTTGTCTTCCCCGCATTGGCGCGGCCAATGATAAGGATGCGAAAACGCCCGGTGAGCCTTCGAACAGTGTATGCTTTCCGTTGTCTTTCTATATCCTCTGCCCCTTGGAATTCGATATTGGAAAGAGACATTTGTCGCCGGGATGCCTGAGATGGTGTGAACAGTGAAGCATCAAGATAAGCACAGTATTGTTTGGTTATGCTGGGTCGGCCACAGGAGTGACGTCATTGAATGCTCTCAGCTTTTCGTTCTGACTCCTCAAATGGAATATAAGTATACACATGTCGTTGGGAACTTTTCAAGCCTCAATCTGATCACGACGATTGTGAAAGCGTGCAGCCAGATCTACTTCCAACTCCATTTAGACCATCAACCAAACGGCAAGGGAGAGGGTGAGTACAAACTCCAGGTTAACTTTCCCTGAAGTTTTGTTACAGTCAAGGTGAATCTTCGAGTCGCCATTCGAGCTCCAGTGCCATGGCACATCTTTAGCTGATAATTGTACCAAGTAGGATTTAAGCTAGTACGGCTCATGTTACAGCCACTTCTTCAACCTTCTAGGTTTTCGCCTGCTGTAGTTCGAGTCCTCTACTCAGTCAATGAAGGAAAATGGCACCGTGAAAAGAAGGCCACTACTGAGGTGTCCTAAGTGGCGAACTCACGCCACATTTTGCTAATGAAGTCCCCATCTCAGCCAAGAATCGCCACAACCATCCTTTCGCTGTTCTCCCTAATCTTCCCTTCTCATACCCCCTACTCATTTTTCCGTGAATCGCAATCTCCGTGTACGTTTTCACTCGTAAGCTAAAGACGTACCTTTGATTTTGAGTATGCTCCCCGCCATCACTTCATATGGCGATAAGGCTACCTCAAAGCCTGTAAGCAATGTGATTCTGCATCGAATGACCCAACTCACGTTACCAAAGTATGTTTGCCCTTTTCTTCATTGCCGTCACGGCTAGCAAGTCGTTCTATCGTCAACAGCAAGCCAGCCGCACAGAAATATCAGAATTACACCGCACAACCCCAAGAAGTGAATGTATACCTGCCTTTCCTCCCTAGTTCCCCTTAAATGGGGTGGCTACCACTTGGGCCAGCAAGTCCTCAACGAAACTTTGTTAGTGTACAGTTAACGACTTGTAAAATGAACTTGGAGCGAAAAAGGTCAAATGTAGTTATACATGTCCTCCTGTAAGCCAAAGTCGCAGTGATTGTGCCAGTAGAAGTGGCCAATCTGTACAGGAGTGTCAGGGTTTAGGGAAGTGCGACACAGGCATAGACAACGTACCACTTGACTCTTCAATCCAATTAGAGAAGGTTTTGTGGTTCCAGTTTGCCGCTGGTGTAATGGTCATGTAGGTATCCAGACGTCCTTCCAACCAGTCTCGGACAAGGGCTTGTAGCTGGTGGAGCATTTGCATCGAAATCGACATTCCATTTTGTCGTTTCACAAGCACCATTGCCCTAATAGAAAACACAAGATAAGTGAACATTGTTCGTACATCACACTCGACTCACCAAACTGCACAGACCCGCTTCTTCGGACCCGCGCTAAGCAGCACTGCACGTCTACATAGTTCTGGACATTGAATTTGAAGCTGGCGGTGAGAAACCCTCGAGTAAAATTGGGTCGATCAGTCCGTCTTGAACAGTGAGGAGTGCTTTTCTGGCAGCCTGGGGGGGAACCGATTGATAAATCAGATATGAAGAGATCCCGTGGATGAGCACTTACCATCTCAGCATGTTGAACTGTCCGAACCATTGGGTGTCGTCATCGTCATCGTAATCTTGGGTCTGTTCTGGTAAGCACACGGACAACTGAGAACAGATATAACACACCTCGACTTAAAACGTCGATCTCCTGCTCGTAAATGAAGGGTCTATGACGGTGATGAGTTGCAGGAGTTCGCCTCCTATTATTTGACATGTCATTTTGGTGAAATACTGCAAAAAGGGCGTAGGCCCTTACATACCACCTGAGGCGACCATGGACATCGAGCCGTACATCCCTTCTGGGGTGAAAATGCGTCGCGACTGATGATCAGGAAGTATATGAGTCGTTGAGGTGGGGGGACGATTCTCTCTATAACTAGAATGATCATATTCGTACGACTCTATAACTAGAATGATCATCTTCGTACGAAGAACTCACCGGCAAAGCGTACAGAGTGGAGATACGTCATGTCCGGAATGATTAGGGCGTCAGGGAGTTGTTCAACACGATGGTGAAAGCGGGTCCTAGATCGACCAATGAGTCAGCTTCATCCGAGGTGTGAGGAGCGGAAACTCACTTTGGACGGCGCAACATCGAAATCTCCACGAGTTTGAGGCTCTGAGCACTCTTGGTTCCTAAGATAAATTCAGGACACGTTTCAGACGATGGAATTGTTGAGCTGTTGCTACGGCCAACGCCAATAGTCAGATAAATGGAACGTCGGTCGTGATCACGAGAACTCACTAAAAGAAAGTTCCAATAAGGCCCTCATAAGGCCCAGTGATGTAAGAATGAACAACGGCCCATGACTTATCGAGGAGAGGCAGGAAAGCTAGTAGTAGGTGTGATGAGCAATTTCGAGTTGGCAGACTCAAATCAATGGACTTACCTACAATTTGCTCCAGAACTCCCAAAGTCCTAAAGCCATCGCCGTAGAGCCGCAGTGTTGGCAGCACTTCATCTGCACGTCCCAGTCTTAAGTTGTGGAATTCTGAATGATGCCTACATGCGCAGACTCGTTGTCGGCTCTCGTCAGCCTTCTAAGTTCCAGGCTCAGCCAGCATTGCCTATACATCCTTCCCCTCCTCGCTCCTCCCCTCGCGTTGGGTGCTCCAGTCACCGTTACTCAAGCTCCAGTGACGTCGCCTTTGATGAAGTAGTTGAGCTTTCCCAACGGCTACGAGCTCCTTGCCCACAATCGCGCTCATGCACAAGCGTTGGAGAAGCGTGGTTTTCGAAGAAGTGGTGGATCTGCCAGCCGTTAGCTTGCCGGTCAGAGCTTGTGCTGCCGTAGTAGGCATTACAACATCTTCACCACTGGCGCCCCCTTCATCTGCACCCTAGTCGCCGGAATTTGGACGAGGCTCGGAGCATCCCTTTGCTTTCCCCTCTCCTTCCCGCCCTTCCTCTCCAAAACACTAACTTCCCTCTTCGGCGTAACATTTCCACTCCCACTCTCACTTGTTGGACTAGTCTTCTTATCCTCGCTCACGGATCGCGAACGCAAGTGTGGATTAACGTCAACCAAAACATGCTGCCCCACCCCAACCCCAACAGCCTCCTCTTCCCTCTAAACCGTCGTCGCATTAGTCGAACCAGACACCCAATTGACGTTAGGACGGAGCTGGTGGACAATTGGATGTCGACAGGGAAGACAATGGAGATTCTGTATGCACCACCTTTGACAGGTAAAAGTCGTTCACCAACCCCTTTTTGACCAACAGGACCTTGGGCGCAAAGCCAACGACGTTGCCAGATTGGCTTTCTTTTGCGAGCACAAACGGACTCCATTGCGTAAGGATGATATTACCAAGAAAGGTTCTCTTTCTTTTTGCTTTAAAGGTCCTAGCAATAGCTGATGAACCATCTACCCGATAGTTCTTGGTGCAAACGCTTCTCGCGCATTCAACGGTGTCTTCCTTGCTGCCCAGGAAAAACTCCGAAAGGTATTCGGCATGGAGCTTGTTTGGAGCTTGTCGAGATCCCCTCACGCGCCGGGCTGGATCAAGATAACAATACCAATGGTAACGAGGAAGAGCTTGCTGAGGCCCGTCGAGCCACGGGTGTCAAAAATAAATGTAATCACTCCAACTCTTTCTCTGTCTGATGCTCATATGCTCACCCTTTCTTCCTCTTAGCGGTAGCACTCGGCTCGAAAACTTACATGCTTCACTCATGCCTGCATCCCCTCGTCATCGAGCAAGCAGCACTACAGATGAACAAATTCTCGAGCAGGAACTTGTGGACACGTCCTTCGACGACTCGGAGGACGAGGACGATAACGGAGCTGACGACGACGAGCGGCGTCCACGTCCATATGGAAGCCTCATCTCATGGAGCACAACGGATCAGCTGGGCCCATTAGGCATTCTCTACGTGATCCTCGCTCTGATCCTCGTTAGTGGAAGAGTTATGACCGATGGTATATCATTTTCTTTCACACCTACTAAAGTTGACAATTCACCAAAACAGTCGACCTCCGTACCCAACTGAAACGCCTCCGCCTCCCCTCAACAGCAGGCCGCTCTCCGGTCCACTTCACCACCTCCTCAACGCATCGTTCCATGTCCCTAGACGCATACCTGACCCACCTCCAACAAAAAGGTTTCCTCGACCGTCAACAGGTTGGTGACAATGCAGCCAAGAAGGGTCCAGGGAAACGTATATGGGCTACTCAAGCAGAGGACGCGGAAGAAGGTCGCACGTGGGAATGGCGCTGGGGACCGAGAGCTGCGTGTGAGGTGGGTGAAGAAGGCATCGCAAAGTTCGTGGCAGAGTTTATGATTGGGAACGCAGATGTGGACGAGGACGAGGACGCAGAGGAGGGCAATGCCGCTGGGGGAGCCAGGAGGAGGGGGGCTGGTGGGGCGGCTGCGGCGAATGGAAGGGAGGACAAGCTGAAGCGGATGTTGGCTGGGGTGGAGAAGGCGGCTGGCGGGAAATTGGCTGAGTGCCGTTAATTGTTCCCTTTTTGATATATAGGTTCACCCCCATTGAGCAAAATCTTCTGTCACCGAACTGCATTCTTGCTATCAAACCATGCATGCAGATGCCTGATGCTTGTCCAAATGTAAGACTATTCCAGGCTGTTGCGAAACGATACTTAGAGCAGCTCGGCTCCTGAGTCCTGTTCAAGCCCAGCCATTTCTTTGTTTGTTGATCAGCAGCTTGCCAAAATATGAGCACGTGCCTGGTTCGATCTTATTCACATGACACATACCCTCGCCTCTCCCTTCCCTCGAATAATAATGGCGCGGGCTTCTCATCAAAGACACATGCCAGAACTTGTCAAGGAAATCCTTGTTACCAAATGGCTCGATCCGGTTTATTTGGCTTCGGTGTACACCACAAACAAACACCGGGAACTGAGCTGCTCTATCGTTTCGCAATTACCTGTCACGGAAGGGCACGTTCCCAGCTGAAGGTTGCGAAGATTCGATGAACGGTGATGGCCGTGACATGGAAAAGCTTTTGCACAGGTTGGACACCTTGCTTTAGTCTCAGCTATCGAGAAACCTCGACTCGAATTTTTTCCTCATCCTCATCATGGGTTCAAACGAAAGATTATTGATTGGATACACATACGATCGAAAGGCCGATTGGATGGCATCAGGATTTGACGCAGAGGATTGCGTAGACTTCTATAATGACGAAACCATCGATGCGATCGCAGAGGCGCTAACAGCGCTGGGCTATCGCGTCGACCGTGTTGGCAATGCTCGCGCCCTAATCAGTCGTCTGGCCTCATACGACAGGGAAGACAGTTTTCACTGCCCATGGGATATCGTCTTCAACATCTGCGCAGGTCGCAGTGGTATCGCTGGTCGGGAAGGGCACGTTCCATCCATTTTAGAGTGTTACAACATTCCATTCGTCCTGAGCGACTCATCCACATTCTCACTGTGTCTAGACAAGGCTAAAACCAAAATGGTGTTGGAATTTTCGGGAATTGCGACTGCTCCATTTGCAGTGGTTCACCCTGGACAAACCGCCGAGGATGCCATACAAAAATCCCCACATCGACCTCTGTTGTACCGACAGCTTCCCTTGTTTGTCAAACCATGTACAGAGTCGACCGGCAAAGGAATCTGGAAGATGTCTAAAATCACCAATTGGAGCCAATTGAACCAAGTTGTTCAATCACTGCAGTACAAATTTCCTGGTCATGATATGTTGATCGAGAAGTTCTTGAACGGCCGCGAGTTCACGGTGGGCATCGTTGGGACAGGCGAGAATGCGCGTGTTATTTTCGCCATGGAAATCAAGTATCGTTTACACGAAACCAAGGCCGACCATGACGCGGCGCAGCCAATCGCATCTGAAGATGATGCTGATTTCTATTCATTTGCAATCAAAAGTTGCGTCCACTGGAATGAAATCGTCGATCTATGCAATGGCTCTGATCAATTGGCCACGCGTGCTGGAGAGCTGGCCTTACGAGCATACCGGTGCATGGGGTGTCGTGATGTAGGCAGGATCGATGTGCGCTGCGACGTCCTTGATCCCGACCTGGCGCAGCCACATATCATGGAGTTGAATCCACTCCCGGGTATCCAGCCTGGCTATTCAGATCTGGTGAAGGGGGCCGAGTTTGTTGGCATATCCTATGAGGCACTTGTTGGACAGATTATGGATAGTGCATTGAATCGATTGAATTTAGTACGTAACATGTAATTCCAGAGTTTGCAATTTGTTTCGATCCACTTTAAAAGTCTTCTGTGATAATTGTAGTCGATTCACTCCGTTTGTGCCATGCAAGAGCAACAAGAATGGGAAGAAGGGTGCTCCCTTTGCGATAGCGCGTTTTATTATTATTGGTTGATAAAAATAAGCATAGATTCTCTTCAGATTCTCAATGCCTTTTCTTCTTGATATGTTTTGCGGCCCGCCCGCCTAATGGTAACAATCTCCGAAATTCATACATAGCGTAGGAGTACTACTACTACTAGTTTACAATGGGTAAACACCCATCCGTAATATTACACAAGGTCCCAAAGATAATACATAGTACTGCAAAACAAGCAAGGACAGGAAAGCGAGGAGGGTGCATAAAGTATGGCATTTAAACGTCCACGTTCATGTATAAAGGTACCCAGCAAATGCTATTGACCATGGCCAGCAAGGGGGCGCACTTGAAATGCAGGAACTGGGGTTCCTGGTGGACCAGCAATATTACTAGTTTCCGTATCTTGATTGTCAGTAGGAGTTGTAGCAAGGCGGACATTTTCGAGCTCTGTTTGGTTCTTCCCTTCCTGGAAGTCGACGTCGACCTCGGGTGTGGCAGTTGACGGAGCAGTCGCAGTCTTCGGCCCGCTCTCCTTAGGCGATTGGAGCTCGAAGTCAACGGTGACATGGAAGGACATTTGATCCTCGTTTGCTTCGTTCTGGGCCGTATTTTTGTAGAACCAATCCGAGGTAGTCATAGACGAGAGCGTCCTGGAGAGGGAGAGCGTACGGATGTTACACCAAGCTGAGAACAAGGGAATAGAGAGGCCGTCTGTGGCAGTTAGTGGTCGCAGCATATACAGGTGAGAATGATGAGATAGGACGCACGAACGACAATGGAATTCAACACCACAAACGACACGATTGGGTGCAAGGCCGTTGTAAGCATGTCTTCTTGGGTTATAGGAGGGTTTTGCGGCGTAGTTAGTTTTTGAATTGCTAGCGTGGAGGTGTAGACGGCTCCTACTCCCATCTGCAGACACAACTGAGATGTGGCTGAAGAAATACAACTCGGTGACTTACGGGCCCTATCAACAAAGAAAATCATCAAAGAATTCCAACGTAGATAGCCCTTACAACATACCGAAATGTCCAGAGAAGAGGGCCTGCCTCCAGGAAGTAATTTCCGGGATCCATTTATAAAGCATCAACATTGGTGGAATGCGTCTCAACAGCAGCACCCCCATAGTCAGTAGCAACAATCGGCCTGGAGTGATATCCAAGGCTGGAATGGTGAATGATTCAAAGGGAAGCCAGGCGCCAATATATATGAAGCCAACACAGTTGAGGACAAAGTCTATCACTGAAGAAAATAGTTGGCCTTCAGTGTACACGGTGAATTCGCCGTCCCATGAAATAGCACATCCTGTCAAAATTAACCATGTCAGGCCTAACTAGATGCACGGAGGTTGGAAGGCGACCTGCAGCGAATACGGCCAAGAGATCGTCGCTCCCCAAAGTACTGACAATTCCAGAAACGAAAATGGCTAATGAGAGGTATTGCGTGACATAGGACTGTCGGTCGATGAGTCCGTGCCGATGGGAGAACTCCATCAGGGAAGAAAACGCCAGTCCTGGCTTAATAGCGTCACCACCTGGTTGGGTTGCAAACTCACAGGCTATACTTACCGAGCAAAACACCGACAAAAACTCCAAGAACCACTTGATCTGTAATTATAATTTGTACCCTGTTGTAACGTCAGATGGCTAGGAGACATACATAAGCATCCGACGAGAACCCAGTGTCCAATAGCTTCACGCTTGGTAGCATCGACAGTCAGGTAGATAGCGATTGTCAAGAAGGGGTACGCTAGGCCATCATTGGCTGCCGATTCGGCCGAAAGCAAATGTCGTAATCGCATGGGAACGTTCTTAATCGCAAAATTTCCACCTGAAGATATGAGATTAGTCGGAGATAACTGCACGTTCAACCGCTCGGACCGACGATGGCTGCACTTATGATAGGATCGGTGGGAGTCAGGCAAGCTGCAATGGCAAGACAAGAAACAAAGTTGAATTGCGGAAACAGCAAATGGATGAGTCCTAAGGTTTCTTCGGTCAGTGTTTTTCAACAGAAAATAAAACTATGCATACCAGCGACAATGAACCAACCAATCGCCATCGTTGGGATGATCATCACGAGCAAACTCTTCGCATGTTTTGCCATATATGTTTTTGGGAGTTCAACTCCAATGGCAAATAAGCCTATCGCAAGAATCACGCGCATCGCCTCGAGCGTGATTGCATTGCTGTGAGAACCCCAGGAACGGGGATTGAACACACCAGCAAAGTGAGGCCCCATTAAAATGCCAAAAGCAGTCCCGAGAACAACTTCATTGATATAGAGCTGTAGTGTGGTAAGGAGCCGAAAGATATCATACACATGAGCACACCTTGTCCCGAGCGAGTAGGGAAAACATTGAAAACTAAGAAATACTTTCAATCATTTTATGATAAACAACAAATAGTGACTCACAGCAACGACAAAACCGCCCAGACACATGTAGGCGACACCTACGTCTGTAACCTTGAACACAGGTAAGTAAGTGAATGCGAGGCGAATATTATACACCCACTTGTAAAAGATGGATCATCAGCAATGAGTTCTAGGCAGCGGGCGTTTCTAACGCTGGGCAAGACAGAGGAAGGGTCGCGCATTTTGTAGACTCTCGTATCCTACGAAGCGCTCTGCTCCATCACGTAGTTCCCACCTACGCTAAACGCTAAACGGTGTGCTTTCAATGGTCATCATTTAGAGTTCGGGTTCCGCTCTATCTTGAGAAAGGGAGAGGTTTCAGGTTAGCTTCTCATGTTTGAAGGGTTGAGCCGAATGTTACCCCGCAGTTTTGGTGGGTTTGAGTTCCAGGTAGTGAGGAAGGACAGAAAGCGTAGACATGAAGGGAACATCAAAAGGCTAGGTTTGCAAGCAAACAATTTGAGCTGATTGGCGAGAGAAGCGCAATCAGAGAGAGCAAGATAGAAGTCTTGAACAAGGTTTTTTGCTGGCATACAGGCGACAGTGGTCGACCGTCGAGCACAATTTGTCCTGACACCCGAAGCCAAAGGGATACGATCAACACAAGCACGTCTTCAACTCCTGCCTGCAGGTCGAGCAATATGAACAGGAGGAACCTTGACTGGCAGTTGAGGATCGAAACGATCAATGTTCTACTTTTCTGCGAATCGAAAATGAGAAAAAAAAAGTCTTCATCAAATAGACATGGAGACGTACCCGTACGTAGTTCAATGAACTACCACCAAAGCCCATCGCGATGCGAGTCAAGTGCCATCACAACTTGAACTGGAGTCGAAGTTTGACACTCCAAACAAAATATGGAAAGCAGAAAGCACCTTTTAACCTCCGTTCCCGAACCGTCGATCGTCCATGAAGTCGCAACATGCCAGGCTGGCCGATTGTAACTTGTTGAATGGCATGAGGCAACAATTCAACCTTGTTGAGCGGCGTTTAGTAGTTTGCAATTGCATGAGCGACAACGTCTGGTGATCCCTCCATCGTGTACGAAAGGCAACTTGGGAATGCCTCACCCAGGAACCAGGAGCCAGTAGAGTGTAAGAGTATTACGTTCTACGCAAGCGAAATTGGGTGCGAAGTGACGTGTTATTGAGAGTCTGCGACAGAACTTGAACATGGTAAGTGGTAGTCTCCCGTAGTCAGCCCTATAAATATCACGGAGGTCGACAGTGATATATAGGTGGGTGGGTTGTACCGTGTACGGATGGAAGTTGAACGTTGAACACCAATTATTATCAAACTCTATCAAGTATATTGCTCTAGGTATACACGTCTCACTACATCAAAACCAAAACAAGGGAAAAAAACAAGACATGTATCGACGTTTATAAAACAGAAAGAAAAAAAAGTAGGTACCCCTCTACTATCAATAGAAAACCCACAAACGAGTTTTCCAACAGTAGGACCTAGAAATTCCCCGAAGGGACCCAGCCAATGTTATTGAGCTGAAGGGAACCTGACAACTTTGAGAACCGGGTCGGCCACCACGTTCTGCTGCATTTCTCCCAGTGTGGATGGTGTAGTCATTGCAGACGGGACTTGTGCAGTCGGACTGGTAGACGTCACCATGGAAGGGAGGGGTTCAGCCGTCTTGGAGAGACCTTGTGCGGCCGTCGTAGTAGGCATTACAGCATCTTCGCCCACCAGCACACCCTTCATCTGCACCCTAGCCTCCGGAATCTGAACGAGGCTCGGAACAGGCGCAGACGTCGAAGCGGCAGGGACCACTTCATCCCCTTGCTTCCCCCTCTCCTTCTCCATCTCCAAAAAGCTAACTTCCCTCTTCGGCGTAACATTTCCACTCGTCTTCTTATCCTCGCTCACCGAACGCGAATGCAAGTGTGCGTGCGGGTTAACATCAACGACAACATGCTCCCCCACCCGAACCCCGACAGCCGTCATCTGATCATCCGCCTCCTCATCTCTCTGAATTGTCGTCGCATTAGCCGAACCAGGCACCCAATTGACGTTCAAGAGCCAATCGGGTACGGGAACCCTCGCTCCGTAGGTCAGTGTACGAGAGAGGGAGACGTTTCGCGAAAAGTTCCGGCCTGCGCTGAAGAATGGAATGGATAGGCCGTCTATAGAAAATAATGAAGGTTCAGCAAATTGCGTTGAGGAGGAGCAGAAGGGACGTACGGATGATGATGGAGCTCAAGACGACGAACGATACGATGGGATGTAAAGCCGTAGCGAGTTTGTCAGCTTGTGTTTCCGGTGGGTTTTGTGGTGTTGCTAGTTTGTGAATGGCTAGTGTTGAGATGTACACAGCTCCGACTCCCATCTATAGTCAAAATGAGAAAAATGAAGTCCAAAACTTTCACAAACGAAGCAAAACTCACGGGCCCTATCAGAGAGAAACAAAACTTCAACTTCAAAATCCCCAAGAAAAAGTTGGAAATCATTACCAAAATGTCCCGAAAACAACGCCTCCCGCCAACTCGTAATCTCCGGTATCCACCTATAAAGCACCAACATTGCCGGAATCCTCCTCAAAAACAATACCCCCACCGTCAGCAAGAGCAATCTCCACGTGGTAATCCCCAAAATCGGGATATTGAACGCTTCAAAGGGGAGCCAAGCGCCAATGTATATGAAGCATGCACAGTTGAGGACGAGGTCGATGACGGAGGCGAAGAGCTCGCCTTCGGTGTGGACGTTAAAGTCGCCGTCCCATGATATCGCGCTTCCTGTTGACAAGGACTATGGTTACTAGGATGTGTAGATGAGTTTTCTGAGAAAAAGGCCAACCTGCGGCAAAGGCGGCTAGGAGCTCGTCGCTACCTAGGGTACTGACGATTCCGGTGATAAAGATGGCTAGGGAGAGGTATTGCGCAACGTAAGATTCTCTATCTATGAACCCGTGCCGATGCGAGAATTTCATGAGGTGGGAGAATCCCAGGCCTGTGTAACGATCCGATGCCATTGGTTCGAAGACATCAGAAGGAGAGGAAGGAAACTAACCGAGTAAAGCGCCGATGAATACTCCCAAGAAAACCTGGTCTTTAGAGAGGAAGTAACATTTATTCCCTGAACTGGAAGAAAAAACGGAAAAAGACAAACATAACCACCCAACGAGGAACCAGTGTCCAATCGCCTCACGACTAGTAGCGTCCACAGTAAGGTAAATCGCAATGGTCAAAAAGGGGTACGCCAACCCGTCGTTGGCTGCTGATTCTGCAGAGAGAAGTTGGCGCAAGTTGATGGGGACGTGTTTTCTCGCAAAGTTTCCGCCTAGCCATAGAGTTGAGCTAGAATGAAGGGGAAGAGAGAAATCGAGAAGAACGAACCGACGATGGCAGCACAAATGATAGGATCAGTTGGCGTCAAGCAAGCAGCGATAGCAAGGCAAGATATAAAGTCAAACTTGGGAAACAGGGCACGCAAAAGCCCTATGATCATTAGTATCTAAGTGAAATAAAAAAACCAAGGGGGATACACACCAGCAACGATAACCCACCCAATCGCCATCGTCGGAATAACCATCGCCAACAAACTCTTTGCATGTTTCGCCATGTACGACTTGGGTAGTTCCACACCGATAGCGAATAAGCCCGTTGCGAGGACCACGCGCATGACTTCGAGGGTGATGGCATTGCTGTGGGCACCCCATGACCGCGGGTCGAATATACCTGCAAAGTGGGGGCCCATGAAGATGCCAAAAGCGGTCCCTAGGACGACTTCGTTGACGTATAGCTGGAGGTTTATCATATATCCATGAGAAAGATGAAGGGGGTTGAAGAAATGAAGGATGAACATACTTTTTCTCGTGCCAGGAGCGAGAACATCGAGAACTAGATATCGGTATCAGCACTCGCACGATAAGGAGAGAAAGAGGGTACTAACAGCGACTACGAACCCGCCCAGACATATATATGCAATACCTGCATCGGTAACCTTGAATACGGGCAAGTGGGTGAATGTAGGATGCAAGGCAATTATCCACGAACTTCTATCAACTCGATCATATTGGAAATTCAGCTCGGTGTGTCTGTTCGGAAGCAATACAAAAATCACTCTTTTATAGGGCTGGATTCTTACGTCAGCATCTGACCTCATTTTAGGTGTTTGACCATCTCAGGAGTCAGCATGAGCCATCTCACATCCTTCCTGCAAATTTCGCCAGGATTACGCCTGAGATTTACTGGCAGAATTCAATAACGGAGCGTGCAATTCGCCTGAGCACTCGATATTTTACTCCACTTGCCGAGGATATCTGCTCTGCTGCGACGGTCTTCCTGACTTTTTCTGTCCAACGAGTTCAAAAACCTGTCAGTCAAACATAGCATTTTTTGTGTTTTCTACGGTCTACTAAATATTTTTTAAGCTCTCCGAGACCTCCCCCCCCCTTCTACCTATGGTTACGGCTTCAATTCCCGGTATGGTTTTTTGATTTCAATCGGTTCAGTCTTGGTTCAGTCAAGGCAAGAATTGGGTTTGCACATGCCCCTTACTCTCGGATCACTTCATACCAGTATGTCGGTGTAATCTAGCACTAAATGAGACAATTGTGAGTGGGCGAAGAGTGAAGAGTTTCGAATCCTCATAGGTAAGTTCAAACTACACTCCCCGAACGATAAATACCACCCTCCGACCAATTCACTTGCAATACCCATAGTTATCATGGCCGCAGCACTTCTTATACCTGTCCGCATCCTCATCACCCGATATATCACACCAGTTCTTTCCCGTCAACCCAAAGTAAGAGGATCCATCTTGAAGACCAGTGCCCGTGACGCCCTCACAGCAGGCATTTGATACGGTCTGCTGCCAGAGGTCCGCTCCCAAAAAGCCGGCACCCTTCCTATAGCACCCACACCAGCGTGCAGAAGATTCGTTGATCAAGGCAGAGAGAGCGATGAGGGTTGCGATGCCAAAGGCCTTCATGTTGTTAGCTACAAAAGTAGGAATTCATTAGCGGGGGTGGTGTTGCGTGAGGGAGGTTGAATGCTCACCAGTTGGATTGTTCAAGGGCTACACTGGGCTGGACTTCGACAATGCGCATCCTGCTTTTTATACATCTACAACCTGCTGGATGAGGCTAGCAGGTGGAAATTTTCCAACGAACCTTTTGACATTGGAATGACTGAAGCGAGAAATAATCAGACAGGGTAAATAGAAGAGAAGTATCTATCGTACGTGGTGTTCCTCTCAAACTTCTTCTAGGCCGAACTCATGGGGAATCGAAGATGCTGTCTTTCTTGTGATTTTGACAGAACAAACGATCACAATGAATGTGGTGGTGAACTTCAAGTTTGGATTGAAAGCCATGCAGTGCAAAGCAGAGCGAACTTGGGAGCCACCTCGACTCCAAAATATTGGCTCACAGCCGACGCTCGATATCTGAACAGCCCCCGCCGAATGACACTCGACTTGGTACGGCTCAGCGAACTTGGCGTTGCTTGCTCGATTCCGCTCTAAAAGTCATGCCAGTGGTAAACGTGGACTAACGCTTTCAAAGGAAAGAACACCCAGAAATTGCAGACGGCCGTTTGGCGGATAGCATTTTGTGTGTTCTCAATAATAGAAGCGAGTCGAATGCTTGAAGGGGGGACAGACGATATGGTAGCAGACTTTTTTGGATAAAGCTCAACAGAATCGTCGGAGGCGAGATTGTCACCAAGATTCTATAGTCAGCAGGACAGATCAGCCTCAGCCTTTGGTTGAGGACATGCTGCGTCTACACACTGATTGAACACAATACATTGTGCTTCTGCGCAATACATTCCCGAGTAACGATGATTCTGACAGACTATTATGGAGGGTTTATTAGTGAAAAAACGGAGAAAACACAAGAAGGATGCGGCACATTGTGGTTTGAAGTACATGGCTGATACAGGAAGGTTGGGAGCTGATCAGACGTCTGTCAGCGATGGTGATGATCTGTGTGAATACAGCGAGGGTACTGGATGTAGCGCTGGATGAGAGTCTTCAATACTATTCAATATTTATTTCTGTCCACCTTGCTTTGCCTGCAATGGCCAACTTGCCGCCAACATATGGAAAACTTCCATGTACTTCAAGTCCTTCAATACAAAATAAAGGATATATACGTTCCTTGAAGCACGCAAGCTCCATACTCACTCACTCACTCACTCACTGCACCTTCTCCACCCCCACCCTCATAACCAAACTCGCCCCCTCACTCTTCCCCTTCCCATCCATCATCCTCACAACCACCCACTCGCCCCGCACAACCCTATCCAACCTCGCACAAAACACACCCATCAACTCGTCCTTCCCCTTCTCGTCCTCATACACCCCCAACCGCAAGAACGCAAGCTCATCGGATGCGTATTCCCACTCGAAGCGCCTTGAATCGGGTGGTAAAACGAAATCGGCGCCTTGGGAGGGGACTTTGCCGGGTGTCGTGTTGATGGACTGAGAGCGCCATTGTAATTGTGAGGAATTGGAGGAGTGGAGGAGGGTTGCGAGGATGTATGCTGAGAATGACTTGCTGTTCGGTGTTGGTACTACGCCCAACAAAAACGGTTCAGCGCAGCTCTTACATAAACAAGAGGGAGAAGGAAAAACGTACAAGAACTAACACCCACAAGCTCAACAACCACCTTCTCCCTCCCTTGTCCTTGTCCCTCCCCTACTCCACCCCCTCCCCTCCTCATCCCCCGCGGCTTCTCAACCCACCCCATAGTCCCCACAAACATCGCCTCATTAACCTGCATACCCACATCATACCTCTGCCAATTCAACGACGCAACCTGCGTTCCACTCCTCCAATATACTTCAGGAGCGAAATTGCTCGATTGGATACGCGTGCCGCGGGGATAGACTCTTCTGAGGTGTTGGGATGCGTGTGTGATTAAGGGGGGGAGGGAGGTGGCGGAGAGGGAGGAGAGGGAGGTTTCGGAGATGTTTATCAGGATGTGAGGTGGTGATGGGAGTGCTGGGGGGATGCGTTAGGAAGAGGAAGAAAGAGGGAGAGAGGCGTACGTTGGTCAAGCCATCCTTTGCGCGGTTTCATGCTGCGCGCGTAGTAGCCTAGCTCGGCGAGCTCGTCGGATATCTTTACCTTTGGTTGCTTGGTCTTTGGCTTTCTCTTCCATGGCCAAAGTCCGGTGCCTTTGTCTTCTCCTGGCTGTTGGTTTCGTTCATCGGGACGCTCGTTCCCATCCTGATTTGCCAGACCCTCTTCTTCCCCATCCTCTTCATACGCCCACTCATCCTCCTCCTCCTCATCTTCCAACAGCTCCTCTCCCCCCGGCTGCGACTCCACACTCCGCTTTGTCACCGGCAGGTAATACTCCACCATAACCACAATCCGTCCCCTAAGCAGCGCCGGTGTAACCATCCCATCCTGCACACCCTCAATCCTACCCACCACCAATTTGTCGCCCCACGTCTCCTTCATAATGCGCACCAACTCCCCCTGGCCTTGCAAGTCCACGTGACACTCCAAGCTGACGAAGAGGGGCCAGTCGGTGGGGTTTATGGAGGTGTTGATGGCGAGGCAGACGGAGGAGAAGGGGACGCCGTGGCTTAGTGTGTAGCCGTGGGTTACGAGGAGGCCTTTGGAGGATGGCCAGACGTCGATTTCTGATTTGGAATATGATTGTTACTGGAGGGGTAGTAGGGGAAAGGCAAGACGAACCGACGCAACGGGCGTTGCGGGATAAGACGTGGGTATAGGCTTCGGCTGAGGATCGGCCTAGGAGTTGGCGAGAGAGGAGGTAGGTGTTGTGGGATGAGCTGAAGGGGATTCGTTTGGTTTGAATGGGGGGAGATGAGGTGAAGGAACACTTACGAGATGAAATAGTCTGTTATTGGAAGGGTATCGTCTACTTGTATTGCTTTAATGACTGGTCTTGCTAGGAGGTCATTGACAGTCTGTAATACGCATTGATGTTCGAGGATAATAAAACGACATATATATGGACTTACGATATCTTGATCTTCAGCCCACTGCACGATCTCAGGACTAAGACGAAGATCAGTCCAAGCGGAAGTGTCGAGGTTGCGGTCCGTGTGAGTCTCATAATAGTCCGTGAGCTGTTCTTGGATTTGGGTATCGAGATCGTAGGTATTATTATCCGCTTCCGTCATTGGGTATGTAAGGTGGGTATAAGAAGAGATGTGTCTATTTTTAACAACTACAAACTGAGCATGGTCAACCTCGAACTCCCAATCTGCCATGACGCTTATGCAGCCTTCTCCAAACGTGACATTTGACGTCGTCGAGCGACGCATCCAGACGCTTACATCTATTCTCCAGAACATGAATAGACGACATCTCCCTACTACCTTGAGCGAGCGGAGTCAGATCCCAGCTTTTCTGCGTCACTTGGCTACTCTCCTTGCCTGTGATGACGCAGACGCTATCGCTCTTACTGGTAGCTTGACCAATGAAGAGTTACGGATCTTGGTCGTGTCCCAAAATCCTAGCAACTTGAACATTTCCGGATTTGGAGTGAAAGAGATTTCAAAGTCAACCAGGACAGTGGTGAATGGGCACGTCTGTTGACCATCTCCGACTCTGTGTAATCCTAATCGTCTAAAGGAACAAGAACGCGAAGCTCCCGCAGCACATAGCCGACGTCTGGGCCGCCATTGACTCATATGATCCAAACAGCGTTAAGGGCCAATACCATTCCTTCTGCCTCTTCATCGTCAGGCGCTGTTTCCGGAAGTTGTCCAAACGCGTATTCCAAGACAAGGAATGTTGGAATGTAAGCGTGAGCCAGAAGATTTTCGAGTGGATTCCTCTCAGTAAAGAACTCGATGACGTTCGGTGGATAGAACGCCCGCAGTGGGCACTTCATGCCCTCCCCCCCGATGGACTTGACGGGATGAGGGAGAGAACGATACAGACGCAAGGGCGAGATGTCATTCAATGGGAGTTCTCAACTGCCACCCTGCGAAGCTGGGCCTGGCTTCTCGCGACCATGCTCCGGCAGCTGGAATTAGCAACAAGCGCAACGAGGTCAGCGCGAAAGAACAAGGAGACTGATAAAGAGACTCGAGGGCTAAGAAATATTCATGCTTGGTGTTTCTGTCTGGATGCGTACGTGCATTGGAGGGAGGGTGTTGTCAAGACTCTTTTAACCAAGACCTCACTGGCACATGCGTTCAGCCTCCGTGACGTATCGAATATGGGCGGTACGTAAATTTATCGTCTTTCCCTCCCCCATCTCATCAAAAATGCAGGTGATGAAGAACCTGGTGAGTTTGGGTATCATCCACTCTTTGAAAGTAAACTGAACCGCTTTTGAGATGAACTTGCCGACATGCGGACAGAGCCCGACGAAAGTGACGGGCAACAAGGTGAGTTTTGGTTACATTTATTCTCTGCAAAAAAAACAGAAAGGGCCACTTTTGAGATCAACTTGCCGACGAAAATCATGGGCAACAAGGTGAGTTTGGTTACCATTATTCTCTGCCAAATTACACTGAAAAGGGCTGCTTTTGAGATGAACTTGCTAACGAAAGTGATGGGCAACAAGGTGCGTTTGGTTACATTTATTCTCTGAAATGAGCTGAAAAAGGCGCTTTTGAGATGAGCTTGCCGATATGCAAAGAGAGCCCTACGAAAGTGATGGGCAACAGGTCCTTCGTCACCTAAAGGCCATCGTCGCATGGCACGTCGCCGCAACGAGTCTTCTGGATGAAAGATATCGACGCGTCGCCCCAACTATGCGTGTCGGCCTAGTAGAGATTTCCCCGAGCCGGGATTCCGATCTGATGACCGATGAGGAGGTCATTGACGAATTCTTCCGTAGACGACCCGCTTCATCGTCTGAAACCCGCATCTCTATTGAGAATATCATTAGGGAAAACCACACAAAGAAGACGTTCACTGGTACCACTCATGCAGAAGCGACGCTTATGGGGCTTTTTACATATTTCTCTCCTGGTTTACCTTCCGTCAACCATGGGGATCAGAAAGTTGACGACGCCACTCTTCGTCTTCTCAAAGAATTCATTGAGCCAGTATGTTCTCCTTTCTCCCCGTGCACACATTTGATAAAATCCTTGGATACAGGCCATATTCGAAAAATCCATCGCTGTCAGTAATAAAAAATGCTGTTGGTGCTGTAATAAGCTCAATATCCATCTTGATATCCGTATCAAGTTGCCCGGTACACATGGGGTTTTATTCTCTTGGACTCCTCCTCGACTCGGCGTTGATCTCACTATTCTCCAAAAAACTTGAGAACGATCTATGGGACGAATTGAGCGCAGCTGTAACGGATCAATTTTACCGTGGTCATTCTCGTCAAAGCCCTGGTTCCAGCACGGTCTATGACATAGATCCCACACTTGTGGAAGATATCCTCGAGTTCTTCTAGTCTCCAGCTCCCAGATCTCCATCCCTCCCAGCTTAAGCTAGCGCTCAAGTCGAATTTGATTCCCTGACCCACCTTGTTTGAAACGCACATATTGTGTACATGTCACAAATACATATGTAGGATTTTGTGATTATATATCCAGTAGCGGCGCAAGCGCCAGTCCCCGACTCTCAACATGGAAGGTAATAGACCACAGATAATAAATCTACTATATTTTAGTTGCCTGTGAGAGGCAATGATTTGGGTATCGAAAATCGTAGGTGGGTATTTGCGAGAGGTATAAAGAAGAAACAACGATATGACGTGTCAACGCGCGCGTAAACTTACAAACTAAACATGGGCAACCTCTTCCCCACAAAATACGACCAATACAACGGCGCAACATCCCCACTCGGCAACCCCGAAATATTCCCCGTCATCATGCCCAACGCCCAATCGCTATAAAACACCGCCAATATCCCAAACGCCGCCAAGCCCCAAATTAAACCGCCTACAGCGATCTTGTATATGATTCCCGGGGAAGAAAGGTGGAAGAGGGTGTAGATGGACCCGAGGAGGTAGGTGATTATGCCGATGCCGACGATGGTGTAGAAGCTTGCTGTTAGTTTGGCTATGCCTTGGTGCCCGTGCCCGAATTTGTGGATTAGGGACATGAGCCCGATTATGCCTGCCAGCATTCCTGGGATGTCTGTAGGGGAGGGGAATGGGGTGAGTGGTGGGAAGTAGAGAAGAGGAAGGGGAAGGGGACGAACAGAGGAGTATCCACCATGAAGCTGATTTGAAGGGGAGAGCGTGGATGGGTTGTTGCCGCTCTTCTGAGTGTAGATTTTGAATGGGTGTAACACCCACCACTGTCTCCTTTTCGTCCTTTCCATCAGAGAACGATATCGGTCTCCCCACCTCCACATTGCCAACAACACTCTCACCCCCCAGCCGCCTCCTCATCAAAATCGCGACATGAACAGCCGTAACCCCATTCAACACCGACACATCCAGCTTCCACACAGCAATAACCAACAACTGCCACGTATTCCTACACCGCAAGATCGTCACTATCGACAGGGCGATGGTCACTCCCAGCCCAAGGATCCCCAACGCCAAGTCGAGCTGGGAGTAGTGGATGCGGGAGAAGGGCCAGAGGGGCTTGCGCCCGAACCAGAGACAGAGGATGGTGTAGTATGTGAGGATGTGGGAGGTGAAGCCGAGGGCGCCGTAGGGGAGGGAGTAGCAGTGGATTTCGGTGGTGAGGCCTAGGGAGGATTGGGCGAGAGAGGTTAGTTGGGTGTCGGGTGGGGTCATGGTAAGGTTTTTCCACTAGATTGTGGGAGGGGTATAGAGCGACAGACGCTCATAGCTATTTGCATTATCACCCAGTGTGACTTGCACCAATGTAGGGTTTCAACGTGTTTATTTAGGAGGTAGGAGCCAAATAGCCAGCGTTTGAAGTCAACGACGGTATAAAAGATTGCATGCCGAGCTCGTGGTAGACGCTTGCACCAATGAGTGTTGTAAAAGTCCTCTTTTGCCACGGTTGTAAAAGTGATTGTGGTGTGAATCTAACAAGCGTTCTGGACCGAGTCATGTTACGTCGTTTTGTATCTCGAGTTGTAGCCAGAGGTTCTCTTCGTCGCCAGATGTGCTCAAAGAGGTGCAAAGGGGGACAAGGCCGGCAAAAGTCAGAGGCGCAATTTGACGTCACGGCGAAAGGGCGTCAAAGTATAGGTTGTTGTTTTCCATGAGAAGAGCGGAGATTGAAATGAGTAGAGTCAGATCGGTTCCGGCCGTAGTAGATAAAGAGCAGCTTTGTGTTCCTGGTCTCTCTCTACACCATTACTTTGTTCCCCCTTTTACAACCAGAGCAATATAACTTGTTACCTTCTGTTCAAGTCGTAGACAGCGATGTCAGACGACGACATCCAATTCCTGGGCTCAAAGCCTGTCGAAAGAGCCGCCATGAGGAATGCCCACCGCCCTGTTACGGGTGAGATTCCCTTGCTTCTCATTCACTTCTATAAGGCTCATCTTTGTAGGAATCGGGCTTCACATTGAGAGATCGAGCAATACCCCAGCATATGGGATGGTATTCCGCAGAGCTAGCACGAGCGTCATTCACATTGGTCGGAGACCAGGAACTGATCCAGACCGAAGGTCTCAAGATATCGAGGATGGGAACGCCATGTTCCGATGCGCCGTCGTCAGTCGTAAGCATGCAAAGATCGCACTTTCCGACAGCGGCCATGTACGTTTCCCACTACCCTCTAATTCTTATCATTGTCTTGTCTTACTTTATACTTACAGGCATACCTTATCGATTTGGGCTCGCACCATGGAACTCACGTTCGCAAGCGGGGTGAAGGGACTTCCAAGATCCTCAAGCCTGAGACACCTGCACTGCTTACTGACGGCGATGTCGTCACTTTTGGCAAGGCAGTGGGCAAGGGTGAGGAATGCGTGCGGCCCATCACGGCAAGGGTGGAACTTCTATATGGCGCCCAGGCCCTGTCATCCATCAAGCCTCTAGTCGTCCCCTCCTCTTCCACTAACTCTTCCCCCTTGTCGTCGTCGGACCGATCAAGCAATAAGACTACGGGACGTTATGGCGTTCATTCCTCCCCTTCATCGTCCGATGACTCATCCGCGCCCAACTCTGACCAATATTCAGACATTGAAGAGATCCCCGCACCGGCGTCAGCAGTGAAAGTAGCTTCCCCCGACCACGACGATGGGCACATTGGCAGGGCTTTTGAGGTGTTGAAACATCTTTTACCCCCTTCACATACGCCATGCACCCCTATCCGAGGCCGATCGCCCGCAATCGAGCTTTTTGATTCTCCCTCGCGAACCCGCTGGTTAAATCCTCCCCCACACCCTAGCTTCCCGTCCCGCTGGCCAACCCCTCCTCCCCTCCAACCCTCGTCACCCAGCTATTTCCAGCACTCTCCACCTTACAGTCCTCGTTCGCTGAGCTGGCCTGACTCGCCCAGCCCACCTTTCTCCAACTACGATCCTGTTGGCTTTGATGCCTCACAGCATGACATTTTCGAGGCAGGCAGCAATAGGTCTTGCTTGTCCTCGCCTATGGATCTTGCCAGTCCGTCTCCTGGACCCCTCATCTCGGTTCTTCCCCCTGTGGAACCATCTATGGTTGGGGCGTGGCCGGCGTCTCGTTCCTCTGTCTCCAGTGCCCCTGGTACACCTGAGCCAGAGTCCCATTCTACGAACCAGCCAGAATCTCTTAGTGTGTCATCGGAACAGGTTCAGAGTCTCGGAGGAGAACAGAAGGAGGCTGTGCTTTCTGAAAGCCATGAGCAGGTTGCTGCGGCTGTTGAGCCTCCGGCATCGTTGGCTGAAAGTGACGATCTCTATGCGCCTGCCAAGGCTCCTGAAGAAGTCGTCAAGCAACCTGAACCCGCAGGAGCAGGGTTCATGCCTATGTGTGAGGTTGAGCCTATCATTGCTGAGCTAAATGCTCTGAAGACAAATTTACATAATCTTCAGGTATCGTATTCCTTTCTTTTTCACATCTCCATCTTCTGACAGCAATATCAAAAAAAAAATAGAACGACGTTACAGCGCTGCAGAAACAACGCCGCCAGCCGCGACCACGGTATAACAACACCCACGACATGCACACGCTCGAAGAAAAGGTTTCGGACTTTGACGATCGGCTTTTGGACGTTGACTCAAAGTACATCACGCTGGCTGATCAAGTGGAGGGGATGATGCATATTGATATACCGGATCTGCTATCGCAGATTGAGGCGCTGCAGGACCAGGCGGAGAATGTGACGCATGTTGATATTGCGGATTTGCAGGATCAGGTGGATGTGCTTGAGGAGGCGCAGGCTGCGTTGCGTTCTGAGTGTGAGAAGGCGAACAAGGATAAGGAGGAAATGAAACTGAAGACGAAGAGGGAGGAGGAAGAGGCAAAGCCTTTTGGGGAGAGGGAAGATGTGAAGAGTTGTTTGCAGACTATGAGGGATATGGTTGATGGTATGCCATTCATTCATTGGTGAAGGACTGAACTGACGTTGAACAGAAATACGAAATCTTCGAGATCGGGCGGAGAAGCAGACGACGGCGGATCTTGAAGCTGTACGAAAGATACGGGATGAGATGGTTACTTGTCAGGCCGAGACGTCTGGGTACCGGGATGAGGTTGAGGTTTATTGGGATGAGACGTCTTGCTATCGGAATGATGCGGATGATTATCGGGCTGACGCTGAGGCTTGTCGGGATGATGTGTTGGCTTATAGGGATGAGATGAGGTTTTGTCGGGATGCAGTGATAGCTCATCGGGATGAGGCGATGGCCCATCTGAACCAGACGAGGGTGTATCGGAATGAGACGCTGGCGCACCGGGATGGGACGATGCTTTATTGCAACCAGACGTTGGCCAATATCGCTGCTCGGGAAGAGGTGATGGCGGCCCAGAACACTAACACGGCGGTAGCTGCTGCTGCAGAGGTATGCATCCTTTGATTCTTGCTGTACTAACATCGTTGACCGTCCTCAGACTACACCCGTTCTTACGTCGTTGAAGCGGAAGCGCGATGATACGGACGAGAACGAGGTTGGGGATGAGGTTCAGAGTGACGCAGTGAGGATAGTTGCCGTTGCCGTTGGGCCAGATGGTGATGATGCTGTGATGAAGGAGGAGAAAGCTGCTCCTCTGGCTGATTCATCCACGTCTAAACCGACGCCTGCAGACGGTCCACGGCGTCCCAGGAAGCGGGCGCGAAAGTTTGCAAAGGCATTCGTGCAGACCGCTACTGCTGTTACGCTGGGAGCTGTGGTTACTTGGTCGGCGTTGGCTTTTAGCTGAGCCCCTCTCAAACCCCACAAAGTTGGGCTTGAACTTGCCAGGAGTGCTATGAAGGCGAGAAGAACAGTTTGTTGTATGTATGTTTTAGGTTTTACTATGCGAGTATGTTGTAATACTATTGTACTTACGTGTTGTATGTTCCAATGCAAATTTTATGGGTTCATTGTCCACAGGGAAGTCGATTGATGGAAAAGTCATAGTAAAGTGGGGGAGATATGGTACATCAATAGAAATGCAGCGAGATACTACGTAAGAAGCACGGCAGCGACAGTGAGAGAATTAGGGGGAGCCTGAGAGTCAAGAACCATCAGAGGTTCGCTGATGAACAGTGGCCTGCCTGCTCCTCTCCATCTTCTCCTTTGTGAGATAGTATACAGAAATCAAAGGATGGAACCCCCTCGTTGGATCTTGCGGTTTCTGGCAATTCCGATTCGCTGTAGATGATGATGAGGTCGGATCCGGATCGCATTGGTGTTCTTGGTTGTAGTAAATCTCTGCGTCTGAAGAGGAGCTCGCCGAGAAAACTGACAAGACCTTCTTGCGGCATTGCTCGAATATGCCAGTTTTCCGACGCCCGTGGTCTGGCACCACCTCATCCAAAGGACTTGTTAACTGAACTGCATCGTCATTCGGATTATCGTCATCCACAACGCCGAGCCCGGGACTTTGCCGTTGTTCCCATTGTCGTAAAACACGGAGATAAACATCAGATTCAAATATATCCACGAGCTTTCGTTCGATTTCCTCGTCAGATCCAAAGTCGAACTTGTGCATGGCATGAATAACCTGTCGGTCGAGCTTGCGTCCGTCAAGTGGTTGACGAACAGGAAGATGGTTGGGAGCAGGACCACTGAACCCATGGACCATCCACGGGTGGCAGGTCACTTCCGAGAGAGAAGCCCGCTTCTCTCGAGATACTTTCAACATTCGAGAAAGAAGGTCCTTGCACTCTTCATCCGGCTCGATAAGTTGAACAATGACATCGCAGGTGAAAAAGAAGACTCACGAGGACTCAACGAGGCTGGAAACTTCAAGCTGCCTCGCCTCATCTTGGCCTGCAACGCAGCAGGGTTTTCGTCATCCCAAGGGACGCCACCACAGACCATAGTATAGAGTACCACCCCAAAACTCCAAACATCCACCTCAGGCCCAGTATAAGGTGCAGCGTTCAAAAGCTCAGGGGCCGGGAAATACGAAGAACCGCAGAATGTCGAGAGGTGATCATTGGGGTCGTACAAATTTGAAAGACCAAAATCAGTGATTTTAGCCTTCCCGCTCGGTGAGATCAGGATATTCTCGAGTTTGACGTCTGGATGAAAGAAAAAAATCAGTAACGAACAAGCACACGAGTGTAATGTACCTCGATGGACGATATTATTCATGTGGCAATACTCGAGAGCGCTTCCAATCTGACGCGCAACTTTTCTTGCCAGGCGCTCGCTAAAGTGGCCATGGGTTATGATGTAGTCAAGCAGCTGGACACTGTCCTGCGCGTGTCCAAAGACCAGATAGTGGTGATGATTATCGACCACTTTCTCAAGCATTTCGCAAATATAGGGGTGATGAAGCAGGTTAACAAGAGCGGCTTCGCGAAGAATGTGCTTTTCTCTTTCCATATCATGATAGGCCAGGCGAGAGGCAATGGGCGGTGGATCGACACCTTTGACCTCAATAGGAGGGTAGAATCGAGGCACGATCTTGACAGCAACCTTGAAAAAGTGTGAGCTCCCTTCTAGTAAAGCAGCGGAACTCAAGACAGACCTTATCTCCAGTGATCTTATGGGTGGCGAGGATGACCTTTCCAGTACTTCCAAATCCTAGCGTTCCCCCAAGCCTATAATGGTCAAGCATTACTGCAAGCACTAGACAAGGAGCAGGTTCAGGCGGGGGATGGACGATAGACGGTGGACGCTGAGGGGAACAGCCTTCATGATGTGCAGATTTGTAGTTGCTCCTGCGCTTTGCTGTGTTTATATTGTGGTCATTCCATGCAAAGAATACAGTGTGTAGTTAACGAAAGTGTGATTAGAGTGGTGATAATTAAATAACGACTTGAATGTTCCTTCAATCAGTACTCAGTCCTTCAGTCACAGATGTGAGGATACTGATAATTGGTGGGGTTCTGTGGAATCCAACCATACGCCAACCCAGCCTTGTAGGACCATTCGTCCGCGTTCTCTGCCTTCCACGTCCACTGGATCCATCCCTGCGACTTCTCAAACGACATGGCTTGCGCCTCCCAGGTCTTTGCGAGGGATGTCTTATAGCTCGAACTGAAGGTGGACGCTTTTCCTGTCAGACCATCGCAGGAGCCAACACGCGACTGGGAAGTGCCAGGATACGACCCATCGTACCGCGACCCTACATCACGACCTGTCTTGCCGTCACGACTATTGAGGTACTTTGCACAATCAGTCATCGAAGGGGTCCATTCGCCAACTACCACCGCCAACCGCTCGCTAGAGTGTAGTGAGTTTCCGAAATCGCAGGCAGCACGAATGTGTTGACTTTGAGACCATTGATTCTCCTGTCATGGCTCGAATTAGTCAAATCTAAGTTAAGATATTCGCGGGGAACCTCACAGTGGGTGAAAATATCTGGTAGTGGTGGGTATCCAACACAACGCCTTGATAGTGGGGGGCAGTCATAAAATTGTTCCATGAATCCAGAGGCTGGAAGGCATCGTGGATGACCGAGACGGCGTTCCCCGGCTGTCCCTTGGGATTCCTACGACGATCCCGCCTATGAGTAGCTATCACGAGTGTGCACTTGATTGAACCTACCGAATGCGTTCGTAGCTGTCTTTCCAGTACTAATCAAGCGAAAGAGAGATCAAAACGAGAATACAATAAACTCGGTGAAATACAGACCTGCTTGGTGGTGTGGATAACATCCTGCCCTTTGAACCCTGCGGGCCTATGATGACTTGATGAGAATGAATATGAATCAATGTTACTTGATACGCACTCGTTCAATGGGGCGATAGCAGCCACAACTCCAGTCTGATCTTTGAACATGAAAGCAATTTGCTCAATGATCGCATTGCTTCGGTCGACATTTGATTGAGCTGTGTGCCATTGACTGTATGCTCAATTAGCCACAATGACGCCAAACAGCTGGATATATGCGCACGGATAGTCCTTCTTCTGACCAGAATTATCAAATCTGGAAAGAAAGCAATATCAGCACGTTAAATAAAGAGCGTAATAGAAAGTACAAACCCGTTCTGACTGCCAGGGGCGCCTATATGCGTGCAAATGTTGGTTAAATCGGCAAGAGAATGGTTTCGGTGAAGCATACCGTGGAGATCGACAATGACCTTGAGGTCACGTTTCCTGGCCCAATTCACCGCCTTGCGAAGGTATGGTAGTTGACCTTTAACGTAAGGCTCTCCAGCAGAGGTCTCGAATGCCCAGTATCCGATTGGGAGACGGACATGATTGAGTCTGTAGGGAGGCGATAGTGGGCGTCAAGCCAACTCTCAAGAAAGAAAGACCTGAAACATACCCAGCAGCAGCAATTTCCTCGAAGTCCTGTTCGGTTATCCAGGTATTCCAATGCTCCTCAAGAGTGGCGAGGGCCACATCGTGATCTTGATACTGACCGAAGGTCCACTCGTCAATGATCTTCGGGTTGCCGGTGTTATCGAAAAGAGAGGGCGTTATCCATGGCTGGCAATCGCGTCATCTGTTAACATCGATTTAAAGAGCGAACATTGCCGACAAACCTCAAGCACAAGCCAGCCACCCAAGTTGACCCCGCGGATTTTCTGGGTCTCGTAAGGGAACCCTGTAGTGAGGGCCCGAATGGCGGGAAGCAAAGTGGAGAGGGAGATGAGAGAGGCTGCGAACGCGCGAGTTAGCCTGACCATGGCGAAAGGGATGAGGGGGAATAAAAGAGTGTGGGCGTAAAAGACAGTGAGATTCAGCGGGAACGAACGTGGGGGGAACCAAGTCGTAAGGAAAGAGAAAACGCGGTGGTCGAGCCTTATATACGCACCAAGCAGACCCTAACTTGGTAAGTCCCAATTGGTGCAATGGTGGTGCATAAAATTAGCGCAATTCGGTTGAGTGCTCGGGAACGTATCGGTAGAACATTCCTGCTCCCAACTGTGGGTATTCGTCCGTGTCGACAGCCATCTGAAGAGTGCCGATGCACATTGCATGATTTGTTGGAGCTTTAAACGCGACAGAAGACGCGGTGGTAAAGGTTGGGCTTCGCGTCGTCCGACTCGTGGTTCTACAATGTTTCGGTCACGTGACGCAAATGATGACATGCACAATGTGATGACATCGAACCAAGTTTTCCAATTAGTTTCGCCTCATTCCATAATTTGCTGACCAGCGCCGCACACCTTCTTATCTTTACTCTTCCAATTGATCAGCAACTTGACATTCCTGTAAAATGTTGTTATTGGACGAATCGAAACGCATCAAATTGATTGCTTCTTGAGGTCCTCTCCAATCCGATTGGAGATGACCAAGCTGGCGGGGTCAAAATTTAGTGTGACGCCTAAATGCAGTTGTGCTACGCAGTGCACCACCACTCGTTGCCACTGTTAACTTGCGATCAGCCGACTGACCAGCAGACCCCACCCCCGACCAGGCTGGCAGGGCTCACGATTAAAACCTACTTCGAGGAGCCACCGGCACTGGGTCCCTCAACTGGCGACTAAACTCGCCGCGACCCACTTACTTACCGACCTCGACCGTCTGATCTGCAAAAGAATACAGCACACTACAGACACAGGGCGAACAGCCTGAGTAACACATGCAGCACAACTCAAAAGCCACAGTGAGCGCAACAACTTGGGATGAAGGTACACCTCGACTGCCTCAAAAATACTGAGGACATCAGAGCGTACTTTGCAATATATATCATCAAAAAAATCCTACATATGTATTTGTGATACAATATGGGCATTTCAACCTTTTGTCTTGGGGGGGGGCGGATAGACACCAGGTTTCTCCTGATCTGCCAAAGTTAGGGGATTTTCGTCAAAAACAGTGCTAGAGCCAGAGCTTTGACGAGAATGACCACCGGAAATCTTATCCGTTACAGCCGCGCTCATTTCGTCCCATAGCTCTTTCTCAAGTTGTTGGAGAATAGTGACCTCAACGCCCACTCGAGGAGGAGTCCAAGCGAATAAAACCCCATGTGAGCCGGGCAACTTGATATCGATATCAAGAAGGCTGCCGAGCCTGTCACAGCACCAACAGCACTTTTTGCCGACAGCAATGGCTTTCTCAAATGTCGCCTGTATCCAGGGATTCATTAGACGTGTGCAGAAAAAGAAAGGACAACAAACAACATACCGGCTCAATGAATTCTTTGAGAAGACGAAGAGTGGCGTCCTCAATCTGATTCCCATAATTGACGGAAGGTGAGCCGGGGGAGAAATATTTAAGAAGCCCCATAAGCGTCGCTTCTGCATGAGTGGTACCAGTGAACGTCGCCATTGTGTAGTTTTTCCTGATAATATTCTCAATGGAGGTGCGGGCTTCAGACGATGAGGCGGGTCGTTTAAGGAAGAATTCCTTGACGAAGTCCTCAACAGTCATGAGATCGGGGTGTCTCGGGGTAACCTCTACTAAGCCGACACGCAGAGTTGGGGCGATTTGTCGACGATTTTTATCCAAGAGACTTTGTGCGGCGGCATGCCATGCGACGATGGCCTGCAGGTGGCGAAGGACTTGTTGCCCATCGCTTTCGTTGGGCTCTCTCCGCATTTCGGCAAGTTCATCTCAAAAGCGGCCCTTTCAGTTTATTTCAGAGAAAAAATGTAAGCAAACTCACCTTGTTGCCCATCACTTTCGTCGGGCTCTCTCCGCATTTCTGCAAATTCATCTCAAAAGCGGCCCTTTCAGTTAATATTCAACTCACCAGGTTCGGCATCACCTGCATTTTTGCGCGTAAACCATGAGATGAGGGAGGAAAAAACGATAACTTTACATACCGCGCCTATTCAATGGAGCAGGGAGGTCGAACGCATGTGCCAGTGACGTCCTGGTTAGAAGGGTCTTTACGATACCCTCCTTCCAATGCACGTACGCATGCAGACAGTAACACCAATTATGAATATCGTTTAGCCCCCTGGTCTCTTTATCGGTCTCCCCCTTCTCTCGCGCTAACTTCGTCCAGCTTGTTGTGAATTCCAGCTGCTGGAGGATATACGCGAGAAGCCAGGCCCAGCTCCGCAAGGTGGCGTTTGAGAACTCCCATTGAGTGACAGGTCGCCCGTGAATCCCTATCGTTCTCTCCCTCAATCCGTCAAGTACATCGGGGGGGAAGTCTACAAGTGCCCATTGTGGGCGTTCTATCCACCGAACATCATCGAGTTCTTGACTGAGAGGAGTCCAGTCGAAAATCTTCTGGCTCACACTCACATCCCAACATCCCTTGTCTTGAAATACGCGTTTGGACAACTTCCGGAAACAGCGCCTGACGATGAAGAGGCAGAACGAACGGAATTGGCCCTTAACATTTGGATCATACGAGTCTATAGCGGCCCAAACGTCGGCTATGTGCTGAGGGAGCTTCGCGTTCTTGTTCCTTTAGACAGTTAGGATTACACAAAGGGAGATGGCCAACAGAAGTACCCTTTCACCACCTGCTCGAATGTCCCACTTGACTTCATAATCTCTTCCACTCCAAGTTCGGAAATGTCGGTGGAGCCAGAAGGATTTTGAGTCACGACCAAGGTCCGTAACTCTTCATCGAACAAGCTACCAGTAACAGCGATGACTCTTCTAGCTTCTGCATCATCTTTGCTGCCACAGGTAAGGAGAGTAGCCAAGTGACGTAGAAAAGCTGGGGCCTCTTTCTCTCTCTGTCGGCTGGTAGGGGGATGTCGCCTCTTCATAGCGTGGAGAATTGATGTAAGCGTCTGGATGCGTCGCTCGACGAGGTCGAAATCTGTGTTTGGAGAGGTCTGCATAAGAGTGGTATAATTGGGAGATTGAGTTGAGATTGAAAGCAAATTGGGAGTTCAACGTTCAAAGTTAAGAGGGCTTTCGACTACTGATGTACTGATGGCCCGCCGATTTAACAGGATCTCCCGGATCTCAACTGTTTTAGGAAGGAGCACGTGACCACGTGATGTTTGTCCATGTCAATGTTCACAATTTCTTGTTCCTCAGCGTTCTTTGACAACATCTGACGAATGAAAGCCACACCCGACGACGCATCATCAACCTTCTCGTATGACGGCGAAGGAGTTCCTGACACATTTAGCCTCTGTGAGCTGAGAAACGTTGTCAACTCCCACTTCAACGAAATCTGCACTATCGCGAAATTAGCAGAAGGAGGCTATCACAAGGTATACATCGCTCCTTGCCCTTTTGTTGTCTCACACATTCACGATTTTTAGGTCTACGATATATTGAAGGACGATGGAACCTCCATTGGAGTTGTCCGCGTCGCGCTCCTGCATTCCCAAAAGATAAGCTTGAGTCAGAGGTTTGCCGTGTCGCTAGAGTTTCTGTGTGTATTTTACCAATAATGTTGATATCAGGTCGCAACCCTCAAATACCTGGCTGCGCACACAGTCATCCCAGTGCTGAAGGTGTTCGCATGGGATTCGAACGCGGCTAATCCAGTTGGTGCGGAATACATGATCATGGAGAAAGTGGGTACGAGACAAGTACACAACTTCATTACTGACATAGTACATCTTGAAGCTTCCAGGAGTCTCTGCTGACGACGTATGGGAGAGCCTTGCGATGCATGTGAAGGAACGTGTAGTGCTCCAAGTTGCTGAATATCTCATGGCCATGTTTGCACTCCGTTTCGAGACCGCGGGCTCACTCTATATTTCTTCAGATGAAGTTGTCGTTGGTCCTATCATTAGTACACCATTTTATCGTGCTCTCGATGGTGTTGTTCGCCTGCCCCAGGGCCTTTCACCTGATGACACCCACCGTGGCCCCTTCTCTACTACAACCGAATATCTTCAGAGCTACACCCACGCGGAGCTGCAATTTATCTCTCAACACTACTCAATTGCACTACAGGAACTCGATGGAGAGAATGAAGAGTTAGCTATTCGCCATTTAGAAGATGCACAGCGTATCCTGCAGAAGACTCTTGACTTATGTGCCGTCTATCCAGGCAACATTCAAATACATGACCCGGAAAATCGATCCCCAAAGCCATTTTCCCTGCGACTTGACGATTTTCGACTCTGAAACATCAGGGTATGTCCACATCTCTTTTACTGCCGCAGACGCTCAATCATGATAACAGATCGATGAAATTACTGGTCGCGTAACCGGATTGATTGACTTCGAGGGAACCACGATCGCGCCTTTGTGGGAATGCGCGTTCCTTCCGCGATGGCTCCAACATCCCGCCGATCCAGAAGCGACCTATGAAGGAGGAGACGAGGAGACAAGACAAGCCTTACGTGCGATTTTTATGGATAAGGTCGGGAATGGGCAATGGGCTGTGCTATATGAGCTTGGGAAGCCTTTCAGGCAGCTGTGCGATCGGTTACATTTCAGGGTTGGCGTCTGGCTAAGTCTGGAATCATGGGTTGATGAGAGGCTGGCTTGGGCAAAAGATCATCCAGGCATTGGGTATCCTGAATCGGAGGTGCCTTGATCTTTCATTCTCAATTACTGGTCTGATGACTTTGCTTGTACTTGAGTGCTTGAGCCTCATCTGACCATTACCTGGAACGTCATCTTCGTAATGATCATAAGCAATTTGGCAAAGCTGTTTCTACGGGTTTCTCAACCCGAGCAACCTCCGAAAACCGTGGAGGTGAGCGACCACATGTCGATTTGACCTGACTGTTGACTCTCAGTAAAAAGCAAAGTCAAGCAAAATAGCACAAAGTCAGAGGTCAGTCAAGTGTACGTCACACATCTGTAATTTTTACGCCACCCTTCCCTCAAACTTCCCTTGGCAACAAATGGGAGATGAGTTTAGTCATAGGTTAGTATCAACTTCGTCATACTTTTTCTACACATGGCTATGCCAAGAATTTTTGTCTAGCTGAGGCCTCTGAGGCTGCAGGCTGCGGTGCATTGGACTTAGAAACGTTGCGAGTTGAAAGTCACATGATTGCTTCGTTGAAAAGTTATTTTGACGTTTGAACCTGTTTGAACTTGACCTTGTCACTTCGACGACCAGCCCCGCACGCTCTTCCTCAACTGCTCAATTGACGACTCTGGCCGCTGGCGAACCAGCTACACCCAAGGACCTCCTCGTCGACAGATTCCACTCCTTTGCAGATGTATGCAACGCACAAAACGAGCACACGAGGATACCACCATCGCGAATGACTCCCCTATGAAACGAAGGTCATTAGCCCCCAACATGCCGTCACTGCCTCCGACTTCCATCCGTTACACGAAAATGCGACGGCGATCCAACGAAGTGTTACATTGGAACCAGGCTTACCGACGACACAGTCGACGCTCTTTGGCTGGACGGCCCACCATCACCACCACCAAAACATGGCGAGCGCAGAGGTAATCCTCGTCAACAACCGCATTCTCAACGCCCCCTGCTCAAATCCAGGTGGCGCACTCATCGACTCCCTCTCTTCGCTCCCCATTTCCCGTGCAGATGGGATGGCGACGACTCGGTCTCGGATGCGGAGGATTTGACGGATATTGGATGTGGTAATGGACCGCTCAACGACGAGCTCGACGGTGTTGTTGGAGCACTTGAATGGACTCGACATGCTGCAGAGGGCCTTTTATTCCGACATGATCCTGAGACCCTCTTCTTATTCTAGTGCCGAAAACCCAAGTATTCCTCTCCCCCCTACTATACTTAGTTTCATGCCTACTACATGTATCCTCTGAAATACTTTAAGTAGCCAAATATAATTTGATTCAGCCTATTTGCTATCCTGAATTGGGCCCAAGCAGCAATGACTGGGATGTGACTATTGTATGACTAGTACATGACTGAGTGTAAGACTAATATATGACTATTGTAGTACGAGCGTAGTCAGAAACGCTTAAAAAAAACGACATTTAGTCAGACAGCCTCTAATTGGTGACTTTCTCGTGACTAACGTCTGACTTCGCTATTTACTGAGGTTGACTTGTCATGACTAGTCAATGACCGGCACATCACAACGTTTTGCGGCAACCCGCCACCCAAATAGCGTATACCGACTCGACGGCGGGTCCCTTACATATATTCCTTTTCAGGTTTCTGAACACTTCCAAAATCAGTAAAACCTGCGAATTAGTGGTGACTAAACGTGGTGCGATGTGCGCATCCATCAATGTAAGATAAAATCCATTGTCGCCAACTATACTACTTTGATGGAGTGTTATCAGCTGACGGTGGTCAACAGCATCTTCTTTAGGACCTTCTGCGTAAATGACGTAAAGGGCGCAGTACCCTCTATGTACAATGGTGGCTCTATGGCTGCGAAGGCATTTACCGTCATGGAGGGAACCTCTCGATTCTGATCTTGCAGCATCTGTAGAGGCGCTGGGTATTTTGGTGTTTGGATATATGCACTGGACGTCTAAAATTCTGAGACATTTTGGTCCCGGGTATGAGGAGGTGAAGCCTGATTGCGTCGTGCGATTTGGAGCCCCTGAACATAAGAAGAGCTGGTACAAGAGTTGTACGTCCATTTTCATTTGTCAACGTTGCTTGCTAACGGCAATTAAGTTCAGCTCGTTATTGGTGTATCGACGATATCAGTTGTTAGTATTGGCTGCGCTCTCGCCAGATATCATGCTAATTCTTAGTGCTTTGGATCCTTGCAATGTTTTGTCCCTTACTGAAGTTTTCGTTAACATATTTTTCTTTTCGAAGCTCAAGCTCCTGCTCCCACAGACAGTCCACGACGACATGCAGGCAACAAGAAAATCTATACATCGCTGCATGCATAACACGACATTTTCGTTGCAGTCATATCTCGATCCCTAGAGGACCCTATCAAAATCGAACCTCTTCCAATTGAATTTGCCCCATGCCATAATCTGCTGACCAGCACCGCACACCTTCTTATGCTTACTCTTCCAATCAGCAACTTGACATTCCTGTAGAATGTTATCATTGTAAGGATCGAAATGCATTAAAATAGGCTCACTTTACTGCAATATCTCAAGGTACAACTCGAGCAGTGGAGTTCTGCGGATTTGTTGCAAACGGGACAAAGGCTTGATTGCTTCTTGAGGTCCTCTCCAATCTTCATAAAGCTGGCGAGGTCACAATTGAAGGACTAAAATCGAATGATTTCAACTATCAACAAACGCAACACAACACCTACCTTGACGGAGGACGCATCTTCAAGTCTGATACCCACCTGCCCATCCGCAAATTGATGTTGATGAGCGTGACTGATTGACATCGTTCGCCCGACTCTAATATTCATAGACGCGACTTCCTCATTGTTGTCGAGATGGAAAGCAACAAGGAATTTGTGCCCCTCCAAATCTTTGACATTGAACATCGGCCGTATCCAGGGAATAACCTCAACAATTTCGACAAGCAGGCACCAGTGCACTGCGGGTGAGTATCCGAATCCGCGTTCTTCGTAGTACGTCAGGTCGATGTCGTTCTCTTCTGGGAGGCGCCTAAAAGTCGGGAAATGAAGCTGTTCAGTGGTGATTTGCCAGTTAGTGTTTTCCTGGTGTCTCAATGAAGATACGGACTTTGTCTTCGACGTTGACTGGACGTATAGGTTTGGACGACATAGTTGGGTGGAGCCTTTGGAGGTCAAGTGGAAGTCCTTTATTATTATTGCCATGCTTGGTCGGCGAGGCACTTGTGCTTATACATACATCCAATCTCGGCTGTCTAAGCCATATATGGTTTGTATGCCCCAGTGGAAGTTGAGTGGAAGGCTTGGAAGTCCTTTCTTTACGTTGAACGCGTCTCGTCACGGTCACGTCGATGCCACGTGTAACACTAACGCACGCCCAATATTACTCTCCTCTCGATTCGTCAACCACAACTTTGGGCAAAATATCAATTGAGGTACGTGGTGTCGAACATTAGACATTTGACCACCCGCGTAGGATGTGATTTGGGCGTTTCAGAATTGAATGAGCGTCAGCACGCCGTCGAAAGAGTTTTGGAGATTGGACGAAGTCAAGTGCAGAGAATCTGTGTTCCCCACCTTTCTCGTGATCAAGTTCGCATAGTATTCGAAGATCCAGAGGTGCAAGCGAGTCCTCGTTCGTCTCATTATAATTTCTTTTGGAAAAGTCAAGGAATTTTGAAAGGCTATAATAAATTAATAATAGAAGACATCTCAACGGCAACGGCGAAAAATCATGTACTTGCTTAAATTTTTGTGAGGCGCGAGCCTTATTTTTTTTTTTTCAGCCAGCGCTTTTCGATTTTATTGTGCAGTGGAGATTGTCCTGCGGCTTGATGGGATCTTCCTTCCGTGCCGGCGTCAAGTGCCAATCTGACTCCGTGGAAGCAAATGGATGAACTCCATGTGTCGTTTATAAATAACAGCGGAGACTTGAAAGACAATAGAAGACAATTGCCAACAGTCTCCGTCAAGTGGGGGAGTTGTTCTGCGATCTTCCGTTCGTTCGTCCCGACCAAAAAGTTCGATGTCAAGATTGTGTCAAGACTGTAGTCTGTCGGACAGGCGAGCGTGGGCTAACCCAAAACGGGAGATCAGTTGTGTCTCCGAAAAAGGCAAGTTGACTTTCAGGCACGGTGTTGTGATTGGCTGTTTGTGAAAATTCGTGGTTGCCTTGTTATTCTGCGGTTCATCATTTTTTGTTCCCTCCCTCAGCCTGATAGAAACACGAGGCGGACCAGTACACGAGGCGTGCGCATTCAGAGATAACTCATTAGGGGCCCGCTGCCTACACACTATAATCGAGAACAGGCTTCTCCAGGCGTCTTCTTCTGGCCACGTACCCACGAAATAACACGACAGCCACGTTTCCTTTTCTTCTACGGCTTCTTGTTCTTATCGTCCATTCAACTCTGACGACGGCTACACTTCTACTATGTTCTTCAGCTCACGAACATCACGACAGCCTACCCCGGAAGAACCTACACCAAACACAGCTGATATTAACGTCAACATGAGCGCTGGCAGTTCGTCGTCTGGGTCTCCAGACACCTCCCCTATCGATACGCGTGGGGATGTTTCTGAACCACCTTCATCTTCGTCCCCACATCGCAGGTCACGATCGGACTATTCGGAAGGGTACCCTTCATGGCTTCCACGCAGGCCACCACCTCCAGCGCCTGGTTCCACGTTCCATTCGTCTGTTGGGGGTGCACCGTATGACCCTCCGAGCCCAGCTGAGCCATCGTCCTCTGCGCAGGCGGCTATTGTGGGCGGACGTAAGCCCACTCCGCGATCTGTGCGTATCGTCAGTCTTCAAGACTCCTTCATCAATGTTGGGCCGGAGGACTTGGACGCAGATGATCGCAGAGAGCCAACTGACCAAACCCGGGTTGCTCAACCTCATGCTCACACTCGGGCTTGGTCTCGTGGGACGGCAATGCCTGCAGCGATGTTTGCTGCCTCTGGCCTTAACCAGGTGTCGGCCAAGCCTCAACCCAAGTTCAACACCAGGGGACTGCATACAGAGCTCCTCCGGAACCCATCCTCACTTGTGAGGGCTTATTTTTATATATGGCCACTACTTGTGCTTGGGCACATCCCGCTACAGACGTTCTTTGACTTCAATACGGCCTTCATGTTGATTCAGTAAGTACTCCCGTTCTCACCTTCTTGTTTATGCTCCCGGTTCTGATGGAAGCTGACGTTTTCGCCTCCCATCAGAGTATCAAAAATTCCCAACCCCCAGTCGGCCCCAGGAACGGGTAAAAATTGGGCCCTTGCTGCAGCAGCATACATCGCGTGCTGGCTCGCTTGGATATTTGTTGTATGCCTCGTTTATGAACTTGTGTACTCCTTTACGAGGCGGTGGCGCGTCCGTGAGTCCATCCTTCCGATACCTGTCTTCCAATCAAATTCTGATTCTTGATCTTCTCCCAGGCCGCCCGTTGATGGTGCCCATCTATCTCTCTGCGCCCGCGTTCAATTATGCATCCATGACTTCCTACACGACCTTCAGCTTCCTCCATCATATAAGATACACCGCATTTTTCGACGAAGAACATGGGTCGCTTCGTGACGGACTCGCTGAGACCTTCAACTTTTACTCTCAGAATTTGCCTACGGTAGCTCTTCTGCTCCCTCGTGCTGGATTGGCTATGGCCCTTTTATTTTCGTTCTCTTCCTTCAACCAAGATAATGCTGCGTCATTTTCGTTCACGACAAGCAGGAGAGATGCAACGTTCTTCCATCAAGCAGATGGGACACTAACGGCCTATGCTAAGGGAATACTTTATGCTAACGCTGCTTGGACTGCATGGCGGATTTTGGTCCTTGTTACTTCCTGGTGTGTATTTTCGTGCTCATGGAGCCTCAAATTCTGACCCAAATGCAGGCTTGGGCTCTGGATACTCAGTGGATCCGGCTGTGCAGGGCTTTGTGGTCCCCGTGACAAATGGGAAGAAGCGGACGCCGAGAAGATTACAAGGTCCACATACGCTGACAACACCTCTGAGCAGGACGAGCTCCTTCCCTGGCATTGGCGTGAGTGCACGAGACTGAGAATCAACGATGCCTACGAGTTTTGCATGACCGTACATCCTGGGTTACGATGGAGTCGTTCCACCGCTGAACAAAAGCAAAAGCAACCCTCTGGAACTGAGGGGGAGCAAAGGCGCAGCGCGGGTTTTGAAGGACTCGAGAAAGTCTTGGCTGCCGTTGGATTTCCAAGCATTCCTCCGCTCGCAAGACGCGGGGTACTCTCTGACGATCTGTTTGAGAGTCCACAAGACGAGAAAGGCACGGTGTTGTCGGATATCATTCCTGCACCGACCAAGAGGAGCTCGAGAGACCGGATTGTGGGTTCCCCTCCGGGCGTTGGCGCACCACTGATGCAACTTCCCTATCCGTTTACAAAACCTGGTAGCGGACAAGTATCGTCTAAGGATAAAGTTCCATTCCCGCCGACGCCGGTCGGAAGTTTAGGCGGGGGAAGTAGCAAAAAGGCGAAGAAGAAGGGGAGTAAGTCTACAACTGCTACCAATTTGTCTGGAAGCAGTGAAAGCTCGAGCGCAACTACTACCACTGAGGAGGAGGAAGACGAGGAGGAGGACGAGGAGGATGAAGAGGAAGACGATGAATACGAAGAAGAGCCCTCCACAGGACGTGCATCAGGTTCCATGTCTTCACTTGGCCAACCCATCCCGCCTTCGCGTTACCCCTTTAATATCCGTCGGCCAGGTGGGCGTGGAAACAGCATGTCCTCGCACGGAACACGCTCCGGGGGAACACGCTCCATTATGTCGCAGAGCACAGGCAACCGCGAATCCACCGATTCCCCACGTAGCCCCATCAGCTCCAATTCGGAAAGAGGCAGATCAAGCTTGAGCCAGGGAAGCGTAGCTGGGATCCCGATGCCGATACGCCATCCTCATCCACAGCAACAGGTTAGGGGACGTGCAGAGACTGAGCATATTCGCCGTCCTTCAGGAGCAGGATCGACGCCCCCGCCTATTGCCCTTGGAACAGTCGAGTTCCCAAGTGTAAGCAGGAGAAAGAGGGTGGATAGTGGAGTACCAGGCGTCATTGTCAATCCTTCGATAGTGTACGGAGAAGGCCTCAGCGCAGACGACGATGATATACCTCACGACATCGACGTTGTTGGTGATGACGATGACGAGGAAGTCGTTGAGGAAGACGATGAGCAAGGAGAGAGAGAGGACAGAGTTGGTCTCTTAAGCGTCGCATCTAGCCCTCGAACGTCATTACTCGGTCGTCGAACATCCTCTCAACGCCTCTCCCTTCCAGGTTCTGGTAGTGGAAGTCGTGCCAGCTCCAAGTCTCGATCAAGGGCCCATTCAGGAAATTCTAGATCATCGCGCTCACATTCTCGACCTGAATCCCCCACGAGGGTGCTAAGAGAGCGTGCCAGCTCGCTCGGGGTTTCTCTACGCTCACGCGCCAATTCGATCATGCAGAGTGTCGTTGGCGCTGCGTCCATGACATCGCTTGAACTTCCTGGAATGCGGTCTCGCGCCAACTCATCCATGGCCAGGTTAGAGGAAGAGAATACCGGCGTTTATGGATCAAGTGGAGTTGTTCTTGCTGGTGGCAGTGGCAGTAGCGGAAGCGGCAGAGTTAGGCTCTCAGGTCTCGGCGCCGCCCCGGATGCAGAGGACTATTACTCGTCGTCTAATGGGACACATTCGCGAAGTGGGAGTGAGAGTGTGAATGGGGAGAACCATACCTTTGGAATCGCTATGCCATTCATGAGGCCTCAACAACCGACACCTCAGGTTCATGTCGAGGGGGAGGAGGTCCGCAGTCTTGAGGACGACAGCCACGAGGATGAACATGAGACGCAGCTGCCGGAACGCCAACCACGCAGGATCAGCCCACCTTCGAGACTGAGAGAGGAAATTTCAATCTCCAGCCTTGGCAGTGACCAGTTCTACTCTCAGCCTTCTGAAAGGACCGCGAGCCCCGTCGACCCCGGTGCAGCGACACCCTTGCCTTCACAAGAGCCCGAACAGAACCAAGAGTCCCGAGTTGGCATAGACATCCCATGGTCGCAGCGAATGTTGGAGCCTCCAGTGCAGAGGTGGGGCATAGGGCGCGGAGCGGAACGGGAATCAAGCAGTAGCTCTCCGGATATGATCAGCACGGCCGCAGGCAGTTTTGTCACCGCTGCTACGACTTTGGGAGGAGGAAGCACAACGACGGCTACTCCGAGCATTGCTGGTCAGACGGAATCGAGCAGTTGGGAAGCGGCGGGGCATAGAAGGGTCCCAACTGGTGGTATGGTGGAGAGACCTGGAGAAGACATGGGTGCCGGAGGTGATGCATGGCGGATCGTATGATATGAAAAACGGTATGTTGGACGCGTGTTCGGCTCCCCTTGCTCGTTGGTGATTTGCTGGATTTCATTTCATTCATTTCTCAACTCATTCTCAATTCAATTCACTGTCTCTGTTCATCTTTCTCACGACGCAACTTTTGACTTATTAGACATCATTATTGGATTTCGGCCTCTTATGCTCCTCCTCCGCCCTTGTGTTACCCACCTTCACAACCTAAAAACCAACCCCCTAGCGATTACCTTACGACTTCCTCCTTCCTCGCTCGCATCTACACTATTTCACCCCTCGATTGACGATCCATTATTTCATCACATTTGTAACGATTTTTCATACACACTAAGTACTAACAAATTTACATTCACGACCCCCATTCCCCTTATCACCCAGCAAACTATTAATTTGTTATTATCTACGTACCTATCTCACCGTTGACTTGCTTTCTTGATTAGCATTTAGTATATGCTTAGTTACAAAATATGAGAATTCCATTTAAGCATACATGTGTGTCGTACTACATACTTGGGATGAAGTTTCCAAATTCCCTTTTAATTCGATTCCCTGCTACAGTTGGTACAAGCCTAGTTTACACACCCCGGTTTCGACGTTACCCCAATACACCAGCATCATGAATTGCTCTCTTTCTTCGGACTGAAATGCAACACATCAAATCCTTCCCCATAAGTGGCGTCCCAATCGAAATCGCTCCTCTGATTCTCCTCTCCAAATGCCGACAGCATTCCCTTTACTTCCTCTTCGTGTTTCTCATCTTCCGAGCCCAGAACTAACCCAGCCTCAGCCCTCGTTTTTCCCTTCGCGCCTTGGCCATAAATCCTCATCTGCGTAGGATCATTCGCGTCGGGGACCAAGAAGGTGCCGATATGGCGAAATGTCAAGCTGATCCTATTACCGCCCTCGTACGTTTCCCCCGCAGACTTAAGGCTTAGCGGTCGATTATCATGGTTGATACCATGGAGCCACTGTTTATTGGTTTCTGGGCCCATTACGAACATAGAATTGCGTGGCAAGGGGATTTTCTGGGCAGTACGTGGGGTATGTTCCTGAGGAGATGGACTTGAATTTGGGGGGGAGGTTGGACCCTCTGCGGAGTGTTTTAGTTTATGGTCCTTCTTGAGACGCAATGTCATGACGCGCTGAGCACCAAGAGACACATTGACGATGTTGGATCCGCGTACAACGTCGATGGTCTTGTCGGAGTGCTCGGAGATGTAATCTGCCCCAGAGCGGTAGTGTTGAATCAAGACATGGTTCACAGGATGTTTGAGAACCTGCTAGAAAGCTTAGAATGAAGTCGACGTCTTCACATTATATGGCGCACCTTCTGTACGTGATCGCGAATACGCGCGACGGTAGGTGAAAACTGAGAGAGCGGAGGTGATTCGTCTGCTGGGTGTCGGTAGATGGGGAAACTGCCATCTTCAGCGATATCCCCCTCGACAGCTACAAGTCTCGGTACCTCTCCGCCTGCTGGATGTTTGACAATGTAATTGAAAGAAGAATGAAATTATTTACCTCGGTGGTACATGGTTTTCCACCCCACCTCTTCCTTCATCCTATCGAAGGCGACGTCGGCGAGGTCAGTGGGTAGTATGTCCGCCACAAGATGAGAGTCTCCTGCTCCAATTTCATCGCCTACGCCTAGCTCAGGTGCTTTAGGTGCTTTCCGTCCACGAGTATTACTGTTGGCGAAAGATTCTGACATCGTAGCGGAGTGGCAGCAGTGGACGGAGTCATCCTGGCACTTGGGCGACAGCCATAGGTGAGATTAGATTAGATCAAAACACCAGAACTGATCAGATCACAGCGCTCTCCAATCACCTTGTAGACCCATCCTTGGGTACACAAGGACTTCAATATTGAATGGGGACAGTAACGAAATACAAAGTGATTTCTCTGTCGAATTCCCCTCTTTCGACTTCCCACAAAATCCCACTCATCAACTTGAAGTTCTCCTAAAATATGCTACAGGTTGGCTACAGGCAAGGGGGGAGCGGGATTTGAATCTGCCATATGGGGTCGGTTGGTTAGTCCGGCCGGCAGGCTGTTAAATTTTTTTATTTTAAGTACCAATTTCAGGTAATTTATGGGTCGGATGAGCTCAGTGTGCTGTCTGAGGCATTTTGCAAGCTGTCCTCACTTACCAAGTGCAGTACTTATGCTATTCTCACTCGTGAATTGTGATCCAAGAAGCCTGGTATATGATATAGATTGAGGACAATATTTGAGATGATAAAACTGTTATCTGTCCACATTGTGATTGTGGTGAGAGTATAGATGCAGTTGATTGAGGACGAAAGCAAAGTGATTATCTGCAGGCAAAAAGGCTGCGAGACATTGTGGGTAGGTCATTTTCTTTTCATGTCATTTCAGCCTGACCACTGACTATGCAGTACCACTTTTCAAGGGTTGGACTGCCAGTGGATCTTGGTATCAATGACTGGGTTTGTGACCCATGTAAGAGCATGAAGAAAAGCAGAGGAAGGGGTGGCAAATGAAGGATAAGATGGCGGCTGACGTCCCAAAACATGTTACTATTTATAGATTTTACCTATATATGGAAGGTTGTTCCCACGCCTGGTTGGTTAGTCCGGCCATATTGGCCTTACCAAAAAAATCAACATGATATATTAAATTAAAATTGTGCTCCCCCCTTGGCTACAGGTCAGCGGCAGGTACATAGCAATTTCATTCTGACGATGTGCATAAAATCCATTTTTGACGTCCTGCTCTTGGTTACCTGTGTATCAGTGGTTGGGAACAAAATCAGCTTCGAACGGCCTGCCAATTTTGAATCCGAAGTCAGAAGAATGGGCGGTTGAGACCTAACTTCTAGCGCAATTCTAGGACTCAACCTATACCATATGGGATTTTCTTGTTAGGGTGCCATACTCACCGGAGTCTAACAAAAAATAGATCGAATGCTTCCAATCCAAATGCCAGACTTTGTTGAGATTCCCTGGGGATGCCAACGTCAGAGCAACTTCTATGAAATATTGGTACACATTGGCTCACATTGGCTTGGCACCTGAACACCCCCTGACACTTCAGGCGACAGATATGAAGGGCCACATAGGTGTAAACATAGGCACTAAAAACTGGAGAATAGACAAAACCCAGTTCCCCTAACATATTTGCTCTCATTTTCTAAGTTTGGTGATGGAATTGTATATCCAACATATGCATAAAACCAACACTGGACACATGACAAGATAATCTGCACTGAAATACTCTAAAAATAATCACCGTAGCGCGCCTACGGGCGCAAAGCCCGCTACGGCGTTTACATAAAAAGTAACTGTTTTTTTTCTCTTCTTAAAAAGTGATTCTGGGATCCTTTGTTGGCTGCTCGTCGCCGAACCGCTTGTGCGGTTTGCTCCTCACAGCCAACATCCCTTGAGAGCTGCAACCACTGTAGCGGGCCTATGGGCGCGCTCCGGCGATTAGATTAAAAAGAAATGAACTTTTTTAAAAGTGATTTTTGCGATCGTTCTTGCACGGTTCGCCAACGTCGAGGTCCCTCTCTCTGGCTGGACGATGACAAAAGCGATGCAGACGTACAAACAGATGTAAAGTATTCCACCGTGGGAGGCTAGCCCAGGACGATGACGAAAGCAGAATCCAAACATGTGCAAGAGAGCTACAAACAACTGTAACGTTTCCCACGGTGGAGCCCTTGAGGGCTAAGACCCACTACACCGCCAAATGACAGGCATGTGAGAAAAACCTGAGAGTCAAACCCTGTGTGGCATGTTTTCCCACCTGTCAGGCAATAATGATCCGAGTCCACACCAGGATCGAAATCCGACTAATAGCAGGGTGTGCCCAGGTCGATCTTGGCACTACCTGTCTGGGGCAGCTGGGGACCAGCTGGCAGCCCAGCCTACGTAAATTCACTATATTTTCAATATTTCTCCCTGGCCATATTTGTACTAGGTGTTCATGTTCTTATTTAGTCCATAAAATACAAGGGGCAAGGAGGAGGATGATGTTGGCCACATTTTCATAAGCAAGGATTATAAACAGGCTGCATAGTACAAAGGTATAGGGTGTATGGAAGGATGTGAGAAATGAGGCAGCTCCAATTACTACCTGTGTCTGCTCTTCCGTTCAAAAAACATTCCCCCACCCGACCACCCTTTGCGCTGTCCGCCGAATGCGCAACCACAAACAAGGCGCGTCAAAGCGGAGCCTCTGGCTCGTTGAATGAGAGGAGGGTAGCAGAGGGCGGATACCACGTTGAGACGTTGTCTGGAGAGCCAAGCTTGGGTTTGATGATGGTGATAGGCGCGCGTCTACTGCGGCTGCCGCTACGTGGCGCAATGCGAAAGTGAACCTGTCCGGGAGAGTCAGTATTAGCAAGTGGCCACTTGTCGGGGAGGAACTACAAAGGGGCAATGGGCAGGAACAAAAGCCCAGAACAGTGACAGGTGGCGACCGCGCACAGACACACGGGTGGGTAACAAGGACAACCAACGGAACAACATGAGGAGGATTACATGGGGCGCAGACCACTTGGTAGTGGAACACAGATGAAAACAAGAAATAATGAGGGGAGCAAGCAACTGGGCGAGAGGCGGTTGTGGTGGAGAGGAAGGTGAGTTTGGTTCTGGTTGAAGTTTGGAAATAACCAAACATAGGGCGGAGTTTAAACGACTTGGGGAAATTTTGGAGAGTTTCTCGCACGGGCCTTTTCATGTTGAGCTCAGGATTCCGTGTCTTTTCTACCTGTAAGAACTTGGAAGTGCTCAATGTATCATTTTATTATCTTACTATGAATAATTTGTATCTCAAGTACATCATTTTGTCGCCCGAAGAAAATTGGTGGTACAGGTCTTCCTGAGCAGAGTTGAAAACCTGTGGGTCAGGTGTCGAGCCGCTGGCTCTAACATTTACGCCCCAAGCTCCGACACACCTGCCCTCCATGCTGGGGCGACCTCCATCAGTAATCTGTCAAGCGGAGATTCATGCCAGATGCCATCAGCATTTTGAACAAATGGTGGTGTACTTATGTGGGCTGATTTAACAGGATCTCCCAGATCACAACCGAAAGGGGAAGGTGCACGTGACCACGTGACCTGGCGCGTTGCGTCTTTCTCCCTCCGTTCCTCCCCCCCCGCTGCTTTGTCCCCTCCCGAAATTTCGCTTCTGCTTGACCATTATGTATTTACTGTATGTAAAAATACAATTTTTTCCCTAGTCATGGCCTTCCCCCGAGCAAACAAGCAGCCTTGTCCCGAATGGATCTCGCGGCGCGTCCTTGATTAGGGCCTGGGCACCGTCAATCTTTTTATAAAAATACAAAATTGGCAGAGTGTCTCTGATGCACCTGCTGCTACATGTTTATCACTTTTTTTGCTCTTCAGGGGGAAATTTGGATGGTGGTTTGCTGCAAGGGACTGAAAATAAGTCAGATAAGCACACATAAGTCACCATAAGTGCTTATGTGCAATGGATTTAGGTTAAATCGAGTTCAATTTAGTGGATTTAAGGACCCGTGATGCCAACCAGCTCAATTTAAGATGCATTTCCATGAGCTGGCCTATCCCTGCACCCGATTTAAGGGTTTTTCGGCTCAGGGACCTAACCCTCTGCTATATCACATTGGCCGTATGTTTGTGCTGCCCTGGTGCTGCCTTGAATTCATGAAATGCACATGATATTGCAGATAATAATATCTACATGACAGGTAGTATACTGGGGGGGGAAAAGAGAACTTCAAAACTAAACCCAGCCTTCCATTTCCCAAGATTTATGTGAGCACACCACAACATACGTGTGAGAGTGCAGGACTCATGCAGAAGGAGGAGGACCGCGCGGAGAGGTTGGAGTGCAAGGCGGGAATGGCGCGTGGTGGGATGGTGAGGTAGTTTTGGGTGTTGGTTTTTGAAGGGGCGGCAATGTGGGTGCCAGTTGCGACGACGGAAGGGGACAGCTGGAGATGGGTGTAGCAAACTGGTTGCTTGTGAGAGACTTGCCTGTGTTGGGACGGACTGGGTCTGTGGGTTTGGATGGGCTCCAAATACCACATCAGGGTGTTGGTTGTGGCATGGCTGAGTTGGGACAATGTCACTGAGAGGCGACGTCGTGATGAACTTGAATGGCGACTGTTGATGGGAGGGATGTGGGGAGGGACAGATGGGGAGTGTGAGAGTCGGTAACGGTCGCCCTGGTGGTGATAAAGTGTCGTGCGCGCGTGCGTGCGCCGTGCAGTCAATCTAAATCATTGAAAGGATATAATATTGGTATCAGCGTATGCATTGTATCATTGAATTTCAAGACGTACCTTGTAGATCCCCTGCTTCATGGGCCTTCTCTCATGTTCCAGCTAATCCCCACTGCTGGATGTATGTTGTACTGAGCTGTTCCCATTCCAACGCGTGTTTTTGTTTGCAGTTCGCATGCTCGAGCGCACAAACGAAATGGCCTCTTGAAGGCGAGGACGTGATGGGAGCCAAGCTCCACATGGCATAGCGTTGAGCGCGTCACCTGGAGGGGGTTGGCTGCAGCAAAGAGGGGGTTGAGCGATGGAGGCAAGAGAGGCAAGGGATGGAAGTCAGGGTAGGTGAGCTAGAAGAAGATGATTTCTCACGGAAAAAGGAATCCGCTGATGGGCGCAATTTATCGAATTTAACATTCAGTCCCTTAAATCGAGTGAAATAATTGTACTTATGTAGCAGGCATATCTTTTGAAAGTTCCTTTTTCTAGTAAGAAACATGTAATACATCTACAAAGATTGTTTCCAATAAATAAAGATTAAATACCTATAAAACATGTTAAAAACATATAGAAATTTACTTGAAAGATATTTGGTTAATTTGAATTGTCTGTATATGTATCTCAGTATGTTCTACATGTTTTCCAACATATTTTATCAATATTTGACCTTCATTCATTGAAAAGAATCTTTATAGATGTATTACATATTTCTTGGTAGAAAACAGGGAAAAAATAAGGAACTTCCAAAAGATATTTTTAGAGTATTCCAAGACAAATTATCTTGTCATGTGTCCAGTGCAAGTGGGTGACTTTCCATAACTCAAATCTATAAAAATGAATAAATTTGACCCTTATCAGAGTTTGAAAAGAGAACTTCACAGGAGAGTTTATTGGAGTGAATAAACTGTAACGCCAACTGATTAGATTCTATTTGATGTATTTGCTTGCCTTGTACAAACTCACTTCCCTCCCATCTGAGCTGCTCTGAGGTCGTGTAGGCCTGTGGATGGGTTTATTATACTGATTGTTCATCCACCCTGCTGTAAAATTAGACCACACTCTGGGTGAAGCCCAAAAAATCCCAAGTTGAGCTGAACATGGCTGTCGATCAGTGAGTTAGGTGTCAAGAAGGGTGTTTGTAAAGGGAGCAACAGTTTCCGGGAGGGGATTTTGTAGCCATAAGACATTGACACTTCTAATAGACTCTGTAGTGGCTTTGAACTGCAACGAGAGGGAGCAGAATGCCCCAGCCATAGGAGAGTAGTAGGGGATGAGGTAGAGCTGACTAAGCCATGTGGGAAGGAATCGTACCCAGGAAGGAAAGGTGTCCCCTTGGCAGGGTTGATTCCAGTGTTTGAAATCTGTTCGAGGGGTCTGTACCCTCTGAATAGATTAAGGTTTGTAACTGGGTTCCAACCAGGAACTCCATCAAAGTCGAACCCTTACAAGACTCGGCATCCCAGCAAAGGACCCTAGATTTCGTTGATTTATTCAAATCTAGAGAATTTGTGTTATGGAACATCACTAGTGTTGTTGGCGAAACTTCGCCATCTCACCTCGCCACGCCTCGCCACCTGGCGATCGCCAGGTGGCGACCAAAAATTTCCAAAAGGAGGTGGCGAGTCCTGGCGAGTCCCAAAGCAGAATTTCAAATATACGGGGTCAGCGTACGGTAGCAGTACTGTACAATGTAGTCTACATTCCACGAAAACTCCTCCATACTCTATGTCAGCCAATACCCGCGGTGGTCGTGCCAGGGATGAATTTATACACAAGCATTTCAATGGAAGGAGAGACCCAAACAAAAAGGCCAAGCGATGGCTAATGACGTGCAAGTACTGCCCCAGTGACGTGGCAAAGGAGATCGTCCACCGTGATTCACGCTGCTTGAAGCACATTGGAAAAACAAACGGAGAGGACAGTTGCAAAAACGTACCTGCAGAGGTCCGGTTGGAGGCAGCGTGCTTGTTGATGAGGAAGGGCGGAATTGAGGAGATCCAGGTTTCAGATGGGGAAAGTGATGTGGTAGAGATCGTGGACAGATCTGCTGAGAAGAAGAAGAAGGTTAATTCGGGAGAGGCAGTGGCAGTGAAACACCCAATTGAGGCATTTCTTGATTGGTCAATGAGTGTTGAGGAGATGGATAAAGCTAATCTACGCATGCTGAGGTGTGTAGCCTTTATTTTTCTACATTTAATGTAACGATAAACATAATACTCATAGGTTTTTTGTACATGGAAACATTCCTTTTTCTGTGGCTGAAAACCCATTCTTCCTGAGATGGTTGCAATGCTTACGGCTGTCTTATTCCCCTGCATCTTGATATACCCTGATGGAGCGACTTCTCCCGGCCGAAGAAGCACGCGCATTTGCTGAGGATGTTCAGTGGCTGGAGGGACGGAATAATCTCACGTACTTGATGGATGGATGGGATGACAGTCAGCGACGCAGCATCTACGGATGTATGATAGCAGAGGTGTCAGAGTTCCCCGTGGTTCTTGGATTAGAAGAACTTACTGGCATCCGGGGGACCACAGATAATCTCGTCAAAGTTGCCAATAAGGCCATTGCAAAGAAGAGCCTTGACCCAAAGGCAATCATTGCGGTTTGTACGGATAACCCAACCATGATGCTTGCCTTTCGTCGAAAATGGACAAATCAGCACTCCTGGATTCTCGTGAGTCTATTTACTTTATTTTCAATTGGATTCTCAGGGAATTTTATTTTAGGCCATTCACTGCTTCATGCACAGTATCAACACAATTATTGGTAAAATCGTGAGCTACCCCTCGGTCAAAAAAACAATTACTTCGAATTCACAGATCGTTTCCTTCTTCAATTCATCACACTACTGGGGAGGACAACTCGAGAAAATTTGCAAGGAGAATGGGGTAACCCGTGGTCTAAAAACAAACACAGAATCCCGCTTCTACGCCCTTATTCTCCAAGCCCTGAGTGTCCGTGAACACAAGATTTCCTTGATGACTCTGTGTGTGCAAGACGATGCACAGCAGTCTCAGGGCGGCCTAACCGCAGTCTCAAAGGATGTTCTCGCCACAATTTTTGATGTCCAGCGGTGGCAACTAACTGACCAGCTGATCCGTGTCTGCAAGCCTTTAGTGGACATTATCGGCGATGTTGAATCTCGAGATGCGTCACTCGCCAATTGTATGCTCCAACTGATCTGGGCTCATCGACAAATCAAGAAATTACCTCACATTCCCGGAGACGATTCACACTTTCTGCGACACGCTCAAAAAATTGTGAATGCCCAGTTTCATGAAATGAACACCGACATTCATTGGCTTACCCTTTTTCTCCATCCTCTTTGCCGCAAACTCGCAATCTCTAACTCACCCCACTCTCGAAAACTCGATGATGCTTATAAAATCTCACTTGGGATTGTGTTACACTGGGGATGGACTAAGGAGATGGTGACGAAATTGGCTGCCGATGTCAAGGCTTATTTTCACGCACAGGCGCCATTTCAGGGTGGGAAGGGTGACAGGAGAGACTGGTGGAAATCCCTCTTGGTAAACGTCACATATCACCCTCTCAAAGCCATGGCCGTCAAATTGTTTAGTATTGTTCCCCATGCAGCAGAGGTCAAGCAGTTTTTTTCCAATCTAGGTGGTGTTCAGAGCGTCAAGCGCTCACGTCTCACGGTTTCTCATATGGAAACATTGGGAATGCTTTGGAACCATTACACACGTCAACTTCACGAGGCCGCACTCGCCGCCGGAAAATCAATGTGTCGCAAACATGCTCATATGCACACCCAACCCGATGGTGGAATAGATGTAGGGCAGGCAGAAGATTTGGTAAAGGCATTCAATTGGACCCCACTCCCACCTAATTTCAATGCCAACCTCGAGGGCCTTGAAGAGTCGACCGAAGAAGAGCTTGACGAGGAATTGGAAAAGATTGGATCACTTACACCAATGGGGGAGGGAGATGGACTTGACACGACAATTCCCATGGAAGAGGTTTTTGATACCTCCCATCTCGACAGCATCCGGGCAGGCAACGCACCACTCGCTATCGACGAGGAACTCAATCTACACATTGAAAATGCAGGTCCCCGTGATAAATGGGATGCTGCTTCGTTAATGCGATCCCTTGGTGTTAGCTAGAGTTCTATAGTTTTTTTTATTTTGTTGTAAATAACTCAGAACTATGATCCCTTGGTGTTAGTTAGAGTTCTGTAGTACTTTTATTTTGTTCTAAGCGACTCAGATCTCATAGAAATTGATTTTTTGCATCTCGCCAATCTCGCCACCATTCGCCAGGTTCCCATGCCAGCCGCCTCGCCACGCCGGCGAATGGCGAATGCTTTGGGAGGTTTTGCCATCAACACTAAAAGTCACCCAGTTACAATTAAAAAAAGGATCAGATCCACAAAAAATGTCAGAATTGGAAAGTTTGGCGGTGTATGTGGCGATCTGTGTGGCGGAATGTTTGGCGGCTACATCGGTCCAAATCACCGGAGCACTATGCATTCCTCCCTCCTCCCTGCCTACTTTTTTGATCCATTCCATTCCATTGGGACAGTGCCCTATGCCGGAACTAGGTCTCCTAGTCCCGACATGCAGGGGTAATATAGCGGCGGTGGCTGAATAGGGTAGTTTAAGTGGTAGTAAAGTACGATGTGTTGTTGTATTGTAGGTTAGGCGAATGAGAGTGTGATGTAAGAGAGAATGAGGAAAAGAAAAAGAAGAAGAGGGAGAAAGAGAGAAAGGGGAGGAGGGAGTACAAGGTGGAGGCGGCAGGGAGGGAGGTTATACCCAGGGGGAGGCGGGTGAGAAGAGGGTGCTGAGTAGGAAGACAAAGGTGGCATTGCCTGGGTTGGATGAGTTTCATGTGGCGAGGGCGAAGACGACAGCTACGCCTTCAAAGGAGGTCCCTGTTATCCCGCCTGAGACGATATCACAGGTGGAGGCTATGGCGTCGCTGTACGACATGACATGCATCACACTGCGCAGACCAATTAGCAATTACTTGAACATATCATGTGCCTATGTCACGTTTTCGGCCATACAGATCACCACACAGATCGCCATACATGATCGCCATACTTTCCAATGCTGACATGCCCTCCAGATCCAAAAAATGATTGAATAAATATGATCTAAATTCATATTTAGAATTTGCTGAACTTCCTGGGCCAAGATTTTGGTGTATTCTAAGTAAATATGAGTAAATGATCATATTTAATTGTTCATTTTTTGGATCTGATCCCTTTTTTTATTGTAAGTTTGTTTTATGCATATGATGGATGTACAATTCCATCACCAAACTTAGAAATTGAGGGTAAATATACCAGGACAAAAGGGATTTAGCGTATTCCACAATTTTGAGAGCATATGTTTATCCCCGACTCTGGAACAGAGAGGATTCTGTCAGAACGATAAAGCTCGATCCTTGCAAAAGTTGTGAGATGGCTTCCCACGAATTTCGGCTTGTTCCGTTCTTTGTTCCTTTTGGTAAGAGTCTCTAAAACCTCGGCTGGCCTGCGAGGAGCAAACCGCGCTAGCGGTTTCGGCGACGAGCAGGCAATTAATAGTAATACTTAGAAGATTATTCAGGCGGGTTGTATAAATCACATTATTTCAAACAGAGTCGGGGACTGGTGCTTGCGCCGCTAACCGATATGTAGCCCTACATATTCGTCGCTGTCTCAAGTGTGAGCGATCGAAAGTACAACAAGAACAAAAGAGAACAAACTTCAAAGCAAGAAGAAAATACATTGACTGTATCCAAGTCTATCTTACGGCCATGGTGCCTGGTTACGGCAAACTCCGGCGGATGATTTTCAACCTGACGGAAGCACATTGCATTCTCCATCAGTGATCACACCGAACCAACCGAAACCCAACGTTTCAACTTTTTGCGAAAGGGCTTGAAATGCTACGCAATCTCTTGAGCAAAAGACACCAAACCTCAACGAGGCGATTAGGAACGTTGCGATGCCATAACTAGACAGCTGTCATCGGGAGATATATTTGCAACAATGGATTTTCGATGGAGTACGGTCCCGGGTCTGTCAGGGTTAGCGCGGAAAGTTCAAACCCTACAAAACCACCTATCCGTCCAACCCGGCAGACCCTCTCTTTCCCCCACCATGTCCTCCTCTCAACTTTTGCTGATGGTTGATGACCCCCAATTGAACGCGACGTACGGAGGAGGGCAATGGGGGACCGCCAGTTTTCTTCAGTGGTATGGTGGTTCAATCGTCTGGCCTCAATTTGCCGATAGCAGTACCGCGACCTTAACGGGGTCCCTTTTCTTGTCGTTTGAGGGTGTGCTGAGTTGTACTACTCTTGTAAATTTTCCACAATTGACCTCTCAAAACAGGGATAGCGATTGCTTTTGGGGGGAATACGCCCAGCGTCTTTGCGGACTCGCAAAGGTTGACCGTCTCCATTGATGGCGCGTCTTCGTACAACACCTCGTACAATGATCCCACACCTCAATCTTACGTGCAGTGGTATCAGTCCCCGATTTTGCCGGAGGGGACGCACAATATCACACTGACTCACATGGCTGGTACAGCCCTGGACTACGCGGTCATAACTGCTGGGCAGAATACACCTCTAGCTGGAAAAACAGTCATAGTCGACAACGAGGATCCCTCTATCAAGTTCACAGGATCTTGGACACGCAATACAGACCGATTTCATTCGGGATCTCCGCCGGACGGCTATCCCTTCCATAACAGCACGCATCAGAGCACTACGCCGGGGGATAGTTTTATTTTCCGATTCTCGGGTGATTTTCCATTCAATCACTATTTTCTGCGAGATACTGATGATAGAGGACAGGGACATCTCTGAATATCTACGGAATTCTGCATTGGGCAAACCTCGGCACGGTCGCTGCGTCATACACTCTCGATGGTGCAGCAACATCGCTAACCTATTCCGTCACGACATCGTCTTCCAATCACCAAAACAACCTTAATGACCAACACAATTTCCTGCTATACAGTAACACCAGCCTCACTGCGGGTGACCACACCCTCGTTGTTAACGTCACGAAATGCGTTACTCAAACATTCATTTTTGATTATCTGACCTACCAACCCTCCTTTTCCACGTTAGCTACTATGCCGAATCTCACTTTACCCGCCTCTACCAATGGAACATCGCATACCACCACATCGACCCCCGTCGGAGCCATAGTAGGCGGAGTTATTGGAGGATTGGCATTGCTGTTTCTCTTGATTGGAGGTTTCCTCTGGTTTCGGAAAAAGAAAGCTCAAGACGACCAAGAAGAATCAAATCAAATCACAGCATTCGCCGTGCCACGTAGCGAACAAGAAACTTTGGGTAGGTTCAATCAATATGAAATTGCACTCCTTAATTTGACGATTCTTTTCGCAGTCGCTGCCAAACCAGCATCGTCAACGCAAATATCTCCACCTGAATCATCCTCCTCTACCGCTGGTTCAAGCGTGCTGCTGCAATCGGGGCCACCACGCGTGGTGCACAAGAGTTCTCGAAGTCGTGGTGGGGAAACTGCTGATGGCAGTACGAGCGGGGGAGGATCCATAACGACGGAGATGAGGGAAGCACACCAGAACGTTGCGCCACCAGCTTATGAAGAGTTGTAGTCTATACTTGAGTAGCATTTTCTGTATTGTTAGTTTGCGTCTTGGTTTGAACCTGCTTTGAACTCCCTGGTTGTATTGTATATGTACAGACTTACTAATATCACTAATTTTCCTGTTGCTTGCTCCGACGCTTTAGGTGCTTTCTATCCACGAGGATTGCTGTTGGCGGAAGACTTTGAGTCTCTGACATCGTAGCTGGCACTTGGATGACATTCCGGTGTTGCGATGCCATAACTACGTGCCATCCGGGGATAAATTTGCAACGAAAATGTTTCCAATGAAGGAGAGTCTGTTCGTCAAACCCTGCAAAACCACCAATCTGTGTCTTTCCCCCACTCACCATGTCCTCCTCTCAACTTCTGCTGATGGTTGACGACCCCCAACTGAACGCGACGTACGGAGGAAGGCAATGGGTGATGCCTACTTTGTTCCAGTGGTATGGCGGTTCAATCGCCTAGCCTGAGTTTGCCGATAGCACCTCCGCGAACGTAACGGAGTCCCTTTCCTTGTCGTTCGAAGGTGTGTTGAGTTATATTATTGTCCTTGTTATTTTCTCAGAAGAAACCTCTCAAAACAGGGATAGCGATCGCTTTTTCGGGGAACACGCCCAAAGTCTTTGGGGACTCGCAAACATTGACTGTCTCCATGGACGGCGCGCCTTCGTACAACACCTCGTACAATGATCCCACACCTCGATCTTACACGCAGTGGTATCAGTCCCCGATATTGACAGAGGGGACACACAATATTACACTGACTCATATGGCTGGGACAGCCCTGGACTACGCGGTCATCACTGCTGGGCAGAATACACCGCTAACAGGGAAAACAGTCATAATCGACAACGAGGATCCCTCTATCACGTTCACGGGATCATGGACACGCAATACAGACCGGTTTTCTACTGGATATCCACCAAACGGCTATCCCTTCCATAACAGCACGCATCAGAGCACTACGCCGGGGGATAATTTTGTTTTCCGATTCTCGGGTGATTTTCCATTCAATCACTCTTTTCTGCGAGATACTGATGATAGGACAGGGACATCTCTGAATATCTACGGAATTCTAGATTAGGCAAACCTCGGCACTGTCTCTGCATCATACACCCTCGATGGTGGAACAATATCACAAACATATACCGCCACGACATCTTCTTCCAGGTATCAGGACAACACTATGACCAACACAACTTCCTGCTATACAGTAACACCAGCCTCACCACGGGTGACCACACCCTCGTTGTTAACGTCACGAAATGCGTTAATCAAACATTCATTTTTGATTATCTGACCTATCAACCCTCTTTTTCCACGTTAGCTACTATGCCGAATCTCACTTTACCCGCCTCTACCAATGGAACATCGCATACCACCACTACAGCGACCCCCGTCGGAGCTATGGTAGGCGGAGTTATTGGAGGATTGGCATTGCTATTTCTCTTGATTGGGGCTTTCCTCTGGTTTCGGAGAAGGAAGGCTCATGACGACCAAGGAGAATCAAATCAAATCACAGCATTCGCTGTGCCACGTAGCAAACAAGAAAATCTCGGTAGGTTCAATCAATATCCATGAAATTGCACTCCTTAATTTGACGATTCTTTTCGCAGGTGCCGCCAAATCAGGCCCTCCATCAACACAAATATCTCCACCTGAATCATCCTCCTCTAGCGCTGGTTCAACCGTGCTGCTGCAATCAGGTCCACCACGGGTGGTGCACAAGAGTTCTCGAAGTCATGGTGCGGAAACTGTTGATGTTAGTACGAGCGGGGGAGGCTCCATCACGACGGAGATGAGGGAAGCACGCCAGTCCGTTCAAGTTGCCCCGCCAGCTTATGAGGAGTTGTAGTCTATACTTACCTCAGGCTGAGTGTAGCATTTTCTATATCATTAGTTTGCGCTAGATTCCTCTTGCATGAACTCTCTGGTTGTATTGTATATATGTAGTGGACTCGCTAAAATCACCAATTTCTCTGCCGTGGGCAGTATTGGGGCAGTATCTGGCAGTATGGTTTCTCCAATTCAAGAAGTTCAACGTCAACGGTCAGTCCGGCCCGGACTGATATTGCCTCAAACGTTCAAATTTGATCCTCTGACCGCGACTGTCTCTTCCACCACGCGTGCACCACCGTTGACAACATGTCAACTTATTCACATACCTATTCGAAGCGGCGGCGGCGATCAAGCGCCTTATTTATGTTGTGGGTCCCTTCAAGTTGGGCTTATAAACAGTAGCTTGTTCTGTGTTACGTCGGAGGTTTCTGGTCCCCAAAATTTCCCTTGCCCTGTTTTGCTCTGGAAAGTGGCATACGATTGGCATTTCAAGCTTGAAGTCGACCCTCTACCGCCACTACAATCTATCACAATGACAGAACAGCAACTCTGAACGAAGATTCAAGAACTCCGGCTTTTTGCTATCGGCGGTCATCTATCCATGTTTGCCACGCATCTGCTTCTTCGCTGATGACGACTCCACTTTCTGCGCTTCTCGTGCAGAACATCTGGATTGCCTGTGCCCTATAAAAGCTCGAGTTTGTCTTCACTCCAAACAGTTGCTACCCATTCGACGCCTTACCCTCTGGGCGAGCTGCCATGTCGACCTTGTCCTTCGTCCGCTTTTCGTTGATTTCCATCTTTGCATGGCTTCAGTTTGTAGTGGCGCATCCTGTCTTGAGGGTATGTGACATCCATAGACCCCTCTGCCGTTGTTTATCGTATGTTCTCAATTCTAGGACGTCGGTTCGTTGGGTCCGTTTGCCAATAGGGGGGAAGGTGTGCATTCAGTCCTTACCGTTTGACTTTCTCATCAGCGACTGTCTCATAGGGAAGTTTGTTCTCGCTCATATGTTTTCACTCGATGGATCGACCGAAGAGTTTTTGCATCAAAACGTACCCACTGTGTTCAGTGCGCTAGCGATATGGGGAACAGGTGTCTACCCACGTCATGCGTTTCCTCATTGCAATCCCTCAGTCTGGAATTTTTAGGCAAATATACCCTCGATCTTGATGTGTACCATCGACAGGTCAAACCTATTTTCATCAAGAGATTCCAAGGGGCGTTCAGCGACTTTACATCCAAGTATGACACCTCAGATTATGCTTCATTTTCTCTTACTACGTTAGCAGATGCGGTACCAATCCAGACTTCGAGATCGATAGGAAAGGCATAGTGAATCCGAATGCTGTGAAAGGGAAAGACCTTTGCACCAAAGTATATTCATTTTGTTAGTCAAAGGACGACACGATTACTAACGCGTATGTATGCTTTCTAGAAGCGGTTCAGTCTTGATCTTGGGGATGTTGTTTTGGCCCATCAACTTATTTCCGACAACGAGGACGACAATTCGGCTGTGGACTTCTCCGGTCCAGCCGTCCAAAACTTACTTGAGGTGCTAGCGACATGGGGTACAGGTATCTACCCAGCATGTGTTTCCTCATTTCAATCCCTCACGCTACAATTTCTAGGCAAATATACCCTCGATCTTGATGTGTACCATCGACAGGTCAAACCTATTTTCATCAAGAGATTCCAAGCAGCGTTCAAGGACTTTACATCCAAGTATGACACCTCCAGATCGTGCTTCGTTTTTCTCTTACTACGTTAGCAGATGCGGTACCAATCCAGACTTCGAGATCGATAGAAAAGGCATAGTGAATCCGAATGCTGTCAAAGGTAAAGACCTTTGCACCAAAGTATATTAATTTGTTGTAAGCTAAAGGACGACACGATTACTAACGCGTATGCTTTCTAGAAGCGGTTCAGTCTTGATCTTGGGGATGTTGTTTTGGCCCATCAACTTATTTCCGACAACGAGGATGGTGATTCGGAGGTGGAGTTCTTCGATAAGAACGTCCCCAACTTATTCAATGTGCTAGCGACATGGGGTACAGGTATCTAAGTTAAGTTACTCCATCATATCGTCCTCTTACTCTGGGATTTCTAGGGAGAACCCTTGATCTTGACGTACACCAAACTACTAGGTAAGCACCTCAGTATTGGCGCCCACGACTTTTGACATTCCTCATAGGTTCAATTCCGCCCTCGATCGCGCCAGTGCTTGGATCTTGTCAGCCTGGATCTAGCTTACGCGACGCATTCTGGGCCTTATCTTTCTCAGTCCAAGATTCTTGAAATCACTGCTGTCTGCCTACGTATCTTAATGCTCTCGCCCTCCTATCAATTGATGAATCAAATTGTCTGTTTGCTTTTAAATGCCTTGACTCGCGCGATAACGATAAAGTCTTCTCGTTGAATCATTGTTACCTGTTGCAAATTTTTTCAACGCTGCACCTGCCCGGCATCTTTACAGATTCTTGCATACAAGTCCGAGACACTCAAAGACGAAGCTGTGCCTTTTCACCTTATTCACCTACTACGCAATTCAAATTTGGAGAGGTACCTTGAGTCCAACGTCGCACAAGTCCAAAAAAAGACCGGGGGCAATTAAACTTGACAGACGTCATGGCGCCGACGTGATAACAATGTTGATCGCGGTGCTCAGCGCTCAAGCACTCAGCACTCGACGTTCATTCCTCCCATCAACTTCCGTCACGTCAGCGGTTTCTCTTTGTCAAGTTCATGGGCCAATTGAGCAAAATTGACAACCGTGGGATCCTGGATCGCTCACCTGATTCCACAGTAGCTCATTCTTGATCGCTGCGGCCGTATGTTTTTGACAACACTGAATTGCATTTGCGGAGTTCCTGGCGCCGGCTCATTGTACCTCTTTGACTAAATCCCTTGGTTCAAACTTCAGGCTATTTGTCTTCTACCAAGTTTGGGAACCGGACACTCTCGTTGCCGATGTCCGACGTAGAAAATGGATCTTTCTGCAAGAAACATTGAGGTACGGTTCGGAGACGTAAAAATCCAGGTACTTCAATGGGCGCCCTTCTGTTATCATATAAATACTGTGTTCCTTCATCTCAAGTTCCCACTGAACCTCCAAGCGAGTAATGATGGAGCATCCCAAAGCTTTACTGTTCGTAATCATTGCTCTCGCTTCATGCCTTGGGTTGGCGTATCCTATCTCAGTACGTGCTGCTTCACCTTTCATTGGAGTTGCGCTCATGTCTTTGTCCCGCAAACCGTGATTAGACTACTGATTGCATGAACGTCTATGCGACATGGGGCACAGGTCCGTCTGAACACGCCCTACTATCATCCCTCGAAAACTGAGCGTTCTGTTTTTGTTTTTTTTAGGAAAATATACAATCGATCTCGGCATATACCACAAGGAGGTTAAGCCAATCTTCCTTTCCGAATTCAAGAAGATCGACAAATTTGAAGCCTAGTGAGTCTACTTGAATCCGTATCAGCTTGACTTTGACATAATTGCAAAAGCTGCGGCTCGAACCCAGATTTCGAGATTGACAGGAAGGGCATAGTGAATCCGAGTGCTGTTGAAAAGAAAAAGATTCAACTTGGAAAGTGCCTAAGGGTAAATTTTATTTTCGCTACACCATTCTCATCTTTCTCAGAGCTACTTCCCAGAAAACCTTCAGCCTTGACCTTGGAGGAGTAGTTTTGGATCATATCCCCAAGTAACAACCACCGTTTACGAAATTGTCTTTTTCATTAACCTTTCGACTAGGCAAGACGAAAGCGATGATGGATCCGAGTCTTCCTTCACAGCCTTCGCAACTTGGGGAGTAGGTAAGGCTAAATTGTGGTTATCCTAATAAGCCTGCCTTTTGCTGAATGTGACGCCTTTTAGGGAAATATACCATTGATCTCGGCATATATCACAAGGAGGTTAAGCCAATCTTTCTTGCCGCATATAAAAAGATGGACAAATTTGAAGCCTAGTGAGTCTCCTCAAGCCCGCATCAGCTTGACTTTGACGTAATTGCAAAAGCTGCGGCTCGAACCCAGACTTTGAAATCACCAGGAAGGGCGTAGTGAGTCCGAGTGCTGTTGAGAAGAAAAAAATATCACTTGGAAAATGCCTAAAGGTAAATTTCATTTTCGCTATACCATTACCATTTTTCTCAGAGCTACTTCTCAGAAAACCTTCAGCCGTGACGATCTTGGAGAAGTAGTTTTGGAACATATCCCCGAAGAAAAAGCTCCGTAAGTAACGATTGTCGCATGCAAAATGGAGTCTCGTTTACCGACATCTTGTACTAATGTTTGACGATGACAGCGACGACGAATCTGACGATGAAAAGGACGGAGGATCTGACGACGAGAGCGAGGATGGGTCCGACTCTTCGCTCACAACCTTCGAGTAAGATTCATTCAATTCCATCCAAACGCATTTCATGACACCATCGACAGGGGCGATGATGATGGTGACTCCGAGCCGAAACTTCTTCCTTCGGGCTTGCGAGCATTGTAAGTTTACCGATTCAGTCACACAGACGCTGCATCTAACTCGAAACGTAGGCCCATCATTTTTTCAGCTTGGTTTGAGGGGATCTATGCTAGTGGAATTATGACTGTGCTTTCTTGAAGAGATGAGTTCAATAAAGAGAGCGTCTTCAACTTACGATACATTTCGCAGTCCCCTGTTGTCATCTTTTGTAAATGAAGCTCCCAATTTAAACCAACTTTGGTTGATGTCGTCACTGATACTAAGTTCATAACGGAATAAATGCAGTAGTGCCTAATCACTTGATAGCCCCTTGTCGGTTTGTGCACGACGAGAAGAGGGCTCGAAGAAAGTGCGGAGGCACAAAAAGTGACACAAGAGGCCGTCAATCCCGGCCTCACAAGTTCGTGCAGATCAAATGGGGTAATAGTATGAAGTTGAAGAGTGCGTACATATGTGGTTGCCGACGAGGGAAAAAAAGGGGTGAAAATCGCCTGTCCCGTGAAAAGTTAGTTATTGAAGGCGAGGGCCAAAAACAAATGTTGTTACAAAACGAAAATAGATGATGAATCTACACGTAATCGACTGAGCGAGTAAAACGGCGGAAGCTTTGCTTCGAGCTCCAAGCTTCAGCCCTTGACCTCGCCAAAATCCTCCTTCGACAAGCGCTCCTTCTTCGTCAAACGGTCATACTGATCTACGCTCTGAGTCGTCCTACTGATTTGCACGGTCCCGTCGGTACCATTATCTGCTGTGGTGTGCTGGCGAAACGCGAGAGGGATGGGCTCTGACAAAATGTTGCTGGTGGACGTAGGCGAGCCTTTGTAGAGACCAAGTTTGGTGTTGCGATAAACGCGACATGCCATCACGTTCATCATCATGACATTGGGGAACGACCAGATAACCCTGTAAACAATCGGTACTGGAACGAAAACCATCAAAATTGCGATGAAGTTGGTCAGCACAGTCAGCCTTTTCATAAAAAAGTAAGCGGATTTTCAGAAGGTTGGAAGAGAACACCCACAAGTAATACTGTTGGCCGTCCAACAGCAAAGATCTGGAGAAGGCTGGGAGATATTCTCCAAATAGCGCCGCACGTAAGCCAGTCCTGAGCGTACTTTCGTTGTGGGCGTTCTGGGCAAGTTTATAGGATATCGCCAGGAATACGAAGGTGTCATGGATGAAGGGCAAAATTCCAGATACGGAAACATATAAACGTTGCCCTGTTTCGGTGCAATAGTTGGTTGTTCCAATATGGACACCGTCGACGCCTACTGGTGTACTCACGGTTCCTCCCGCCGATATGACCCAAAGGATAAAACCAAAAATTATAACAGCCTTATGTCCGGTATAGATTGCACGAAGGCGGAAGAAGAAGAGGAGATTTGAGGAAGCAATGGCGATTGAGAAGAATGAGAGGAATATTTTCTGATTGCTGGGGCAATTCCCAATCGGAGAGGCTTTCGAGCGCAACGTAAGATTTCAGTGGCCATGATCGCATAACGTACTCACTGACTAAGATCATGGTCAAAACCATAAATAACATCGACGCAATCCTGGTAAATGAGTCAATTGATATAGTGGACAAGCAGAGGTCGAAGCCTTACCTTGAGATGAAATACACAACATTGGTGAGACCTACCTTACGCTTGAAGAAGATTTGGTAATCTTCCCCGAGACTTGTGACGATATCCCACACCATAACCTGGCAATTGGTATCATGAGCGCAATTCGGACAGGAAGGGAAATGAAATATCACCCCCGTCACACCAGCACAGATATGAGTGGCCATCGACATCTGGTAAGCGAACTCCGGAGGCAGCCATGCCATGGGAGTAAAAGGGTTTGGTAAGAGATTTGCGTCCATGGTCGTAGTCGGGCAGTCTACAGACTGCACCCGGAGAAGTTGGCCGTTTTAAATATCGTCGCAGTTGAGTCCGTCCCTTGGCCCTGCAGGATATATACCTATATTTGCCCCAAACCGTAACCATATTTCAAATATTGCTGCCGCGAGATTCTTACTGCAGCGAAGGGTCCATTAACCCCGATGGCTAAGCCTTGCTAAGAGCTGCTAAGAGTCGTCCTAATCAGTTGACGAAATACTGGGGCACAAAATTTTAGTCTAGATGAACCACTCAGATGATGCGGGGAAGCAAATACAGTGTGAACCAAGTGTGAACGAGAAGTGGTACATGAGCTGTGCAGAAAGCACATTCTTGTAGGTAGGAGACTCCATGTGCCCATAACGCAAAGATCTGTCAATCCTGGACCTAAGGCCTAAGGTCCTGTGGAGGTCTATATAAGGAATCACCTGGAATCATACTCGATCAGCCAAACACAAGGAAGAGGAAGGAGACTAGATCTAAGAGACTTCGTGTCCTGGCAACTGCATAAGAATTGCATAAGAAGCAGGAAGGCCAGAACGGAATCCGCCGGCTTGTTGAAGCAATATTTTGATGGCGCATATCGAGGTCGACAGATCAAATCAAATTGAGCTGAAGCCACTGTTGCCAACGCAAATTGTTAGGACACAGACTGACACAGAGTACTTGAAGTGCGTCGCTAAGACAGCCTGAAGCCCCCCGATAACGAACTAAGAACACCGATCGCCGAGGAAACGCTCATTACCAAACTTCCAAGTCCAAATTACTATCGTTCAATCCGATCATTTTAGGTCGCACATCTTTTGATCCAGTGGAGTCTCTACCGCCCACTGGGTCAAAAGAGATCAAAAAATGTGTTCCTGTCTTCAACTTGAGCCAAGATAGGAGTCCAGTCCTAAGCAAGAGCCAGTTGTTTTTATTGATAATTGTTGTGTCACCGAGAGATGGACCTTTTCCTGCGGTTCATACAGTCGACGTTTGGGCGGAACAGTTACGAGTTTACGTTATGTGAATTAGAAGGAGAGCGTGTTTTGAGGGAGTGAAATGCCTGCGCATATGGATAATTCGCGAATGTGCCGTTCAGCTCATTACTGTTTTTCGAATTCCGTGGCTTCGCGGGGCTGACTGAGTCTGCGTAAAAACCCCGAGCATAAGATCAAGATGTTTTGAGATCCTTAAACGGAGAGCTTGTAGGAGCTTGTTGAGAGCTTGTTTATATTTTTTTATCCGATCTATGCACTTGACTTTCGTGAAAATGATGTCCCTGATTATGATGTCATGTCAAAGATATCATGCACAATCCACGATGCCATTTGGCCTCAGAAAGGCAATAGGCAGGAGCATAGTGGAAAGCCCCTTAAAAAATGGGGTATGGGTTGTACATCCGAATTTCAAACAGAGGCGGTCTCCAACTTCATATTATCGTGAACCAAGGTACGACTTCACATAATATCGATGTCTGTCTACGAGAGACTAGTCTCCAACTGGAAGAACGCGATGTAAAAAAGGCACAGTTACGTCATCACGAAAAGCTCGACTTTGCTGGTACACAAGTGCTTCGGTTAGTGTTCTCGAGGTTTTCTTTATGTAGTAAACTGTTCGAATTTTGCTAGTTAACACGATTACGAATAGGAAGCTCTCAACTATATGACGAAGCATTGGGAGTCAGGACAAAAGAGAAAGCTGGCATATGTACGAGTGGAAAAACAACATGGTGATAAAATATCAGTACGGGCGGAAATCCGGGGAGTTGAGCGAAACTTTCAAATGAGCGTGAGGGATTTGAGTTTGTGAGTATGGGAGGTAGTGGGTGGAACCGGCGTCTGCATGATAGTGTCGAGTAGCAATGTATTGAAGGTAAAAAAAGGTATATTATGCCCTCGAGCATGGTGGAGTTGGACAGCGACCGCCTAAGGTTTCCATATTTACGCGATCCAGCTAGGTTAAAGGGGTTGTTAAGAAGGTTAAATCTCCTCCTCCTCCTCTTCAAGAACGTTATGAAGAGGTGCGCCATGGACATATCGAGCAGGGCTAGATCGGCCGGTTTCGTCAAGTGTCACATGTGGAAGATCGATGAGGGATGTTTCCTGGGGAGAAGGTTTAGGGGAGGGTTGAGGAGAGGTTGTCGTAGGTTGGACTTGTGGTTGCGGTGGGGTTAGGTTTTCGTTTTGTAAGGGTCTTGGTAGCCTAGATGGTGCAAGTGGCGCGACGACGATCGGTACTGATGGCAGAGAGGGCCTTGGGGGGGTACCCCGTTCACGTTCTCGATACATTTCAATAAGGGCCGCTGTCTTGCTGGGGGCAGGAGACGTAGACTCGACGTGCAGTCCGTTACCATTGTGAGCAGGGAGGGTTTTTTCAGGGGTACCAAAGTTGCCTGATCGTTTGTGTTCCAGAGCATTGTGTTCAATTTGAGAGAGATCCCCCGCTGTTTTCAATGAGTGGGCTACAGGTGAAGGTTCATGTATGGTCGCAATGGGATTTGCAGCGACGGGTGGTACGGGCAGAGGTCGAATGCGATCAGGTGATCCATATATGCCTTCGTCGTCAATCTCGTCGTCGCTCTCATCCTTCCCCAGTAACGCTCGAGGGTCGTCCTCCTCTTCCGTCTTCGCTGCCAAGGCTTGTTTACGTTCTGGATGAAGATCGAAGTAACCGAGACGACGCTGTTGTCTTGCCATCTGGCGCGCACTCAAAATTGGTTCAATAGCTGGCTCCTCGTCCACAATAACTTGAATGGGGTGTCTTGGTTCTTCATTGATAGAGCTATTATCGGTTTCAGCAGTCCGCGATTCACTAGTCCTGGGAACGATCTCGACTTCATCGACATCCAGATCATATATATGTTGATCGATTCCATAGTCACGATCGACACGTTCCATAACACTTGGAGGGGAAGGTGACCTATTCTGGACCGCGGCAAGAACTTGTGCGACTTCCATGCTCGCCATCTCGGGGTCAGAGCGGCGGTTTTTGGCTGCCTTACGTCTTTCACCAGGGCTGAGCTCTGCATCTTGTCCGCCTATCCTCCGATCCTGGCTCTCAACCAAGATATCCACCCATGCGTCAGCGCGACTTTCTCTTCGCTTCTGCTTGACGTCTTCCGGCTCTTGAAGGTCTCCAGTCCATTCATCGTCGCTATAAGATGCCATCCTAGTCTGGAATTCCACGGTGGAGTATTCAGCTGGGATCATACCCGATTTACGGTGCGAGCCAGGGCTGGGAACGGGAATCCCGCCTGGCAGTCTAAAACGCGACTTGCGATGCGATGGTGTGTGTGAGTGGGTGGAGTCAGAGTTCACCTCGTCGCTGCGGGCGGTGGGTATGTTCTCAGTTTCTGGAGCAAGGAGGGGAGGGCCACGGCTTATCGTGGGTGATAGGGCAGGGAATTCGCTGGGAGCATTGGAAATGGTAGATGTAATCCTGGGTGTCTTGTTCAAAGATATAAGCTTGGTGGTGCTACCACCGTGCAGTAGGCCTTCAAACTCTACTTCGCGGTATGAGGGACTACGCGGCACGTGACCTACGACATATGGTCGACCATTGAGCGTGGGTGCTTGCTTCCATTGCTTAGATTTGCTTGACGCGGAAAATAGAGAAGGCAAGCGACGTCGACTAGAGGACTTGACCGCCAACTGTTGTCGATACTCGAGTGGAACGAACTCCTCAAAAAGGATCAGTGTCGTAGAAACTCTTGGATCAGAGGTTCCACTCGCAGTAGTGCGAGAGGGTGGTAGGGATTTGTATTCCACCTACGTTGTGATCAGCAAGACGGACCACAAGCTTTACCACTTTTGCGAAGCGTTGTGACGATACACTCACCAGTGCCCAATTACAATCTCGATCAAGTTGTTCACCTCGTTCGAGATCCATCCAACCTCCACCATAAACTAGGTCGCAGAAGACGTCCAAAAACGATTCCTCAATCACCTCTTCAGATCCAATAACTGGCTCGGTGTCCCAACCAAACGCAGGCAGAGACTTTTGAGATTTCTTTAACTTTTTGTTCATTTCAACGCTCTGAGCAGGCCATGTTGAGATCGTATGATTGAGCGGCGTGCTAAACTGCAAGGTGGCACTCAGAGGCGCGTCCATGCGAGTAAATCCCGCTGAGGAAAAATCGGTCCAAGAAAGGGTCTGTCGCTTCTGAGCGCGTTCCTGCTACAGGGTCAATGAAAAACACGAGCCAACTAAAATGAAAGAACCCACAACACGAGCCGTCTCGGTCAGATCAAACTGCAACTTCTTTTCGTCCCCTAAACCACTGAATCCCATAGATTCAAACTCTCCCCACTTCAAGTCAGTTAAACTACGGAAGCGGTCATCCCCATCTCTGCCACTGAGGCCAAAGTAATCCCCATCACTTTCGAAACTAGTCGCACTGGTGGCCGATGTCGCAGAGGAGTAGGACGACGTGGGTTGGGGATTCATCCCTGTAGGGGCATAGGCAGTCCCCGGAGCAGTGTCTGGGTGGAAATTTGGCGGTAGGTCCATGCGCTGTTTGTAACCATCTGAATATCTCGGGGGTAGCTTGAGTGTTGCAGGGGCAATTCTATCCCACTCCTTAGACGATGCCAATCCGTTGCTGACATTGGAGTGGGCGCCGCGGTGTGCCCACATAGAGGCTGTTTTCACTAGATCTGGAGAATAGATACGCACGTTCCTTCGAACGCTCATGACTCTAACAGTCCTTGCACCCTTCCTCGGCTGCGGCCGTGCATTTTTCTGCTCTAAGAATGGCAGCATAGACGGGTATCCTTTGATCCATTCCTTAAGTCTAATGGGAACACCCAATCCCGTGGCACTGGCGCCAGCAGAGGCAGTTAAACGGGGTGTATCTTGCCATCGTATGAAGGCTAAAAGAAGGTGGTCCATAGCAATGACAGAGCGCAGATAGTGGATATAGGCATGATGAAAAGCAAGAGTAGCAGGGCCAAGGCCGAAAAGAAGGGGTCCAAAGAGTGGTGATAGTGTTGGGGGAGTGTGACCGGATGTTGTGCTATTTGCAACAATGCGAGAGAGGAGCGTAAACAACCTCACAATGATAGATTGGAGGGGATGTGGCAGATCGGGTAAGAAGGATTCGAAATGGGCAGGAGGGTAACCATTAGCTGTCAAAAATAAGCTTATAAGCATACAACTCGTAGACAAAGGTAAAATCAAAATGCGAGTAATTGAGAAATGAAGCCCTCTGCCACCAAATAGTCGGTTGATAAAGTGAAGAGTCCACACACCTGCTTCTGAATCGCGAAATTCGACGTAATGGTCCCAAGAAACAAGCCCACGGACGTCCTGGCCAGCCACAGAACGTATGACTCTCGCCAGTCCCCACCGTAGACACATTCCCAGTTCATGAGGACCCGCAAATTTCGCCTCCTCCCTCCATTTCCTGTCGGCCTCCTGTGCTGCGTTGGTCGTAGTCGCCGCACATGTATTAATAAAAGATCGGATTATTCTTTTGATAGCAGATGACGATATATCCAGCGCCGTTGTAGAAAAAATAAATGGTGTCGTGATTCCACCTCGTGTTTCCAGTTCCTCAGAAACGACGTCGATGAGCTGCGTTACCTGGTCCAGTCCTAGGACCACGTGTCGCTCGTACGAGAGATACCCGTAATCATGCTCTTTGGAATGCTCAGCGGCGGTGGTGCCCGTCCTAGGTCGCTCGAGGTTCAGTGGCAGGAAGGTACCGTCAGGGAAAGGTAGTTCCGCGCTGAGCTCAGCTTCCGCCTCTCTGGAAGAATGACCCTTTCCCTTCTTCTTATCTTTCTTCGAAGGAGTCGAGGGACTGAAAGGGCGATTGGAGAGCCTGCTGGAAACTCTCCCAAACTCGTCGAAAGCGCCTAGGTTGTAGGTGTCGTCAGGGATGAGAGAAGACTTCTTGGGCGTAGAGTTAGTGCGTGAACGAGAGAATATGCTGGGCATCGGGTTGGGCGATGAGAGGACGTAACGACCATGCAGCGACTAGGCAACGACGGTTGGCACGTCGCCAACAGTTTAGAGAATTGTCAGGGAACTTCGGAGTTTCCCGTTCAATTTCGTTGTGTGCCCTGATCTGGGTTATAAAGGACTCAATAAAGGGCGGTTAAGCCAACCTGGAGCCAATACTTGTACGGCGACAGAGAGGAGTAGAAATGCTCGACAAATCAAAAAACAAGCACTGGATAAAGGGGGTGATGAACGAGCTTATTCGACAATCCCTTGTGCTAATCCATCCGTGCAACGTGCACCAAATCAAAAGTACTCCTTGTTGTACGTCATGGATCGACACGATGTACAGGAATCATTTGATCATCTACTTTCTTATCATCTAACCCTTTCCTTCGAGTCCCAGCCTCGAGGAAAACGCCCCGTAGATCAATCATTTCGGTGAGTTGACAGACGACACGGACGGAGGTCGTTCCTTAAGCCTATCTTTCAGCCTTCCTGCCAACAGGGGCCTGGGGAACCCGCCAGTCACATAGGCGGTTCTTGGCTGATAGTTGGGGCCACCCTGCCGTGGGCAGAAATTCCGCGTTAGCGATTGTCACAGCTCACGACGCCCGAACTCACGGGTGAATAGCCGCTGAACGGATAGCCCTGCTCGGTGAAAGCGACCCTGTTTGCAGGAGCCGTCTGTGGCTGACTTCCGTAACCGGGGGGACCGCCAGGATACAATGGTGCCGACTGTGGCTGTCCCAAATAATTTTGGTTTACCTGCGCCGCGACAGGATAAGCTGGGCCAGTCATTTCTGGCTTGTCGTTAGGCCCTTCATAAACGCCCGAAGCACCCCCAGAAGCAGGATCATAAGACGTGGCAATGATTGTGGGTGGGCCCTGTACTTGGTTCGCTTCCACATTGTACTCAGACGCTGCCGCATCCGACCTAGCGCGCTGACGTCTGACGCAGAGAAAGATACTTAACGCCATGAGGACAAGGGCAGCTGTGATCCGAGAGGAGGAAACGATTAACGCAATCGGCGGAATTGAGATTGGTGAGGACAAACCTCCGACGCCCCAGATTGCCAGTCGGGCAGTGAACGGAAATCTGTCTCTGCACACAACCTCGCCGGACCTGTAAAGAAGTTAGATTCAAAACCATAACACATGAAATTTGATTAGCAAGAAAGAGAGGAGGATCTCCCAAAGTCAGAAGAACCTCTATAAGAAGGCGCCCCCATGACAGCACTCGTTGTCGGTTTGTTTCTGTATCCAGAGAGCTTCCATACCGCCCATGCTTCTCTCTCTCTCTCACGTATATTTGTCGCTCGATATGACCATGGACACTTACGTAGACGTTGTGCACACAACATCCCAAGCGGCAGCGGCAATGGGAACATGAGAAAATCCCCACAAGCCTATCATGAGACTGGCAGCAGTATCTACGCCCAAGATCAGCTCAACCGCCCACACACTCAGCACTAAACGCACTTGAACGGATCATGGCTCAACCTGGAGCTGCAGGTCGTAAGAAATAATTTGATGGTCGTTCTTGCCTATCAGTTCCGAGCTTGAAAATAGAGGGCGATGTTGAGGGATCCGCTGACCAGCAGGCGGATAACGATGAGCTAGTGACAGTTCGAGGTCAACTCTAGGGAAAGCGCCCATTGGACCCGCGAAACTTGATCCCTTGGAAGACGATGACAAACATGGCGACCAGGCTGTGCTTCCTCCTGCCACCATCAATCCGTTTCAACTGGTAGCTGATGTCTGCCAGCGTCCGTCTAGCTAGGAGTGAACACGAAACTGTCGAACAATGGGCTACAATGGAGCATCACGCGTCATTCCTGTGTTCGCCATTGGCGATTGCACTAAAGTTGACAAGCCTAAAAATATCCTCTGCTCATCGTAATATCTCTTGGATTTTCTTCCTGCTTGGACCTCTGCCCCATACTGTCGTTGGCCATAGCTCAAACTTTAAACTGGTGACCTCCGAATTTTCCAAAGCCCAGAAAGAGGCACCATTTTGAATGCAGTTCATATTGAACTTGACAAACGAGTCTCATGGCTTGAAATTAAATGCGGTACTACTCGCGCTGCATAGTAGGGATTCCAACTGAACTCACTCAGTGATCTAAGAATCCCGACGCTCGTGGGCAACGCCAGCTGCTTACCACACGGATTTTTACCCTCCCAACAGTTGTTCTGCGGCGGCTTCGGAGATTATAAAGGTCGCTGTCCAGTATCCGGTGTCTGGACGGCGATTTCCCATGTGGCGGAGGATTGACGGAGGGTTCTATGATGGTGTCCACAAAGCCATAGCAAAATATCACGGAACTCACAGCATTCAAGTCATAATGCTATCATGGGTTCACGTTGCAAGTCCTGTTGAAATTGGTCGAGCCTCGTGTATCAATCTGGATTATCTAAAAAAAACACCCTTGCACCATACGCCTTGATTTCAGGATCAAAATACTGCTCCAACGCCTGATCTAAACCTGCCCTACCAGGCTCTAAACATTTCTTCTACAAGATAGCGAAGGATCTCGACTGACTTGTTACTGGAGAAACAGCCCCGCAACCAAACCAAAATTTTCTACATAGGTACATACATCAATGAATAATTTACCTTCGGCGAATGTCGCCAATAAATAACGAAATTTGGTTTCTCATTTTTCCTTCCGTCAAAGATAGAAGTTCATCTTCAACCTGACGGCCCAGATCCTCAAGGCAAAAAAAAAAAACATTGTGCGCCGGCAGAGGATATAACATGGAACATAAATAGGAAGCAACGGGACGGTATCGTAGACAGGAAATGTCTCCGCTGATTGGGAGGGAGTTATTTCAATGGTGGACACCATTTGGCGCAGGAGAAAGAAAGGACAAAAAGCATGGAAAGTGGGACACTCGTCTCATACGTCCGCTGTACTGTGTAGATCACCTCGCAAGAGCGCAATAAGCGTCCGCGTAAGGCTATACCGGCAGTCTGGCGATGTCATAGTCGTGCGTATGAGGGTCCAAGCTATATTCTTTTGACTGATTGGACGTCGTCCAGCTATAGAACTGGCCAAGTGTTGAATTAAGGATTCCTCGAGCTGGGGTATCGATTAGCGTGGAGGATCGACTAAGGTTATCGGTGGTCTCTGAGGATGAGTTACTGGAATTGATTTCTGTGACCAGAGCATCATCTCGCTCGATGTCTTCAAAGGTGTCAGCTTAATGATAATTAGATTCAGGTTCAGTACTAACCTTGACAGTTGTATCCTGGCAAACGCTCAGGATTCTCCTTCAAGCTAGGATCACTCACGGCAGAAGGGCAGGAAGCAGATCGTCCACGGCGTCTATCAGAGCCACGGCTAACGTTTAAACCCCTTGAGGTGCGCTCCGGAATTCTAGGAGGATCGGACGATGCCAGCTGGGAAGTGGTTGTGTCGACTGAGCGGCTGTCATTTGAATGGGTAAAGTGTCTGGCGTTTCCTGCTCGTCTGTTGCGCCGTTCTCTCTCGCTTGTGGACTGGGTATGACAATGTCATTTACGTCGCGACGCAATGGATTGTCGTTGAAAAATTCTTACAATTAAGGAAGCCCGCAAGTCCTTGACACGAACGGACAGGTAGATTATTTTTCGTGAAAGTCCGTTGAATAAAGCCAGGTACTCTTGGACAGCTGTCGTCGCATTATAAGTTCTTTCGCGAAGCGATGCGCCGGACTCTTCTGAGCTTGATACATTCTGGGTTAGAGGGGAAGGGAAATTAGGTATCTCGAAATACATACCAGGTAAGCAATGTCAAGGAAGTCTTTCGGAAAGCGTCAGACGGAAATAAACCGTCGGTATCTGCAGTTTCAAAGATAGTCCTAGTTTCCTTTAGGAGCTCGTCGAGAATCTTCATTTGAGTCCCTGGAAGATAGGAGCGACAGTAGAGAGCGGTAGAGGCAATTGTGGTGGCGAAACCAAACACGCCGATCACGAAGTTGAAAAGGTTTGCAGAACTGTCATCCATGGCTTGTTGGGGAGAAAAGAATCACGAAAGGCGCGGAAACATGAGCCATCGAGTTCGTTTTTAAAAGCTGTTACTAGTGGGTCCGTGTAGGTCCCCCGTACGGACTATGCATCGTGTTGGTTACGTCATCCGAACATTTCACCTCATTTCACCTCGATTTGCAAATGGAGTACAACTATACTTCTGCCTCATTTTCCATGCATGGGGAGCAAACGATCTCGCCTGCCCCTCCGCCTGCCGATCCAATTCCGACCTACCAGCCAAATCGACCGGATTCGTATTACCCATCCGCACTCAACGTTTTCGAGAGGATATGGCACGATCGATATCATTTCCTCCTTCAAAAGGGGCTTGAATTGCGACCTCGTTATCGACCCGGGTGGACCCCGTCATGGCTCAATACAAAAGAAGAATTTCTCTTGTCGGAAGATTCGCTGGAACAACCCGTTCGTTCTATTCGTAGATACACTTTCGTTAGGAACTTCTACTATCTCTATCTAGTTTCCACAGGTGATGGATGCCAAAAGGATGAAAGACGGTATTGCAGTTTGTCTGAAGGCCGTCTATCGAACACCGAAAGAAGCGGAAATTGCGAAATACTTGTGTTCGCCTGAGCTGTCACAAGAACCAGCTAATCATTCAGTGCCCATTCTTGACGTTTTCCGAGATCCATCAACGCCCGACTTTGAGTATCTTGTGATGCCGCTATTACGGCCTTTTGACGATCCCGAATTTCAAGCCATCGGTGAGGTTGTGGACTTTGTAACTCAAATCCTTGAAGTAAGTGTCCCGACTCATGTCTCCGTCACAATGCAAACTGTCAACAGGGTCTGACATTCATGCATTCTCACAATATCGCCCATGGGTGTGTGAGATTCCGCTTTCAGCATTACAGGAAGCCAGCTAATGAGGCATAGAGACTGTACCGGTGCAAATATCATGATGGATGCTCGTCCCATATACCCTCAAGGGTGGCATTTTAAGGCCAACGTGTGTGCACCCGATGGAGTCACTTTTGTGACGCCGCTAGCACGTATAGACCATCCAGTACGGTATTATTTCATTGACTATGGCGTATCCCATCACTTTCTTCCTGGTCAATCACGCCTCGTACTGGACTGGGGCGGCCGGGACGCCGACGTTCCAGAGCTGAAAAAACTACAACCATACGATCCTTTCAAGGTTGATGTGTTCACCGTTGGAAACGTTTTCTTGAAAGATTTTTATCAGGTATCTGCACCACTCTATCACTTGCCCTGCCAACTTACCATTCTTACCGTTCCTGAGAAATACCTTGGATTAGGATTTCTCGCCGATCTCATCAAGTTTATGATGCATGAGGATCCAGCGAAACGACCAAGTTGTCAAATAGCTCTTGAGAAATGGTGCAGAATCAAAGGTGGCTTGAACCCAACGACGGCTCGTTGGAGACTTCGTAAACCGGACGAGACCGTCGGGGAACGCGTAGTTCTTGACGCGATTGCCGCTGCACGGCACGGTATACACAGTCTCACACATCTATTCAATGAAGATGTGCGTGCCACCTTATATTGAATTTACACGTCAATTGATCTTTCTGTTCTAGGCTCGGACGTGGTAGCGAGGTTAATTTTGGCAAGGTGACGTGTGCGACTTGGCTTAGTATCTCAGGGAAGGACCAAAACTCATTATTAAAATATACCCTTCAATTGGCAAGCCTACTTTTTATCACGCTATCATTATCTTATCGTCATCCAGGAATCTATCGCTTTCACGTTACCCATCGCTTTCGACTACAACAACTGTATCAGTATAAAATGACCAGCTTTATCTCGACAGCTCCTATAAGGCGTACCAGCCAACTACACAACTGGCACCGTTTCAAATCACGTTTGGATTACCAATCAACGCCACTCTCAATACTAGCAAGCGGTTCTCCCTGGTTCTCCACAGATCAGACGCCATAGGGGAGACGTGGTTGCCCAGTATACGCGATCAAAACTTCCATTGGTGTTGAAGCGCACGGCTAGTGACGGGTATTGCAAGATATCAGTCGTCAAATTCGATCTTTCGCGTCCAGTAACCAGTTGGCTCGACGTAAATATTTATCTTACTGTGAATGATGCTCGATGTGTGTGGGGTAGTATCTTTATTGCAGTACAAGTGATTACATTATCGACAGAGATTAACTCTGTCATATCCTGAACCCAGAGCACTGTAGCACTTTACCAACTCGTCGGTCTGGGGGAAATGTCAGCTGTGGTACGCCCGTCTTGACACAAAGTGATGCTTACCCAAAGAATTCGCCCTTTGAAAGCTTCAGCATGGGAGTGCCCTTCGCGTCGGCGGTGTTGAATGGTACGCTGTAGTAGATGCAAACATCAGAAAACGATAAGAGACGGGGAAGGCATAACTCACGTGTTCCCCCACCAAACTTGCACGTTGTTGAGGCCAATCTCGCCGTTCTTGGGGTATTGAAGGATGAAGAAGATCAAGACGGCCGAGATAGCAACGCCGGAATCGAGGGCAGCGGACAGAACGTAGTTGTACTTGGTCCACCACGAGAAATGACGCCTGCGGATAACGTATTGGAAGACGAATCCAACGATGGCCCAGGGAACGTAGTTGACGGCGCTCGCAGGGGGGATGTAACCAGTACCAGAGAAGATTACGGGGAAGCTGAAATGAGATGATGTCAGTATCCTTGTCTGCATACTCTAGATGAAGCACTCACTTAAGGTAGCGCAGCCAGCTGTTCGGGAACTTCAAGCTGAGGAGGTAGGTGAAGATAGGTGCGGCAAGGCCGACCAGGAAGAAGAAGAGGAGAGCTGAGATAACGGGTATCAGGAAACCAGTTCAGAAAAAAAAACATGAATTCGAGAACATACCGTAGTAGACTTGTCCCTTGGAGAATTGGCGAGCCGGACCAATGACACCCCAGATGATACTGGCAGTACCGAATACTTCTGTCGATGGGCAAATGAATCCGTCCTTCTGAGCTGGATCACACATGTCGGGAATGTTGGTGAACATCCACGCTTGGACACCGAGTTGGACGGTGCCAGCAACAACAGTGGCGATGACTTGGGACCAGAACATAGCCCGAGGAGGAATCTTCATGTAGTGGCCAAGCTTGAAATCGGAGGTAAAGGCCAAGGCTTGGGCCATTGTGATGTATCCCCAAGTCTTGAACATCATCATGGCGATGGGGCGGCCAGGGAGGGCATAACCGATGATGAGCTCAGTGATGACGTTGAGACCGACTTGCTGGTTAGTAATGGCTTGGATCATGCCGATAGGGATAACATAGACGAAAGCTTCAGGAAGGTGTCAGTCTCTGATCAAGAAACAGAGTGGATAAGCCTACAGATAACCAAGGCAAGGATGAAGTATTGACTATGAAGAATAGATAAGAAACCTGGAACGCGAAAGAATCAAGCTCACTTACACGGGGAATTTGGTTTCCCAAACTTGGATGGCGACAACACCAAACGCGAACATGGTCACTGTTCAGAATACGCCCGTTAGGGTGACCTACTTCACGAAACTGCAGCACAACTCACGGAAGATTGTAGCGTACCACCATTCCGGTACCTGGGGGTAGCGGGACATAAGGCGGGCGTGGATATCGGGCTGCTCATTCATGGCACGGCGAGCATGTGTATAGATTTGTTTGCGGAAATAGAGGAAGGCGTGCGTGAGTGTAGCCGTGATTGACGCAAAAGACAGGCCGTATGAAATGGCGAAGGTCGTGGACAGGAACAGCGGGCTATAGGCCTGATATTCTACTTCGTTAAAGGTGGAGTCGGCATTGATGATCCTGGAGACGTTATAGGTTTTGCCGAAATGATCGAACGACCCGCGGGATGAAATTCTGAAGAAAGGGTGTAAGCATCGATGGCACCGAAGCTGGCTTTAATAACTGACGGCATGTACTTGCTGCTCCAGGCATTCGTATACTGATTGTGTCGTCGAAGATCTCCTTGAGAATCGCAGATTGAGACATGAAAAGATCTGAACTTACATAAAGAACCGGTGTCAGGAACCCTACACAAAGGTCAGAATTAGTTGTCAAAGAAACTTGAGATCGTGTAGGTGAGTCACTGACAATAGAAGAAGACGAATCCAGCGGCGATGTTAGCCTCGGCCCACCAGGGAGTAGCGAGGGGTGAACCGATATATGCAATCTGGGAGAATGCATGTCAGACAGAAGGTAGAATGTTGACCGAAAGTTTTACTTGAGCCCAATCGAAAGTGACGAGACTCATACCCATTCCATGAACGTAGCCGAACATCTGGTTGACGGGAACGTTGTCCGGAGCGATCCAGCAGACCCAAGAGAAGTAGGAGAGGGCCTGGAAAAGGTATCCCGGGAAGAGATACCAGACTGTGGAGGCGGCGAAACCGTAGAAAAAGAATCTTTCGCGGCTCATACCGCCACGATTTCCAATCCCAGCATAAGTCTGGGCGTGGAGCGTGTTAAAAAGCGCGCAAACGACGAGGTTTGCTGGCCAGATCATCGAGGGAGGCTGTACCAGGAAGCGACGAGCGATACCACCAATCGAGAAACCGATGAGCTGGGTGGACATGACGATCATCCATTGGTCTGGAGAGGATGCTCAGACAAATGAGGTGCGGATGGCATACAGAAACACTCACAGCTGAAGTTATACGTCTGGTTGTAGAAGACCCTCTGGACGGCGACGATATCCGTAGCGTATGCACTGCCGGCACCAACTGAGGCCATAATTGTAGCGAGCACCTGGAGGACGTGAGCTAGAGCTGCCGTAACACAATCAGCATACTCACATGTTCCTTCATCGAGAATGGACCAGGGTTGAGCTCAAAGCCAAAGATCTTAACGTTGGGCACAACCCTTGCCCAAAGTCTTCCCATAGGGAAGATCAAAAGTTGGGCGACAATCTAGGAACAGAAAATATGGTAAAGATAAAGACGGGATACGAACGTAGAAGACTTACAGCAGTGACCTGGACGGAGGGATAGCGGAAGAAGAAGAATTGATTCAGGCCAGGGACGATGATGGCCCAGATCAAACCAAGAACCCAGGCGCGGACGGTGTTCACAGGAATGTCGGGGTCATCTGTGTTGGCGACGGCGGACCGGACCTCTGGGTAGGGGGAGTCGTCCTCTGGAAAAAGATACAATCGGCGGAAGTCGAAGATAAGACGACTGGGTTACTCACCAAGGACGCCCGCGATAGCTTCGTCCTTGTCGATGTTGGGGTCATCGAACTCGGGAAGGGCTACCGCCTCAAGCTCCTCTAGCGTAGTTGACGACGTACGTGAGCCATTGTCATCGAGGTGCTCAAGGGTGGGGACGTACTGAGGTTGACTTGCTTCTCGGATTCAGATAAGTCTTGCTTGACGTCTTCGGGATAAGACATGCTGGACCAGCGGAAACCGGAAAGTTTGGCATATCGAATGGGCTTTCTGGTTTTGTACTGAAATTGGAGAGACACCGGGTGTGATCATGGGAGGATAAGAACCAGCGACTTTTCTGGAAAGCACCACCTGATTCGGGGCAAGATGGGTTACTCTCCAAAGCATGAGAAAAGTCAATCTCATGCTGAAGCAGTGCCACACCTTCAGGAACACACCCGAGTGGACGCAAAGCGATAAATCGACCAAGGAGGAACTAGATTGATGTATTGCAACCGAGTTCTCCACACGTATGATAGCATGGTTCTCGATGTTCCAAGTTGCTTGTCGACTTCGTGGGGCTCTAGTACCCAGGTACCGTCGACAGGCCGCCTTGAGCACCGGTGACAACTCCCATTTGATACTTCGAGTTACAATCACAGAGATGATAACGTCTACGGCTCGATAGCTGTATTTGGATGATTTCGCTGAGATTGTATACAAATGCAAGAGTTTTGACAACAGAATTGCTAGAAAGCACCATTTCAGACGAATTCCGATACGTTGAGGGGGCGAAGAAGATCTCGAGTTCCCCAAGCGTTTATTGTTCGATACCAGGCGGGCCCCGGTGTGTTAATGCGAGCAGGGAGATCACGAGGAAGTGTTGGCGTTCTCAATGGATTCGTACAGACACACGACCATGGAGAGAAGCACATGGTCGGTAAAACGAGAGTGATGGATTTCCGATCATTATTGAATGTTTCGACGTGGTATCTTCATAACAACCGTCAATAACATACGGATCTGGCGATGGTTGCAGACTATCTCTTCGCTATCTAGGTAGTAGGTGACCTCTTTTGACCCAGAATTGCAAAGAGACGGACGGAACACACTTTTAGGGTCTCTCAGAGGGTTTGCTTTCCTCTTCTTCTTTTTTTAGATTTGACCGAGAATTCGCCAAGGTGAAAGGAAGTTAAGAGAACGCATGCTCTCCCGTGAAGAAGCCCAGTAGTAGTGTCCACAAGCGCGTAGACCATCATATCTCTGTACTTTGCGCGATCCATAATCATTCAGCCAAAATTGAAACGATGGCATTAGAGAGGTCGCGAATGAACGCGCTGAAACAACGGTTTGAGAAAGCTCAACATCTGTGTCACATATCGTCATACGTACCTCTTCTTCGGAGGGCTGAATAGTTTCGAACAACTTCATCATTCTTGCGGCATTCTGTCGACTCTTGGGGAGTTATCTAGCAACGCGCTGAGATTTGGCGACATGTTGCATGATGTGCGTAGTGGAATCAATAAAAAGGCCTTCAGAAACAACCCGAGAGCCACGGAAGGCCAAGACATGCTTTTGTGCACTTCGGAGTGAGATACATATGACTGGGCTCAAGGCGGCGTCATTCGCACTTGTTTCGCGCCATTGAAGACGCCATTAGGGGAAAGAATTGCATTCAAAAGCCGTGCGACAATTCCACCATCTGCGAATTGCGTGCACACGAGCTGCATGCAGCAAGCGGTGGGACACCGGGTGGGTGGCAAAAAAAAAGGTGGCTCCCTGAACTAAATTTGGCGTTGGTTCAGAAATGCAGCTTATTTTGAGTTCTAAACTTCTTCGTTATCAAAATTCAATGGTATGGAACACAGTACTCACCCTTCAATTGCCCTGCGTTGATAACATGGAGTTTCGACTTGAAGTGAACTTGGTGAGAATGAAGGAGTGACGTAATCCATTCCCGCGGTGCTCAATGTGACACGCGAGCACAACGCCCGTCATGGACATACACGACCAGCTTCGCGCACGATTTGTAGCACTATAATCAATCTGACCCTCCGTGGTTGGAATAATGGTAAGCAATCCTCTTATCTCACTCTCCTTTTTCTGACAGAGCAACCCCTAACACAAACAGTCTGCTCTGTTCAATTTCCAATCCCTGCTTCTCGTCATCCTTCTGTTCATCTGCACCTGCACCTACGTCCGCGCGGTAGCTCCACGACTCGTTGACAGAAACAAGCACGGGTGCGTCAGCTTGGCTTTTGCTTGTCTCCTTCATGTTCTGATGGTGGTGCAGGTTCCCTGGATTACTCTTCAAGTCTGCACGGATAGGTACGTAGGCTCCTCATGGAGTTCAACAGGATACTGACATGCAACACAGGAGAACGTCTTTCACCCTATGTCGCACTCGCATGTATAGCAATGGCAGTTACAATGCTCTCAAAATAATATATTACACCATTAACACACAATATCAAAGCCATACATCAGTTACCAAGCTCTAACGTCAACCAGCTCTCCTACCCCGCCCCGGATTCCGACTACTATCATCCTCATCCTCCCGATCCCCATTAGTATATAAAGCCGACGTCGACCTCTGCGCGGTTCTCTCCACAATAGACGTGCCATCTCGGAACCTAGCCCGGAAGAGAACATTCGCATTCGTGAATAAACCTTCCTTCAACGACACAACAATAAACTGCGACCCCTTGAAACGGGTTCGGAACAGCTGGCCGATATGCTGGGTATGCGATAGATCCAGCGCTGCGTCGATCTCATCCAAAATATACATCGGCGCCGGTTTAAATTGAAGAAGCGCCATAATGAGGGAGAGTGCAATGAGTGATCTGGTAGAATGAAATGAAGAGAAAAAGAAGCACGGGGACAATTAGCTGCGGGGTTCGTTTCATTTTGGTTCGGTGGAGATGCGTACCGTTGTCCCCCGCTCAGTTCTGTTAGGCTCTGCTTCCACACAGTACCAAGCCGAACCTTGACTTCAAGGCCTTGTATGAGATCTTGGCCGTCCGGCGGCTGCAACTTTGCGAAGTTTCCGGGCAACAGTTCTGCAAAGATACCGCCAAAGTCCCTGTGCAGCCGATAATAATGAAGTCGTGCTGCCTTGAGGGAGGATAGTCAAAACCTACCCATCGACCTTTTCCCAAGTCTTCTGAAGCGCATCCCGTTTATACCGGTCAAGCTCTTCAATCGTCTTCTCAATCTTTTCCTTGTCCTTCATCACAGTCATTAACATCTTTTTCAGATCGACTTCCCTCTTCTCCACGCTGAGAAACAAAAAGGAATGAGCTACGGGGTATAAACTTACGGGAGATGTCTTACGTGTCAATCATGTTCATCACAGTGGGGTTAATCTTCTTCTTCATCCCAGTTTGCGAGGCTGCCAGCTCCTTGACCTTTAAGTTAAGGTCACCAATGTCACGTTGACCTGGATGGTACTGAGAGCCTTCGACCTGAAATTGACTATAGAAGCAAGAATGACCGCTCAACAACCAATTTTTTTGTCGTTGCACGCAAAAGCATTACTCACTCCTTATCCTCTTCAATCCACGGATGGAGTTTCTGCAACTTGACGATATCATTCCCAGCAGTGACTTTCTCCTTCTGCAAGTTTCCAACGGCATGCTCGATCTCTTTCAGCGTAATCTCAGCTTGAGAAATAGATTCTTTTTTCTCTTTGATTACGCGCTCAAGCTCCTTGAGTTCCGTGTCGAACCGACCAAGCGTAGCCAGCTCTTCCTCGAGCTTAACTGCCGCTTGTGCGTGGGCGTTCTACGCGTGAAACACTTTCAGTATACAATCCCCTCAGGAGAAGAATGGAAGACCGGTAAAGATCACCGGATCATGCGTACCTCTCTTCTCGACACCTGTTCATTGAGTTTCTGCAACTCCACGCGCATACTCTCGATCCCTGACCGGGCTTCTGCGAGCTTCTTCCTCTCACCCTCTAGATCACTTTCGAGCTGTTCTGAACAACAAACCATGCGGTTAGATAAGGGAAATCGTGTGGTGTGATCATGATCAAAACATCACTTACCAAGCTCAAGTGTAGCCGTATGGTGCTCTTTCTGTTGTACCTTGACAGTGACCGCGTGTTTTTGGAGACTGGCTTTCTGTTTCGATATGCTGGCCTGGAGCGATATGGTTATCAGCAACCACTCGTTGAAAGACGAAAAAGAGTCAAACGGACCTTGAGTTCTTCGATCTTGCCTTCCTTGTTATTCTTGAACTCTGCCATGTCACGTTCGAGATTCTGACATTCCACCTGCGCAGCGGCTTGCTTATCTTTCGCAGTTTGTACGGCGGTCTGCAGATCAATGATAAGCTGCTTGGCTTCTTCGACTTGAGTAGCAATCTAAGAAGAAAAGAAATCATAGTTTGATCACCTGCGTCATTAATGTCAGCTTACCCGCGAAGCATTACTCCCAACAACTTGCTCCTCGAGCAACTTCAACTCATGCTCTTTGATCTCCAGCTCTCTAGCAAGCTGCTTCCAACTCTCCCTCGCCTTCCTGTTCCTCTCCTCCTCCCTCTCAAGAGACGCAAGGCGGGCTTGGGCGTCTTTGAACTTGCCTTCAACCTGTAAGAGCTCCTGGACATCTACGAGGATCCGGTTCCCAGTAGGCGCAGAGCCTCCGCTGAGTGTGCCAGACGGATCGTACACGTCCCCTTCGAGTGTCACAGACTTGGTGAGGATGTCCTTGGCAAAGGTGACTTTCCTTGCAGTATCTGCATCGTCGCAGACTAGGGTGTCGTTGAAGACGTAAGCAATGGCTTTGGCCACCTCTTCTTCGTACCCAACGAGGGAAAGCGCCGTGCGCACTTTTCCAGGTGCAAGCCTCTGTGCTGCTTCGAGTTTCTGAACGCATGTACACCGTTAACACCAATAATAATTCTATGACGAAAACCACATACCCTGGGATGCAGAGTGAACGGACTGATTTTATTCAGTGGGATAAGCGTCACGCGTTTCTTGAGCTTCCCATTCTTCAACAAGTCCTTGCCGATCATTTCGTTCTCCACAACGACGTTGAACAGCTTACCACCAGCAGCGATCTCCAGTGCCGTCGATTTGTCGTAGTGCTCTTCTGGGAGAGTGATGAGTTGCGCTGCTAGCCCCTTGACTTTGCTCCTGTCAAAGTTGGGGGTAGGGTTCGTGTAGTCAAAATTCAGCCTGCTAAGGTTATGCTTGACCCTATCCCTGTGCTAGATAGAAGACGCGTCAAATCCGCCACACGTCTTGCGGAGCGGAAACCCATGCATACCTCGCCCAAATTCCTCACAGCGCCCTTCGCTTCGCGCAACTTCGCCTCTCCCTCCCCCTCCTTCTCCGCGCTCCAACCACATTTCGCAATCTTGCTCTTAATACCCTCCACAGTCCCCCTCATCGCCTCCACCTTCCGCTTACTATCCCTCGCCTCCCTCTCAAAGTCTTTCATCCGTCCTTTGAGTGTCCCCAGCTCCTGTTCAGCCATCCCCAACTTGACTTTGGACTGTTCCTCCTCGGCAGCGGCTTGTGCCATCCGTTGCTTGGCTTCAGCTAGTTGGCCCATGTACCCTCCTCCTGTGTTCTTGGCTCCTTTGGATGATAAGCCCGTGAGGAGGGTTTGTAAGAGTTCTTCGGCTGTTGATAACGTCGTTTCGAGGGCGGTGTGCGAGTCGTTTACTGTCTTGTAGGAAGATTGAAGCTGGGCTACTTGGGCTTGCTTTTCGGTTATGGATCCCTCCAGCTGTCAAATACATGGGATCAATATTCGTGAGGAGACAAAGAAACGCATAGAGTACCTCCTGGAGCTCATCAACCAGCGTCTGGACATTCTCCTCCTCCTTTTTAATCGACTCTTCCTTGATTTCCGCCTGTGTCTTGACGAGCACCAGATCCTTCCCTAGCCGATCCACTTCGTCTTGCAATTTCTTCAGCTTACCTCCCTTACTCATCTCATCGTTCCTCTTCTTCGTAACAGCTGCGAGATCTTTCTCTGCAGCCTCCATTTCCTTCGTTGACCGCTTCTTCCCCTTTTTCACGTCCTCCTGCTCCTGCTCCTTCTCCTTGATGTCATTCTCTCTTTCCTCGACCAGTTCCCTCTTGGAAAGCCACTCGCAGGCGATAACAATGCGCGTGAGCCGCTCAAGCTCACTCACGGTCTTTTGATATGCGAGGAATGACTTTTTCTCAGCCCGTAGTTTCTCGAGTTTGGGCATTATCTCTTCGTGGAGGAGAGAGGTAATTTCTGCTACGCGTTTTTCTTTCTTGCCCATCGTCCGCTTGGCTTTGTCTTTACGGTCCTCGAACATCCGGGTTCCTGCGGCTTCTTCTACCATGCCTAGGATCTCTTGTGGACGCATGTTTAGGACCTGGATAGCTAGGTTGTCAGCTCAGGTTGGAAGGAGGGACGAAGTGTATGTATACTTTAGTGATTCGGCCTTGCATAATAACAAAGTTGGGGTTGTTGATGTTCAGCTGGACGGACTGGAAGAGGGTTTGGACGGATGCTTGGTTGGACTTGTGGCCATTGATGAGGTACTTTGTGAGGTTTGGCATTGCGATCTTTTGGTTTTTTGGTCAGTATTGGATGGATCGGTAATAAAATCGGGATGAGATTTGACAATCAAAGATGAAACGCAAAGAAGGATAGCATCATGTCCCGTAAAGAATGAAAGGTGGGATCAAGTGGTTGTGCAGCACGACACTCACGATACGGGTCACTGTAATCTGCTTGCAGGCCTCATACCCCGTTGGACTCTTTGCACGATCCGAGTTGTCAAAGACGATGGTGACGCTAGCTTTCGTCACGCCAGCTTGTCCACGCTTGTAGATCAAGTCTTGTTGATTCGCAGCACGCATCTAGACGCGTCGCGGTGAGGCTAGAGACATTTCACGCGACTCCAGACGGACCTGTGACATGTTGGTAATGCCGAGAACGAAACATATCGCGTCGAGGATGTTGGACTTGCCCGAGCCATTGAGGCCTGTAATGGCGTTGAAAGAAGGGTCCCATCCTGTTATGGTTGTCCTCACAGGGTACGATTTGAAGCCTGTATCGCGTCAGCGACGAACATGCATGAATTTGTTGAGATTACCCTCGATAACGAGTTCTTCTATCCGCATGTTTTGGGCGGTCTGGAGTGAGTCGTGGCCAAAGGCGTTTGAAAACAAAAGTCGCGTTCTGGTCACCTGAGCCGGCGTTCAACACGGCCCCCGGACACTCTAATTTTGGCACCAACGCCGTTCAGCCTCGTGAAGTGCCGTCTCGGCGGTGTTCGGTCCGAGCTTGAGATCCACGCCCGCCAATCTGTGACAGATCGCACACCGATCGTCGGCATCGTTCCGTCCTCGAGAAAGATCATTTACCGCCGGCGACTTTACGATCGGCGTCCACCTCCGCTTCTCAAAGTAATTTAAGCGTATACTATTCCTTTCGCTTATCTTTTTGAGCGAAAAACACGCGTAGCTGCGCGTCATTGACAAGTAAAAAGCCCTCCGGACGCGCAATATATTTTATCTTTCAATTCCAAGATTTCCTACAAATGTTTTCGTCCCTTGAATCTGAAGACCCCGAAACGTGGGAGTTGCTCATATAAACACGTCCCTCGAGTAATTTTCCCCTATTGCTTGGACCTCTTTGTTTCGCGTCTTGGCCTCCTCTTTCGATTCTCTGGATTTCTTTGAACATGACACAACGTGACGGTTACATCTCCTATCATGACTGGTGCGCAGAGCTAGACGCAGACCTCACCGACGAATCCGACGACGAAGAAGAAGATGAAGGAGAACTCGATCTTTTGGAGCATACACGGACATCTCGACCTTTAGCAACAGCCTCTCGACCTCTAGAAACAGCATCTCGCGCTCCCACCAGACCGACAACACAACGAGAAACCGCAAGGAGCAGGGCAGCAGCTCGCCAACGCGACGACCAAAATTCTTCGACGTATCTCAACCAACCCGTTCAAACCTCATACACGACAAGTCTTTTTTTCGGTGAGGCCTTTCTGTTCAACTTCTACTCCCTTTGACGACCATTCATTACCATAGATCTTCTTGAACAGAATTACATTGACCTGGAGCCGGAATATCAGCGAGGTGCGCTAAGTTGTCTTTGTGATTCACGTTACATTCCTCGAGCATTCATCAATCACAGACATTGTATGGTCCGAACAAAAACAAATGAACCTGATTGACTCCCTCCATCATAATTACTTTGTTCCGCCTCTCGTATTCGGTGAGTTGCCGCTCTCCATTTCAACATCAATTGTTTCACTGACACCTCATCAGCGATCATCGACGGCAGCTCAGTAAAAGGCTCTGAAAAACGTACCTGTATTGATGGAAAGCAACGGTTGACCTCCATTTTAAGGTACGAACTATGCACCCTCTAACTACTTTGTCATTTACGTTCCTTTAGATTCATGAAAGGCGAAGTACGTACTAATGTCTTATTGAAACTGCTATGTCTTATTGACCATTTATCTGCTGCGCGGAATAGATAGCGCGTAAGTTATACACCTTCACATCAGGATAATCAACTGACTTTTTTCTTCGCGTTCAAAGACAAAGATTCGTATGTGTCGTCCACTAGTGAATGATATACGCAACTCAATAGTTACAATCAGTATCACTCACAAGAAGCTCTGGTGGACAAAGCGACATGGCGAGAACAAGAGGTTGCTTTCGGCAGATTGGAAAATGAGTTTCAAGCAAAAGGCAATCCTCTGTGTTGATTACAAGGGGTTGACGCCTGAACAAGAGCGCGAAATATTTCAAGTACGTCCAATCTCCCTCTCTGAGATCCAAATAGCTTAAGGTATTCGCAGCGAGTCCAAATGGGAGTCCCACTCACCTCAAACGAACGTCTAGCAGCCATCAACGGCCCACTCGCCGACTGCATCCGCGATCTCAAGAAATGGATAAACTCATTCTCCGGCTTCGAGCTTTACATGGATTGGAACGAATGTGGTGCCAAAGCCCGCGTTTTCCAGGTGCTAGCGCAGGTTGTATACCTCATAGACCACGCATCCAACAAGAAACGGTTGGAACCAAACGTCCGTCGCTTGGAAACATGGCTTTACAGCAAAAATCAGTCCCCGGATCTAGCCAAGACGTCGGCGGCAGCGCGCCTTACTATGGGCATCTATTGCAGGATTATCGCACACCCGACATATGGCGCCCCTATCACCAAAAGCTCCCATGGTGGCTTGTCGACGATCGAGTTCGTGGGCATAAGTCTTCTTATATTCAGATTCAAAGATACGCTGTCGGATTGCCAGATGTCACATGCGATCGACTTGTTGAGGTATGATGCCAGGATCAACGACAAGAAGAACGCGCTTGCGACGTTCAAGCACGTTTCGGAGTTCGTGTATAAGCGCGTGCCTGTTTCCAAGTTGAACACCGACGAGAACAGCGTTGTTGCGGCGAAGATGCCATTTTTGCAGAGTACGACGGGGAAGCCGGTTACCATGCCCATGCGCGTTGACGCTTCAGCTTCAGCTTCGTCCAGGGTGAAGCCGCCCTCATCCAAGAGGAAGCGAGTGGAGGTGGAAGAGTCGGATGATGACGACGGTGTACCCTTGTCACAGAAGAAGAAGGCAGTAGCGCTGAAGAGAAGAAAGGCGAGCCCGAGACCCCAAGAAAACGACGACGAAAGCGATGATGGTGTCATCACCTCTGCACCCCCATCCAAACCCAAGAGTGCAATACGCGCGAATCTGAAGAAGCCTAGATCTGCAGCTGCGACATCTCCAGCTACAGCAGGGAGAACTACGATCAAGCGATCCACGACGAAATTGGGCAGCAGTAACCCAGCCAAGGCGTCGACTTCTTACACGACCCAGACACAGACAGTTATACCCACCATCCGGCCCAACCCAAAGTCATGTACCCCTGTTGGATCGGCTGTATCGTCACCTCGTTTAGGTGTTATCCCACTTCCTGCTGAAACTTCGTCGTCGTCGTCCGTGACTCAGGCAATGTCAGTCTCAGCCACAGCAAGGTTGTCAAAGCCACTTCCGACGCGAAAAGCTTTCTCGCCCGTATCTTCCGCCTCTAATAAGCCTCCTGGTGGTCAAGGACAAGCTTCTATGACTGGCAGACAAACATCCGTAGCTGGCCCATCCACTTTCTTTGATAGACCATCCACGTCCTCCGATAAGCCATCCGCGTCGTCTAATAGACTAGCTTCGGTGCGCGAAGCCAAAGCAGCGGCCGCAGCAGTAGCTTCCAACCTCGCTTCCTCAAAGCCGCTTCCTGCATGTTCAAAACCGAGTTCGATAGTTTCGAAGCCGGTGGCTTCAGGTTCGAAGCTGGTTTCCACATCCGCCATACCGATGTCCACATCCTCGAAGCCGATTCCTACATCCTCGAAGCCACTTTCCACGACGTCGAAGGCAACTCCTACACCTCCAACGTCCGGAGGGGACCCATGGAGAGGCACTGCGCTCGGCCTTCAAAACGCACAACGTCTTCCTGCGTATATGGTACCTGGTGCACAGAAGCCCCATCTTCCGCACTTTAAGAAGAATGTTCTTGATGCCGGTACAATACCAGCCTCTCCTGTGGATGATGATGACGATGGTTTAGCCAAGATTGAGAGCTGTTTGGCGTATAGAAGGCCGTCACAGGATCAGTTGCCTTCGCCTGCCCTCGAGACACCGCATTTGGCCGGGTCGAACACAAACTCAAGGCCAAGTTCTAGAGGGGTGAATAGGGTCCCGTCAGATTTGTTGAGCGGTAGACTGTCGAAGCTGAAGTTATACACACCGACTCACGCGACCGTGCCCCTACCTCCAACACCTGTTTCCGCTTCTTCCAGTGGACATCCGATATTCCCTTCAGCATCAAGTCCTTCATCTTCGTCGGCGAATAGCAGTCCACACATAGGCGGTGTCGCTACCCCTGGGTTGCCCACGCCCATTACTCCCAACTTCACCACTTTCCCAATGGAGAGTAGATGGGGAGGCGCTACTCCTGGGCGTCGGGCGTCCCCTCCAAGTTCGTTACCTACTGGTTCGATCAGTGGACGACAACAAGAGAGAAGCCGACATCTGCAAGAGCAAAGTCAGCATCCGCGCTCGAGTCAAGTAGCTGGACAGAAACGGTCGCGCTCGCCTTCTACTGCGAATTCAACGAGAGAAGCTAGACATTTCGAACACCACCAACATTTGCAGCAGGGGGGCACCACGGTGGTGAAGGATCCAAGGATTAAACAACACAGGCCGAATAATAGCTGATTTTTGAGTTCTTTTTGATGATGGGGGTGAGTGGCTTTCAGACGTGGGATGCTTTAATTCATATGGGCTGACGGGTGGTCTTCCCAGATGCGGACTTGGTGTGACACTGACAGACGGAATTCAAGGCCAGTTATAAAGTACATCACAGGCGAAAGAAATCTCCGGTTTGTTGACACTGACAGGTCTATCTCGGTCCGCTGATACCGCTTTTGCATCCATTTTTGAATTTACTCCTGTTCCCCCTTCTTCTCTCCCCTTTTCGAATTCTCATCTTGCCCTCTTCCCCACTTCGTTCTTATCTTCCGTTGCAGTTTTTTTCAGCGCAATATGCATATCGTACGATCTTCTATACAACACACATAGTCACATACCGTATCCAGTACCATATGCTCGTCCAATGCTCGTCTATACTCTTATAAATGCTCGTCTATACTCTTGTAAATGTACCTAATTACCACTTCACCAAAAAACGTTATCGTCAAGGAGAACGTTGAAATTTAGTCTAGGTGGCCAGCCACTCAAGCTGGTTAGCAACCTCCCTTGAAGTCAATCTCGTCCGCGGATTATAGTCAAACATCCCTCGCAGGACCTTCTCAAACGCCTCGCTTTCCTCTTCCTTGATATACGCTTTGGGTATCTTCGCCAGCCTCGATGCCGCCCTGACCCCTTCAGCAGGCATTGCTTCCTCATCAAAATACTTTCTACGTTCCTCCCAACACTGCCACCAAGGATCGGGCAGCTTCCCAAGTGCCAACACTATATTCTTCAAGACCTCTTCATCTGTAGGATTGGGGCCACCAGAGATGACTGACGACCCCATTTCCTGCCCCCCTGAGAGAATGTAATGAAGGAGATTACCCATCGCCCACACATCCGACGCTGGGCTGACCAATTCGTCAAAAATGACTTCAGGAGCGGCATAAACGCGAGGGCAGTTCAGCTTTCGGTGCGCCCCCGTACTAGCTGGGTCGTGGAAAGACGACTCGCCAAAGTCACATAGTTTGATGTGGGACTGCGAGGGGTCGTGGGCGATGAGCTGTAGAATGGGGGCAATGGAAAGTCTGTACACCAAGTACTGTGGGACTCGTTGCGAGTTTTCAGGAGGAGGAAATGCTTCTGAATAAAGTCTCGGTTCCAGTAGTGTGGGTTCGCCTAGGAGCTCCTTAGTCTTTTCTCTAGACTTGAATAAAGATTCGAGTGCGGGAGAGTGGTATAACACGTTCCCAAGATGTAGATCTAGCGTACGTGGATAAGTCATTGTTTGAATAAAAGTCGAAATCGGTGCCAACCTCCATGAACAATGTTGCAAGAGTGCAGGTATTCGACACCTTGAGCTACCTGAACAGCAAATCGCCGAGAAAACTGCGGAGGAATGGCTTCATCCTCCCATACATCGTAAACGTCTTCAGTAAGATTAGGCCCTGATGCTTCGGTAACGACGCACAGGTGAGACCCATTAGGGCCTTCGTGCGTAAATGAGTCGATGAATTCGAGGACATAGCGTTTGCCTTGACCTGCACCAGCCGTAGATCGGCGCAGGACCTCGAGCTCTGTACCGGACGAATACTTGGATGCCTCGGCGCAGATAATCTTGAGAGAGACGTATCTCTCCTGATGTGTATCCCAGGCTAACCAAACGGTTGCATAGCTGCCTTGTCCGAGCTTATATTCGACGATGTATCGTCCTCCGTTGAACGTGTCCCCCAGGTGAACTGGATGATAGCCTTCCGCGCAGTAGTAATTGAGGGATTCAACCCCAGGGTAATCCACATAGACAGGTTTCGTCATTGTGACTAGATCGGAAAAGCTTGCTGGTTTCTCTGCAAAAGGGCAAAATATTCGTTAGCGATAGCATGACGGCGGGAGAAGTATGTAAAAGCTGCGTTGGCGTTGGCGGAGAACGAAAACTTGACTCTTACCACGAGCGATCGACACTCTGCCTCTCAGAATGCTCCAAATTGAAGGTCCTTGCTTGAAGCCACAACCCTTGAGAGTGATTGTCAAGCGAAATTAGAGGCGAGGGGCGAATCCGCGATATTTTTGGGACCTGCCGACCAGAACCACCTGCAAGGCGACAATCATGCACTGTCAAGTCGGAAAGATGCCCCATCCGATGCGTTCCTTGACACTTTGACACGCGACTACAACTTGAAGTAGGTCGGTCCACGGTGAGTACTTCTCCTGCCCTTTAGTAAAGGAAGAAGATCTTAACAATCGCTGTGAACAGAAAGCATACCAATTTCTATAACCAAATTCTATCTCGTTGTACTCAAACCTTCATCCTTGCGGCACTTTCAGGCACTTCCAAGTTCCACGTAGAGTGTTATTTCCATCTTTTAAATCTCAAAACGCACAGATTTGAGAGGCAGCTATGGGAGACTAGATCCCCAGCCTACAGCCATGTAACCTTTCACCGTTAAGTTAACTCGGAACAAGGTTCTCTCCGATGTCTTCAGGCGATGTCTTCGAGCGGGTCCTCGATCATTTGTTTCCGTTCACGACGGAGTGGGTCAACGCCCGGTCAGTACCCTGTCCTCCAGCCCTTGAATGAAGGAAGAGAATTTATCAACTGCTTTGAACAGAACGTACTGTTTCACAGAAAGCACCGACTCAACGGAGTTTTATTCTCAAAGGAGACATGTCTTGAGTACGTGATAGTCATGTACTCTCCTGTCATGTCAGTGGAATGCGCCCAGTACCTTAATTGTCCTTCCCCTTGGTTTTCGAGCCCACGGATGACCAGAGCCGAGCTTGGAAGAACGTTAAATAACATCATCAAGAATTGATTCCCTCATTCGAATCGTCGCCGACGCAATCGACGCCAAGGCTCTCAACATTGACTTCTTCATATTACACTCGCCCGGAGTCGTCCTACAAATTTCATACAAATTACAGACAATAAAGAGCAAATAAAGAGTTCTGAGGCCTGAGGTCTCGGAAAGTATTAGTAAGGACACCGCCAATACGACTTCTCAAGCAACATGCCAGCATTGCCATTCCTTCCGAATGAAATATGGTTTCGCATCGCCGACCTTATCGAACTTAATGATCGTCATCTTCATGGGATCATCGGGATGAACCGTCCATTCTTTGAACTTGCGATGGACAAACTGTATCGCAAGGTCCGTCTCACCGACGGCCGCGAAGACTCAGTATTCTTGGACAAAATGATTGGCAACCTACTGTAAGTCATCTCCAGATGAACGGCTAGAAAAAAATGGAATCTCAATCATCACAGGAACCCTTTGATTAACGAGCGGGTGAAGGTGTTGATCATTTACCCAAGTCCTCTGTACAAAGCTCTCTTCTATGAAGAGATTCCATTCATTTCCCTGTTCATTCATAGAGGATTTAGAGGTTTGGTCAAGGAGTTGTTCTTCCCAAGCATCCCCTCGCCCGAGGAACAAACAGAACGTCTGTTCCACGCACTCTCGTGTCTCAGACACCTCGAAGAGCTCACCTTTCAAGATGGCCCAAGTTATGATCTTCACAATGCCAGTGAAAGATGGAATTCATTCCTTTTTACGCTCACTCCTCTTCTATGGAGGACCATTGGAGAAAATTTGTCAACTTTGGACGTTGGCGTATGGAGCCTGGGCCCTAGACTTGCTGAAACATTACTACATTCTCCCGGACTCTTCAGCAAGGTCACACATTTGAAGCTCCATCTCCACTGGTACAATCTTGTCACCCCCACAGCCCCCTTTTTGTCTTTCATTGACAGTCTGTGCCCAGCTGTTGAATCACTTATGGTCGTTGTCGTCAATTCAAATCATGCCTCGGCATTCTATGTTGATGATCCCCTACTTGCTGACTCGGAATTTGTAACTCAAAGCAATTTCAAAGTCCGAGCTGTCATGGTCCATGATGATACAAATCATTGCTTGAAGTGGAAATGCTTGGAGCGTTTACTCCAAAATAATCCAAAAATCCAGGAACCTCAAATACGGAATAGCTATGCTTATATCTGTTGGATGTAGTCTAGCTTGTATTCTACTGCAAGGATCATGAGATCATCTTCAAGAATCATTAATCAATGATAACGTTCACCGACGTTGAGTCATGATGAGAGAAGTTGAAAAGGTTTGAAAAAAAGGGGACACAAATTTTCTTCCTACAAAACACAAAAGTGGCTATATATTTTTAACCAGAGGCTTCAGTAACAAACTGACTTCAGATTTGAATTACCTGTTTTATTTAGCACACAAAAACAAGGTTGTGTCCTTGAACAAAATTTTCCATACCGCTTCAGCTGCTCGGTGAAAAGTAATTCAACATCAAGTACCCCAAATACTTCCAATGAGAATCAGAGCAGAAAACCAACGCTGAAAATGCTGCTAGAATGTGAAGAAGCAGGGCAAGAAGAAAGTACGATCGGATTGAAAGTAGCATATTCCTTCACTTTGAAAGCGCTGAAAGTCCGGACAAACAAGTACAAATTTTCCATTTGCAAAGGTCGAAACTTTTGGCGGGGAAAAAGAGTGTTTCATGGATATCTCATGCATTTCTGGAACTATTCAGATGAAACTTGGCAAGTATGTTCATGAAGTATACCTTTATGCACCTATCACAAAAAAAATGCACATTGTCTTATGTATTGCATGTTAAATCAACCCTCAAACTTAGGTGGCATTTTCAACAATCTTCTGAAACGACATAAGAAGAGCTAGACTGTTTAAACGTTTGCGTCAGAGTCATTTACACATCTTGGATGTCTTATTATATGTTTTTTTTTTAGTTGTTTCCCCCCTAGCATTCATTTTCAAAGTTGGGACAGAGTCGCGTTAATCCTCGTTAACGCGACTTTGGCCACCTCGACCCAGGCCTCCGCAGTGGGAACTGTCGTCACAGTCGTATTATTCAAAGGTCTAAAAAACTTGAGTGCAACAAACTAGTTGTGCGAAGCGAGCCTAACCCCCGCGGGACTCGCGGATAGTCCCAACTCCTCGCATTCACGTTCACGCACCAAGCTCTGAAACTAGCACCCCGGCGTGTTTTGTACTCCGAGTGCAGTACAACGAATGATCAACGGTTCACGCAGGCCTTCCTCACTTCCAGACTTCTGGCAGACTGGCTCCCTGTGCGCGGCACGCAAGGCACCGCCGCGTACGGTCATGCGGTACCCCCCAACTGTCAATTGCGAGTTATCTCGGAAAGATGATCTCGCCGGTGCCCTCAGAAGGCTATCACGTGTTCCTTGGTCTTTTGTGTTCCTTACGAGTGTGGGGATGGGTTAACGTCCAGTCAGTGTGCTTTCTCTCAATCTTCTAGAAAGGAAGAGAAACTTACTACATAGTTGCTCCGGATGCATTGCACAGATCTTTACTTTAGGGATTCGCATTGTCCATCAGGTCTATTGTTCTCCCCTGGCTCCATGACTTTTGGTGCCTCTTGCACGTTTAGGACCAGGGGTGGTATCATTGACGGGTGAATACATTGACCGTGGTTCATGGTATGTTGTCATCCCATGATCTAACTGCCGTCTAATAATACGCGGCTTCCAGTGGTATATAAGTTGATCAGTTCTTTTCCCTCTCCAGACTCTTCTCAATCAAACTACCAAGCTTGACAATCTTCAACTTTACAAATTTCGAAGTACTTATCACTCTCCTGATATCCCTCTGCTATCTTTAACTCGCATATCTGTAAGATGGATAGCAAGATTCCTACGATCGCAAAGGACCCGGAAACAGGCGCAGACAAGGCCACGCTCACTTGGAGCAACGTTCATATCGTCAAGAAGGTTGAATTGGCCAATGGCAAAGATACGGTGGATGAAGTCAATAACATCTTTCGAATCATCGCGGACGCAATCGATGCCCATGCCCTCAACATTCACCTCTATGGACAAGTATCCGTCACGTAAGTCTTGTCTCCCTCTGAATATGAAGGGACGCTGAAGGTACTTATTGGAACAGCGGAACTGCACACAATACTACTGGCCCAGCTCATAAGAGGCAAACGGTACAAAAGCACATTACTGTCAGGATTAGCGGAAATGAGCAGAAGCGAGGCAATGCACACATCGCCATTCTGCCCGACAACGCAGGAAGGGCTGATCAAGACAGTTTTCTCGACCCCGATGCCACCCATCATTCCTTTGTACCGACGTAAATGATTGTCGGATAAAACATGAACTTCATTTCGTTTTTCGAATTCTCTGCTTCTGTCATGAACACGTCATTTTTCTCAGCGCTACATGTTTATCACAGATTTCTTTTTGGAAGAATGCACATCAATCCCATAGTACCGTTGACTACTACTATGTTTGTTCAGGATATTGAAACTTTTTCAGTGTTGCACGATTGTTGGCTCACCACTTTGTCCCATCCTTTCAATTTTTTGACCACTCGATGTATATTTTTGTCTTCTATACAAATATCGACTTTTTTTTTACTGTAGATGTGTTATGTTCGCTGTCGGAGGCGATCCGGTACTCAGGGTTCAAAAATATCAGGATATTGAAACTGTTGTCACACCAGATCACAAGGACTTTGGCTGGACGATGATGACTATGGCAACAGGGATCAGCCAGCTTCAATATCACGGCTAAGACCGATATTTGTACGCTGCCGACTGATATGCCGAAGCTAATTATAACTATTTACAATTTAATATTGATATTGTCCATCAAATATTTCGTACTGTCACAATCAATTCACAATTTCCTATCGTGTTATCGCCAAAGTGAAAGTGCTGATTCGTGTTGTTTCCCATACAATGTACATCTGGTATCTTCATTGAAATATATGGCAACAGGGAGCCAGCTTCAAAAATCACGGCTAAGACCACACTGCCGATCAATATGCCGAAATTAATTATTGAATATAATATTGTTATTGCCGTTTTCGAAATAGTTGGCGCGGCCGCAATCACGTCAAAACAAAGTCTCATATCTCCGTGAATCCTCGAACACGATTTCTCTGTAAATACTTATCATAGAGACATAATTTATAGTGTTTTGAAATCGTCTTGTCGAGCTCTAGGTCGCCCTATGGTTCATTTCAAAAGTAAATGACAACTATGTCGTATTTTTGCTGGAGGGCAGGCAAGGACGGTGCGGAAACTACTGCAAGGATTTCTCCGCCAATACCGAACGTAAAGCTACAATTTTGGGTGTGTTAGAATTGCATAATGTGCACCTAGGTCGCCCCATAATTTATTTTGTGTAAGAGTATGTACTGGTCTTGTAACTGCGCTATAAGTGATGACACCCCATCACTTCCCTTCCAAATCCGGTCGTCACACGTCTTTATGCAAAATAAACATTGGGACGACCTAGCTACATACTTACTCTACGATTCCAATGCAGTAAAAATTATACTTTTTTGTTAAGTACACAAAGAGAAATTGATGCAGCAGTTAGTCACCTAATTGCTGCATCGATTTCTCTTTGCCTACTCAATAAAAAAATACAATTCTTACTGCGTTGGCATCATAGAGTAGAAAATGTTTATTTTGCATAAAGACGTGTGACGACCGAATTTGGAAGGGAAGTGATGGGGTGTCGTCACCTATAGCGCAGTTACAAGACCAGTACATACTCTTACACAAAATAAATTATGAGGCGACCTAGGTGCACATTATGCAATTCTATCTCGCCCAAAATTGTAGCTTTACGTTTGGTATTGGCAGAGAAATTCTTGCAGCAGTCTCGGCACTGTCCATACCTATTACCTACCCTCCAGCAGCAGTATGATGTAGTTTTCGTTTTCTCATAAAATAAACTATGGGGCGACCTAGAGCTCGCCGAGACGGTTCCAAAACACTATAAATTATGTCTCTATGATAAGTATCTACAGAGAAAATCGTGTTCGAGGATTCGCGGGCATTTGAGACCTTATTTTGACGTCAACTACTTATTTCGAAAACAGCAATAAGCAATATTATGTTACAAATACAATAATTAATTTCGGCATATTGATCGGCAGCGTACAAATATCGGTCTTAGCCGTGATATTGAAGCTGGCTGATCCCTGTTGCCATAGATGACAGTTTGGCGTGCGTATGTTACGCAAATGTCACGCTTTAACGCCGTTTGCGAGCGAAATTTTGTATTTTGCACTCCCGCCCAACAGCACTTCATCTTTCTCTCTAGAAATTTGTATTTGAACTCTCACATATCATTTTAATGTAATTGGAAAGTGTCAGAATAAACAATCAAGCCGATCTGGAGGGATCTGAGAGAACATTCCAATACTTTTGTTTGGCTGGTGTAATGAAAACCACAAATCCATGTCTTAAGAATGCAATTCTTTGAATGCATCTCTAAAAATTTAAAGTTACAGAGAGAATACACAAATACACTGGTCTCCAGAATTTGAGAACCTCAGAGTAAGTGGATGCAAAGATAATCCGCATTTTCAATATCCCGACGAGTTTCAATATCGTGGGCAAACATAGTATGCTTGTATAAATATCCACACATCTGCCTTTTGACAATTCTCCATGTAATGCGGTGCCCCTCCTTGCCGTGTAAGTCTGTGTAGGTACTTATGACGAACATTCAAGCTGATTAGAGTGTATAATGAAATCTGATGAACATGACGAGGTCGTGTTGATCGGCGGCTAACCAAAAAAAATACGGCCGCTGCACGTGGAAGGGTTGCCAAGGAGAGCATATTCGGTTGCCATGAAATCATTGGTCCCATATTCTCAAGTCTCTCCTCGTCTCTTCATGAACCAGCGTTCACTATCACTCTCTTTCTAAAAAAATGACATTCCTTCATCGTACACGCTCTTTTATCACTACTCCAAAAGAAAACACCAACGGGATCCACAAACCTCTCCCCCTCCTCCCGGGACCGACCGCCTGCGCATTCGCAGCGGTCGAAAATGTCCCCATTCCCCGCAGGCGCACCACCACCACTCCGACAAAAACCCTCATGCGCCGGGTTTCCCTAATTTTCCGCCCATCTCCCCGGAAAAAAGGCCGCCGCCCGCCAAACCTCACGCTGGCAACCAATCATAATGGATCCGTGCTGAACAGCTCACGCAGCTCCAGCTTGACCTCCATTCCTGAATCCGAGGACGATATAAGGCCCCCTAGTGGCTTGGGAAGCCCAGTGTCTATATCCTCGTTGCCCCCGTCCCCGTTCACACCTGCCCATGACGAGAATTCACCTTTTTGTCATCGGGAGAGTTTCGGTGGGGAGTCCGTGTACCAACGGACGCGGGCTATAAGTTCGCCGAATTTGTTGCGCTCTGTAAGTGTGAAGCTTAAAGCCAAAACTCATCTTCGACGAGCGTCTGTTATTCCCGGACAGGGGGGTGGGTTGGATATCATCCCGCTTGTCAAGCCAACAACCACATGGGCTGTGAGAAGCTTTAACCTCCCAGCTGAGGTTATTGCTGTCATTGTATCATACCTCCCCCGTCATGTCGTTGCGTCGCTCGCACCGCTGTCTAGGAGTTTCAGTGATGCAGCTCGATTAGCACTGTACACCACTCTTGATCTACAGACTCTTCGCCGACTGCAGCTCGAAAAACTCGTGGCTGCACTCGCGTCTCGTCCTGACCTCACAGAGCTAGTACACCACTTCATCTGCCGTACCTGGCCTTCCTTCTTCTCTTCCTCCTCCGCTTCCCCACACGCCAGCGTAGACGACCACCGAAACTCCCTCCTAACAGCAACATTCACACTCGCCCTCCAACGGATGTCAAACCTCATCTCACTAACCCTCCCCGCATTCAATTCCTCCCTCCTAGCGCACCACACAGCATTCGGACTCCAACGCCTCACTTTCCTCAACGCCACCATGTCTGCCCAAGAAACCACCGCGTTATTCGCGTGGCTGGATGGTCAGATTAACATATACATCCTCAAGTTCCCAAACCTTCAAGACAGCCCAATTACGCCTGTCAGTGTCTCCGACCTGAGCAATTTGTCGAAGCATCATTACCCAGTTCCTCCACGTACGCCCGTCAAATCTCAGAGTCGGCCGAACAGCGCCTTTCTCTCCGTCTCTCCAGGATTCTCATCCCCCTCAGCAACACCAACGCCTCACTCGTCCTACTTCCCACCACTCCCCATCAGCCCCTTCTCCTCCCAAACCCTCCTCCCAAGTCTGACGACCCTACACGGTACACCCTCCCTCGTCCATTTCCTCTCTCCCCCTTCTTCCTCTTCCATGTGCCCTCAAAGACCGTTACGCAGCGTATCGCTAACGATCAACACGACGCTTTATACGGGGTTGAGGCCTGCTGCGTTGATGGCTGCGTTGCAGATGCAGGGAGTGAGGAGGTTGGGGTTGAGGTTTGTTTGTGAGAGTGTTGATAGACGGACGGTGGAGAAGGTTTTGGGGGCTGTTGGTGCTGTTTTGCGGTCACCGCCGCAGATGGAGGAACGAGAGGAGGGGGAGGATGGAACAGAGGGAGGAGGGGAGGGGACACAGGGAGGAAATGGAAATGTGCATGGGTGGAGGGGATTGAGGGTGTTGGAGGTTGAGTTTCAGGGGGAGAGTACGGATTTTTCGCCGGAGGAGGTTAGCTTTTTTTGTTCTTCTTCCTTATTCTTTATTTTGGAAACTGATTTTCTTTTTCTGTTGTGATAGGCGTTATACAAAACACTTCAAGCGACTTTACCGCGATACAAAGCTCTACGAGACCTCCACTTACGCTTCGATTCGTTCGAAACGGAGGACGACGCTTTCACACCTCCTTCTCCGCTCCCTCACCTCCCCTTCCCATCTCCCCCAAGTTCATCTCATTCCCACTCACATGCACACGCACACGTCGTAACGTTTCCCACTCATCAAACCACATCGTCGTCGTTCCCATTCCCAACAACAACTCAATACATAGCTTTCCCTACTTCCTCTTCTCCTTCTCCTCGCTCTCCAACACACTCTCGCACTCATCCACCTTCCCCATCCCCGTCTTTGCTGGAACAAGCCCGAATTAACATGTGGGTTAAACAATGCCCTTCATTGCGGAGTGTCCTCCTTTTTTCTGGTGCGAGCTGGCAGAGACCGTGGGATTTGGGTGATGGTGATGATGAAGATGAGGAGGGCGTTTCGGAGGATGGGATTCCGTGGAGTGCTGTTGGGTTGGCGCAGTAGATGTGCGTCTGGTGCGGTGGTGGTGCTGTGCACTGGCTGCTGGAGTCGTTTTCTTGGTTTACTCTATCTCATCGGCTATCCTATCTTGGTTGGAATCTGGATGGACTTCTGACTACAACAACTACTATCCCTTTGCTTTGAATCGAGAATTGGTCTAACATCTGTATCATAGTTGATTTGGTTTTATCTTTTCTCTATCTAACACTTAGCTGTCTCTAGCTCTCTCTACCTCACCAATAGCATAACCGAATGATAACTCTGCATAATATAACGCTCTCTACAAATCTATCTTCAATCTAATGTCAACCTCTAACAACTCACGAAAACGTAAACACCCTCCAAATCCAACCAAGAAACCCACCATCATTCCAAACAACCAAGACCCCGACCCGGACCCAGCGCTCTTCATCCAAGCATACGAAGCCACCATCATTCGTGGGCCTCATGCGAAAGCTCTTGCGAGGTCCTTGGAAGTCGTTCAATACGACTTTGAGTCGGATGATCTTCCCTCAGCTTCAGCTTCAGAGAATCAGAAGAAGCCTGTTGTTGGGGAGGCTCTTATTAGGTGGGGTGGTGAGCGCCCAACGACCGTTCCTGCGTTCCCGGACGATGAAGATGGGGACTGCGGTTTGATTCGTAATGGTGTTGATTCACCAGTACATGTACTACTACCGGAGGAGGAACCTGCAGTTTGGGTGGACCGGTATATCTTTTTCGCTTTTCCTTTACCCTCCTCCACTAACTCTTTTTTAGATACGACGTCCGACTCCTCCTAGATGTCCTTCCTCCCCCAGCATCATCATCTTCCGTACCACCACCAGCCCCGGAGTCACCCACAGGCTGGTCAGACCTCCCTTCAGATTCAGAAGACATGTTTTTCTTCTCTCCCGACGAAGCGAACGATTTCCGCCGGGAGAAGAAGCGCAAGGTAATGGAGCGGACGAGGGAAGAGAGGTTGAAAGCACGGATGGTTGAAGATGGCGACGACGAAGACGCTGCGAACCACGGCGGGGAAGAAGAGAACGTATGGGGTGGGAGCGATGAAGAGGTTTGTTTCTTCCCTCATTTTCCCTGACCTTTCTAACCATTACTTAGCCAGACCAAACCCAAAAAGAATTGATGTCCCGAACAGCAAAACAACTCCTCTCCTCCTCCAACCCTGCACAACTGGAGATGCGGGTGCTCGCAAACTATGGCGCTGATAAACGGTTCGCTTTCCTGCGTGGACGGTGGAAGAGGTCGTGGATGCTGGCAAAGCATAAGGTGAGGGTGGAGCTTGATAGAAAGGAAGAGGAGAAGAAGAGGGGGGTTGGGTTGGGGTTGGTTGCTGCGTATGGGAGTGATGAAGGGAGTAGCGACGATGAGAAGGAGAGAAAGGAGGGTGGAGGAAGTCTTGACGGGGAGATGAAAGATGAAGATACTACAGTTGTTACACCTCTGGACCCCGAGGAAGCAATCAAGGAAGCACGAAGAATCAAAGCGAAGGAATGGGCTCAGAAACGACGGGCAAAGAAGGAGGCAGAGGACAAATCGTAGTCGCAAGTATATTTCTTTCCATACAATTCGATATGTAGTACAATAATCCTATACGGGCCCAATTTACTCCAACGTAATATACAAATGCTTCCTTGTGACCACCGCCTTCGCCCCAGGAACCACCAAGATAGTCTGCGTCTGGTCAATAATCATCGCAGGGCCCTCAACCGCATCCCCCAGACCCAAAGTATCAAGCAAATACACAGGCGTCTCGTCCACACGTCCAACACGATCAAAGTACACGCTGTACCAAGAGTCTGCTTTTTCCTTTGGCTCGACGCGGCGTGTGGAGAGGGTGGCTACTTCAGCATAGACGGATTCGCCGAGCGTGTCGAATGTTTTGCCGATACCTCGCACCTAAGAATCGTGCATCATCAGCCAGTGAATTGGAAACATAAGAGAAAAAGAGGACTGACCTTGATATCATCAACAATAACACTCTTCTCCAACAAGAACCCAAACTCAGCTTTATACACCCTCTTAAAAGCGCTCTCGAAATCTTCATCCCCATCACCGTCCTCTGCATGCGGTAGAACCATAAGCGCCGTATCGGTACCCTCAAACCTCATATTCAACATCCTCTCCACATGGATCCTATGTTCCTCGAATCCCTGCTTGCGGAGCTCGCTGCGCACGTCGGCTGTCATCCTGTCGAGCCGAGTGAGGAGGGTGGGTTTGTTCTGAGGAGTGTAGAATGTTGAGCAGGGTTCTTGGACTTCGTGTGCTCTGAATACGAACGGAGAAAGGGGGAGTTAGTTAGATGAGAGGTAGGAGGGGAAGGAAGGGCAAACCGGTCTGCAAGGGCCAATCCATACGCGGAGAGAATTGAGCTGTATCGGTGGATGAGGATCGTTTTGATCCCGAGGAGACTTGCGATTTCGCAAGCGTGTTGGCCGCCTGCTCCACCGAAACTTGCGAGGCTGTAGGTTTTCTTCGTAAGTACAGCGAAGGAACTGTGTGAGAGAAAGACGTACGTATGCTTGGACGTCGCGTATCCTCTAGCTTCCGTCAGTGCACGAATGGGACGACACATCGTCTCGTTTGCGACTTTGATGAACCTATTTTTATGGATTATTTGGGATGCGCCGAGCAGAGAGAAGACAAACCCATAGACGATCTCATCAAGCGACAAAACCAATTCCGGATGATTATCGTTAATCTCCTTCGCAACCTTCTCAAACGCTACCCTCGAAGCCTCAACATCCAACGATTCTTTCTCCGACTTTCCAAATATCTTGGGGAAATAGTCAGGAATAAGTCGGCCGAGAAGAAGGTTCGCATCCGTCACTGCCAGCGGACCTCCCTTCCTACTCAACGTGTCAGTTAACCAGTCCAAAAAAAACTTGGTAGAAGTACGTACCGGTAACAAGCCGGCCCAGGCTGGGCCCCAGCGCTCTCTGGTCCGGCGAGGAAGAGCCCATTGCGGAATGTGAGGCATGACCCGCCCCCAGCTGCTACGGTGTGA